TAATATAAAATTAAAATTAACTATATAAAATAAATATAAAATATAAAAGAAGTCATCCTGGCATTGTGTCTGAGGACATGGCTGTGTAGGCACAGCAAGGCAGAGCAGCCTTTCTTTGCACCGACAGCCGAGTGTGGCAAAGAGAAGTCGTGTGCATCCTGTTTTCAGTAGAGGAACTTAGCAGGCGGATGGCTCTATTTGCATGTCGCTGACCGTAAATGCAGGCTTTGCCCACTAGCCAGGCATTATTTGAGGTTGCCACAAAGCTCTTCCGCTCCCTGGGCTCCTCCAAGGATACACAGAGGCTCTGTAATGGAAGCTGAAGTGCAGTTTGCCCTTGTGTGCAGTGCTGTTTGAAAACAGTGAACAATGAAGCGGCCGGCCTCTCTCTGCTTCTCGTCCTCCAAACTGCAGTGCACAAAAGAGGCCTTGGGAACAAGGCGTTTGTGTCCTGCTGGCTGGAAAGCCAGAAACTCTTTCACTGGTTCAGGAGCGGGTTTATGCACTTTAAAAACTAGAATGGATTTACTGAACATCATTCACTATGCATCTCTTTTAGCCAAACACACACACACACACACACACACACAACAGAACAAAACCTCCCAACAGCGCGCGCACACCCTTTTCTTCCAGTTGTGTTTTGCTTGTTGTTCTGTGCCCTCAAGTCGCCTCTGACGTATGGCAGTCCTGTGAATGACGCTATCCAAAGCCATCCAAAGCCATCCGGTCCTTCACAGCCCTGCTCAGCTCTCGTAAATCCAGTGCCGTGGCTCCTTTATGGAGTCCATCCACCCATTTGAGCTTCCTTTTCTTCTCCTGCCTTCGACTTTCCCGATCACGTTTGTGTTCTGCTGAGGCTGAATTTATTTACCGAGTTCGTTCTAAATACTTTTCCGACCCTCGGACATCTTTGCGGGGCTGAGGTGCGCTCACACCTACAGTGCCCAGCCTCACTGCTAACATTAATCACACCGACTCTTTCCTGTGACTGATGGCCTTGCCCCTCGCCTAGATCTTTTTCTTGCCACCAAAACTGTCCCAAGCCTGCCCAGAGTTGGAGAGGTCTCAGAGGAGCGTTCTCTTCTGGAGAATGGATGCGCCCCCTCCACCTACTTATTTATTTATTTAAAACATTTCTCTGCCGCCCCATTCGCCGAAGCCTCGGGGCGGCTCACAACATAAATTAAAGTAGAATACATTAAAAATATAAAACAAATTAACAATATAAAGTAACGCACTTCCACGCATTGCATTATTGGCAGAGTCGCTTCTAAATCGGAGAGGCATTCTGTCTGAATTTGCACTTTGGCTGTGCGCTATTCATAGCCCGGGCTTATCTCCACCCATCATCTGTGGACAGCGGCAAGGAACATTGCGACAGAAGTGCTTATTGGGCCAAGAATATTTTCAATAAAACACACCCAGATGGCTTATGGAAGAGAGCTGTTGGTCGCAGATCCTTAGAATAGCACATTGGCATAAATACGCCTCGATGGAATGCTAATTAAATTGCCATGTGCCAACACTGGGATTCAGATCCCACTGCAGATGAGTTGCCAGTGCTAGTCAAGGCTGAAGTGTGTTCGAGGCAGCTCGCTGCAGAAGTTGGCAGCGGTTCTTAAAGCACAGCTTTGCCCTCTTGGGGGAGGACTTGCGGATTTGGCTCATTTCAAATCAGCCCTGTTTCCTGTCCCACTATCTTGCAGGCCAGGAAGGAGTCTCTGCCTGGAGCCTGAACTCACCCAGCCGAGCGGCTTCCACAGGTGCTGAACAGGAACCTCCTGGCCAGCTTCTCCAGTGCTCCCTCTCCCCTCCACCTTCTCTCCTGCGCTGGCGTGTGATATCAACACAACCTGGTGTCCCCTGTGCTGAGGGAAGTGGTGCCAAACCTTAGGAATCAAGCATAAAGCATAGAGCTTTGGCCAGAGGAAAGGCTGTTGGTGGGAGGTTTAGGACAGATAACAGGAAATATTTCTTTGCACAGTGTATAGTTGAACTATGGAATTTGCTGCCACAGGAAGTGGTGGCGGCTGCTCATCCTGATGGTTTTAAAAAGGGACTGGACAGATTCATGGGGGAGGAGGTGACCAGTGGCTACTTGCCTTCCTGGCCATGTGCTTCCTCCTTTGCCAGAGGCGGAGGGCTCACTGGTTGCTGGGTGCCTTGGGCAGGTGGAGGTCTTGCACCCATCCTGCCAGAGGGATCCTGTGGGCAGCTGGTTTGCCACCAGGTGTAGAGAGTGCTGGACTGGATGGACCTTTGGTCTGATCCAGCGTGGCCGTGCTTATGTTCTTACGTTCTGTAGTATTTTCTACTCAGGGATGAGCCAGTGTGGGGTGGTGGTGAAGAGCGTGGGACTGGGACTCAGACGATCTGGGTTCGAGTCCCCACTCAGCCATGGAGCCAACTGGGTGACTCTAGGCCAGTCACAGACTCTCAGCCCAACCTACCTCACAGGGTTGTTGTTGTGGGAATAAGATGGAGGAGGAGAATGATGTAAGCTGCCTTGAGCCCTTGGTAGGAAAAAGGCAGGATATAAATCGGAAAATAAATAAAATAAATAAATTATGTGTTCCCCATCTAGAAATGTCTGTTCAGGTTTTAACCTTTCCCTTCCTCATCAACCTTTATTTCACAACGGTTAGGGTACAGTATTTATCGATGAAGCCTAAGACCGTGTGGCTCAATCTGTAGATGCCATACTAAAGCAAGGGTCAGTGCAAATTGTAGAAGAAATATTTTGGAAGAAATAACCCAACAAGAAAAGGGGGGAAATGTGAGTTCTTCCTCAAAGCAGCCCATTCAAGGAATAAACACTAACATTTCAGCATCACGAGACCTCGGCAATTCAAGTTGTAGCAAAAAGCTCTCCGCAAATACTGCAAAACATTTTGCAGTCTTATTCTGGGGGCAGAGAAGCCCTGTAGGAGCATGTGCTTGCTCCCTCAGCTCGTTGTTATTTTTAGTCCCGTTCAGACGCCACTCTTGCCCACGGTTGCGGCAGCCTTTTCTCAGCTCGAGGCTTCCCGTTCGTGGACTCCCAGCACACGGCGTTTTGGTGGGCTCTTTCGCAGCGTCAAGTGACCTGGCTGGCCAGCCTGCAGGGGCTGTTGCCCCACTCACCAGTACCCCAGCCAAGGTCCTGTGACGTGTTCTTGCCCCCATCTTCAAGCCCCACGCCTGGTATCCTGGCATAGCTTTAGGGAAGCCAGGAAAACGCCTGCGTACTTGAACTCAAACCAGGGCTCCTCCCGTGGTCCAGTGCAGGCAGGCGGTTGTGGCAGTTTGCATAAAAACTTGGAATTAGTATAGAAATATAGCAAATAAATAAAATAGGGATCACATTTGTGCTGAAGGTGGGATAGAAGAAAAGGGGAAAACATCTACATGAGGTAAACTACACAGGGGCAGTGCCGTTTCTGCAACCGTTGTCGCCCGTCACACACGGGTGATGCTCTCAGCGTGCCGGCTCTCCCTGCCCATTCTGTTTCCCACCTTTTCTGGGCACTGGCTGCGTGTCGCATCCCGCATCTTCCTCTCCTGTTGCCCCACTGCCAGGAAGGAGCATGAGCAACGAGCAGTGTTGCTGTTCCTGGTCCTTGAACTGCCATCCGCTACCTGAATTCGCAGCAGCAGCTCCGCTTGCCCATGCCAGCCCAGCTCCACGAAAAACAGTGACACGGCCACAGAGCCAAGGGGAACCTGGCCAAAAGCCTGATGTGACAGCATATCCTTGGTCCCCAAAGAGGTTGGACTTGCAGCTCCTTCTGTGTGGCATGGCAGCCCCTTCGCATCCTCAGCCCCAACCTGGTGCTGTACAGTTCCATTCATTAATTTCTGGGGAAGCGGAACGGCTGCGATGGGACAGACCTCAGCCTTGCTTGTTTGCCTGCACACACAAGAGTTGTCCTTGAAGCATCCCATCGAACTGCTCGGCTGCCTTATCTAGACTCTGGCTGTTGTTCCGTCTGTTCCGGTAACTTCCTAATTAACCGGAAATGGCCATTCTGCTCCCAGGTGGAGCTTTCTGCAGCCTGCTGTCCGAGTTCCTTTTAACCGGGGGTGCCAGGATTAAACTGGACTTTCTTCATACACCGTGTGGGAGCTACCCCCGCCTCTCCTAAAATACAACCTTCAGAAGTTGTTGCCTCATTCTGCAAGAAGAGGCAGGATCAGAATCCTTAGCTGAAATGTCAGGGCCTCGATAAGCAATGAGGCCAGTGAGAACCAATCCACACCTGGCTCTCTGGGGGCCTCTGCCACGTGGGTGGAATTGGACAGGGGCTGGATTATTAGTAGTCCAGTGGTCTGAATAAACGTGCATCCCATTGGACCAGCATCCGGTAGTCGCACTGACCCTGCGGGCAAACTCTTTGTGGCTGGGACAGGAGAAGAACTGTTCCGCTCAGAATCCGCTTCTTATTCTTAAACCACAGTTTCCTAATAGCGAGTGCTCACGTCCGTTTTTCATTATCGACTTCTTCCCAACATTCCTTTAGTATCACTAAGCCAACTTAGCTGGCTTCTTTTAACATCATAAGAGAGCCAGTTGGTACAGTGGTCAAGCGCTCAGGGCTGGGGCTTGGGATCCGGGTTCTAGTCTCCAGTCAGCCGTGGAGTTCCCTGGATGACTTCGGGCCAAGCACAGACTGTCAGCCCAGCCTTCCTCACAGGGCTGTTGTGGTGGGAATAAGATGGAGAGGAGAATTATGTGAGCTGCCTCAGTGCCTTGCAAGGAAAACAGGTGGGACAGCAATATACATACATACATACGTATGTATGTATATACTCCAGCCGGGCAACCTTTTGCCCCGACCTGCTTGGAAGGAATGGGGGAAAGATGGGCTCATGCAACAAAATGAGTGTTGAGGCCAGCAGCTCTTGAGGCCAACAGCCCGTCTGCAGCCCAGAAGCTCAGAGACGGATCCTTTCCCCCCGTTCGCACACGTTGGCTTGGGGCCAAATAATAATGTCTGTTGCCTTGAATTTCCGCCCAGGTCGGGGACCACAAATTCAGCGCCCACCGAATCGTCCTAGCAGCTTCCATCCCGTACTTCCACGCCATGTTCACAAACGACATGATGGAGTGCAAGCAGGATGAAATCGTCATGCAGGGCATGGACCCAAGGTAACCCTGCAGCTCTGGGGCACGGGGAGGTTCCCCGCACGGTCAGGGGAATTCCCCTGCCTCTCCAGGCCAGGGGCCCGATCCACGCAGTGAGCAAGTTGCCGGTGGGACGCTGCCTGGGGTAGCTTTCGCAGGGAGGCCGGTGGCTCTGGGCCGGGCCTGTTTCTCAGCCTAGCTCACCTCATGGAGACTTGGAGGGGAGGAGATAACGGTGGCAGCTCCACGCAAACAGGAGGCAGATGGAAGTGATTGGCATTTTAAAGGGCGGGACATCGGGAGGAGAGTGGAGGCCCTGCTTTCCGGAATGGCTTCTTGGTGTCAGGAAATCCTAACGCACACAGCAGCTGGCTCCTTTCCCCTCGCTTGCTCATGTGTCCTTCTAGTATGCAGTGGCCATGGTTGGTTGGTTGGTTGGCTGGCTGGTTGGTGTGAAGCTTTCATATGCCATCCTCCACTGAAAAGTCCCAGGGCAGTAGTACAATGAAAGAAAACTGCAGCAGCCCAGGACAAAATTCAGATGAAGCCCCAACTTAAAACACGTTGACTCTTAAAATCTCCGGAAAATAAAAAGGGGTTGACTTGACACCAAAATGGAAAAAGTGTCGGTGCCAGGCACGCCTCTCTGGAAAACATGTTCCATATCCGGGGCGCCACCACAGGGAAGGCCCTTTTCCCGTTTTCCACTTATCTCTAGTTTGCAGACTCAAAGTCTAGAAGCGTTCTTGTAACGGATGCCGGGAATCACCGGTATCTGCCAAAAGCTCCAATTTGGCCCATGGCTTGTTGGGGACGAGACCCTCTTTTCCGCACATGCTTCTGTCGACCTTTGAAGCAGCTGATGAAGCCACTCGCCGCCTTTGGCCAACACTCTCTGCCTCTTCTCTGCCTTTTAGTGCGCTGGAAGCTCTGATCAACTTTGCCTACAATGGACACCTGGCCATCGACCAGCAGAACGTCCAGTCCCTGCTGATGGGCGCCAGCTTCCTGCAGCTGCAGAACATCAAGGACGCCTGCTGCGCTTTCCTCAAGGAGAGGTGAGGGGCCCAGGTGTCTTCTGCAGGGCGCACCTGCGGATCACCGTGCCGAGACGCTCCAGGTGTCCTGCAACATGGCCGTGCGCGCCTGAATGCAGTGGGCAGACCTCCCCCGCCTGGCACCCTCCGGACGCGACAGGCTGCGGCTCCCGTCGCAGCCCCCCAAGCCAGGGGGTGTTGCAGTCCAACGAATCTGTGGGGTGCCAGGTGGGCAGGAGGCTGCCCCAGGGACTCAGCTGTCCCCTGCAAGCCCAGCTCTGAGCTCAGGCACACCTGCAAGCAGAACTGATGGCGCCAGATGCCTGCAGGGAGCCGGCCAAGCCCCACGTGGCCTGGGCTGAGGCTGTTGGCAACTGGAATCCCTGGAGAACCACTGTGGGGAGAAAGTGTGGGGTGACGGGTGGCCCCTCAGCCCCCTCTTCCTGCAAGTCAAGCCTTTGCTGGGGAGCAGGTGCGGCTCCCCCAGTGCCAAGGAGGGTGGTCTGAGAGGCCTCCCCTACAAGCTTCCTGCGGAAGAGGCAGCCGGGGCTTGAGGATGTCTCAGGGCTTCCCCAGACTGAGCCCTGGAGCTCTCTCAGTGCTGCTGCTGCTCAAAAGTCAGCATCATCAAGGAGATCAGGCAGATATTCTTGCAGGCGCAACATGGAGACGTGGACTTGACAATCCACCTGCTGTGGCCGGCTGGCAAATGCGCCCCCCCGCCCCCGAGGCGCTTCTTCCGACATCTCTGGAGCCGTTCCTCAAGCACTGTCGTGCGTGTTACACGGCAGGGAAGGTGGGGGTTGCAGGCAGGGCCTGTAGAAGGAGGCACGTTCTACTCGAGAGTCGAGCAAGCACTGTGGAAATAGTGGAGCTGCCTGCAGGGGCCCCGGCCAGTCCGTCTCCGGGATAAAGGGCGCAGCATTTAAGATAAAAGTTTGATCCGCCAGGGTTTGGCCAAGGTTCCCAGGGCAGATCGTCCGGCTGAAGCTGCTGGAATGCAGGCCAGTAGGTGGTGCTGGGGGAGCGTGGGAAAGGCTCGCTTCTGTGCAAGAGCACTCCGAGCGGCCCTCCCCTCCCTCCCTCCCTCCCTCCCCTTCCCCTCCCCCTCCCACTCCCAGGGAAGGTCATTTCAGTGAAGCTGCGTCACCAGCGAGGGGCAGAAGGGCAAGCCCACCAAGGCGAGCACTGTGTTTTTTCCTGATGCAACTATAAATATTTCTGAGGAAGTGGGAATTAATAACTTTACGAATGTAATCTACTTGTCTGCTTGTGAAGACAGAACTTGCTTCACAAGTTCACAAGATGTGTGGGAAAACAAACATATCTAAGCAAAGGATAAATCATGTAGAATTGCGGGGGGAAAGCCCATGAAAAGGCACACGACCTCTAGCATGCCAAGGAGCGATTCCTGAAGTTCTTGTGGTTCCATTTCCCCAGTTCTCCTGACATCCATCCTAAAAAATGTCTATTTAAGAGACTTAATTGCAGCCGGAAGGCCTGTGATTGTAAGCAGTGAAAGGGCTTTGAAGAGGGACCTCCAAGGTCCTTTTCTGGAAGCAACAACCTACCCAGGCTTGAGAGTGGAGATAATGTATTTTTGTTCATTTTAAAGCATTCATTCTCCACCTTTTGAGCATTCAAGGGGGCAAACAACAATAGAAAATGCAATTAAACAAGCATTTTTAAACAGAGAGATCAAATTTAACCTTGAGAACATGCACTTGCTGCGATAGTCCCCAGATGGAACGTGTAGCCTCTTTGCAGCCCCAGTAGCGGTGAATGCCAGTTACTCTGTTGTATGGGAGAAAGGAGGTGAACGTGGGATCACTCCAGGCTGACCCCCAGCACTCGAGAACTGAGCTTGCTCCTCCTCGCACACTTCCTCCTGCATTTCACCTCTTGGCCATGCAAGGTGTCGGGCACTGGCTTCCCTCTGTTTGACGGGCCGCTCAGAAAGAGACGGAGCAGCCCAGCTCCTGCCCGGCTCCCGACTCCTCTGCATCCTCCTTAAAGGCTCCATCCCAGGAACTGCCTGGGCGTGCGCCAGTTTGCCGAGACCATGATGTGTGCCGTGCTCTACGACGCTGCCAACAGCTTCATCCACCAGCACTTTGTCGAGGTGTCCATGTCGGAGGAGTTCCTGGCCCTGCCCTTCGAAGATGTCCTGGAGCTGGTTTCGAGGGACGAGCTCAACGTCAAGTTGGAGGAGCAGGTATTCCGCGGAGTGCATTCCATTTGTGTAGCGCCCGACAGCCAAACTCTCCGGGTGGCCCGCGGCGCTTGAGATGCTTAAAATATCCTGCATCATGTAGAAATAGTTTACAAACAAACATATGAACAGATAGCACGCACACACACAAGTATTTATCCGAAGAACCATTAGGGACAAGAAATCCCGGGACACAATTAAACATCGTGCGTCATGCTGACAAATGTCTGAGAGGAGAGAGAGGCCATGGCTGGGTACCGAAAGGCAGCGCCCAGTGGGCTTCCTCGGGGTGCTCATTTCGCAGCCAGAGGGCTGCCGCTGAGACGTTCCTCCCGCATGCTTCCCCCGTCCAAGCTGCTCTCAGAAGAAGCCCGTGAAAAAGGCCTTGGGTGGGGAGCATAGCGTGGCATGCGCTAGGACAGGTGTGCGCTCTCTGCTAGGACAGGTGTGCGCTCTCGGGGGTCCAGAGGCTGATTAATTTGGTCATTACAAGAGTTTCTCACTGCATTTTTACATTTGTAAGAAAGAGGTTCAAGAGAACATCCTGTATTTCACACCAGCACGTAGGAAAAGGGCTGTCCGGTCCGGCACTCTGTGCCTGCGGTGGCAAACCAGCTGCCCACAGGATCCCTCAGCGCGATGGGTGCAAGGCCCCCTCAGCAACGGCTATGCAGGCATGCCGCCCCGGTAACAGAGGTAGCCCATGGCCAGCGAGGCTGGTAGCTGCTGGTAGCCGCCTCCTCGTGAATGTGTCCAAGCTCCATCCAGATTGGTAGCCATCACCGCTTCCCAAGCCAGTGAATTCCACAATTTAACTGTATACTCTGTGAAAAGCTCCTTCCTTTTATCTATCCTAAACCTCCCACCAGTCAGCTTCATTTCACCATTTTAACAAAGCAGCAGAATTGCAAAGCTACAAAACAGTTACTGTGGGGAGGACAGGAAAGTCATATGAGGACTGCTGAAACAGGGCAGAGGGGGCCACATCCTTGGGGCACAGAAAATGCTCTCCAACTGGTTCCCACCCGTCGTGTTTCCTGTGTTGGTGGGCACCAAGAAGGGTGTCTGCCATGCAGCACTGAGAATGGGCGGGCTCTCAGAGGAAGGGTCCGTGGGCCCTGGTCATGAACTAGTTGGTGTTTTAAAGCTAATAACCGGCAGTATTAATGCATCTGGAGGCAAGGAATAGCCAGTGTAGTTGGGAAAAGGAGAGAAATCACACACGCTCCAAACCCTGACTTGGTTGGAGAATCTTGCTGCTGTATTTGGAAGCCGGTGAAGTTTCTGAGCATGCACTGAAGGAAGCTCTGTAGAGCAGTTTGTGTTTATTTGTACACTACCTTTCCATATGTTCTGTTCCCTCTAAAACTGTGAAAAACAAACCCAGCCTGGTTTTGGAACTTAGGCACTGGGGTAAGATGGTTTTCTTTAGGCCACACCAGTTAGCCTGCTGAAAAAGCTGTTGCAACTGGCCGCATCCACCACCGCAGCCACTCTGTGCGCGGGAAGTGCGCGTTGCGGCAGCCATTTTGTGCAAGCAGCTACAGCACACTCAGAATTCTACACGTGGTTAGTGGCCCAAAAAGGTTGGAGACCATTGCCGCGGGTTTAAAGGGGGATCAAAGTCCGAATGAGTGATGGAACACTGTGTGTGAGCAGGGGCCTCTCCTCCAGGGTTCCTCCCTGTACCGAAAGCACCTTGACAGGTGCCCGCTCACCTCTCCTGAGCTTCCGGCTCTTCTTTTGCCAGGTCTTCGAAGCCGCCTTGGCCTGGGTGAGGTACAGCCGTGAGCATCGAGAGAGCTGCTTGCCGGAGCTCCTGGCCAAAATCCGCCTGCCCCTCTGCCGGCCTCAGTTCCTCACGGACCGCGTGCAGCAGGACGACCTGGTTCGCTGCTGCCACAAGTGCAGGTGCGTGTGCTGGGGCCGTTCGTCGGGGAAATCAACGCAGGGCAGTGATGCACCTGGCTCCCCCACACTTGGGACCCCCTTTCCACCACGCGGGCCAGAGAGGGAGGGAGCCGTCCTCCCGATGACCCTGCCAGTGCAGGAGGCGAAAGGCCGAGTGCTCTTGCTGTCCTCTCTCGCTCTCTCATACCTTGTGGCCCTTAAGCGCAGGGCCTCTGGTGGGCTGCACGGGTTCCGTGCCCTGCACTGCCACGGGCGCCGCTTTTTTTAGAGACCTGCCATTGCCCCCTTTACCACCCAGTGATGAAGAAAGAGATGGTGGCATCCAGGACCTTGCCCTTCATTTTTGCACGCTTGCTTCACTGCACGCAGGGAAGCGCTTTGCACAGATGACCGGGGGAGGTGATGCTGCCTTGACTCCTGGGCGCTAGTTTCAGTATCTGTGAGGAGCATTCAGGTGGCTGGCCCCTCGTCATCGCACGCCTTGCTCTGCTAGGGTTGCTTTCGGTACATCAAGAGGAGCTGTATGATGCACGGATCCCGGCACACCCCAGTGCCCCCCATATATGGGGGGGCAGACATCTGCAGTGGGTTTGGGATGATCGAAGCCTGCGCATGTGCACTGTGCGGTGCTGATGCTCAGACCCCGCAGCAGTCTGGCGCTTGGCTGAGAATCTCTGCAGCGAGCTGCCCACTCTGGGCCTCCTTCTTTGCGGGGTGGAGGGCTCTGCAGGCGACATAATGCCACGCAGCCAAAGGCAGGGCTGGAGGGGTGAAAATGGAAGAGCCCTCATTCCACCTACGAGCGCCCAGTTTCCCATCTCTGAGTTCTGCCAGAAGTCGGTTGCAGGTGTGGTTTAGACCGCGAGTGCCAGCTCCTCTGTCCCACAGCAAAACCCGTGGCCACACGTTCATCTGGACAAACGTTTGCAAAGAAACGCGGAACCTCTGATGGGGGCCTGATCTGTGCCATGCGCTCGCTTACGCAAGTCCCCGTGGGTTTGGCAGGCAGGCGAGTGCGCTGCCATCTGGCAGATCCTTGGCAAGCAGGAAAGCGTATCTGGCTCTGTTGATTTTGTGGGTTCGCATGCGTGTCTCTCGCGCTCCTGTTAGCAATGGGCTCACCTGTCTGTCTGAGGTGGCTTACGGTTCGGGCCATTGTATTCATGCTGGTCTACAGCTGAGAGCTGCCGAGCGAGCATTCAAAATGTGACTGCGGCATAGAATTCTGGGAATGCTCGGAGATCCCCAACAAGGGCCCACTTACCGGCCCGGTTTGTGTATCAAAAGGGCGCTAGCACCGCCACTTCCAAGGAAACCCAACTGCTGGGGGATTTGGATGAGCCTGAACGTTCATTTCCCTTCCCGTGGTCATGAGAGCTAAGGAAGTAGAGAGATCGCGGACGCCCTGGCTGCTGGCATTTCTGGCCCGCTTCCCCACTCCACTCCTGCCCTCGGCTCAGATTTCCCCTGCGATGTTGCACGCGCTCCCAGGTGTACCTTGACATCTTAGCGAAATGGGTGGTTTGATGTGCAAGGGGAAATGTTCAGGATGCCAAGCTACCTGTTCATCATGGATGTGGTGGAGCCTGACATGGAAGGGCACCCAGCTTTTACCTGTGGGGGGGGCGTGGGGGGGGGCAGAAGGGTGCCCCTGGCACCCAGGAGGAGCTGGGGAGCCAGCCACAAGTGACGGCTGCACCCCGCCAGAAGCCGTGGGGAGGGGATGCCCGGGCTCCAGCTCCACCGCAGTGCAGAGGCCGCCCCCCAACACGCTTTTCCCGCTGCTCCTGCTTCCGTCGCTCCTCGAGTGGTGTGCTCACCCGACTGCCCCCTTTGTGGCTCGGCCGTTGATTGTAGGGACCTTGTGGACGAAGCGAAGGACTTTCACCTCATGCCCGAGCGCCGCCCGCACCTCCCGGCCTTCAAAACGCGCCCCCGGTGCTGCACCTCCATCGCTGGCCTCATCTACGCCGTGGGAGGCCTCAACTCAGCAGGTATCTCTCAAATCTGCTGCCTGTCTGGATGTGAGCGGGGCCCTGCGGGGAGGAGGGTTGTGGGCCCATCGGGACCTGTCCCCGTGGAAACGTGCCGCAGCTGCTCAGTAGCAGAAGGCAGCCGCTCCAGCTGGGTCAGAGCAGAGTGGCCGTCTTGGAGACTGCCCTTCATCTGTATCCGGGAATTACGGACGCACACAACCCAAATTCCCTGGTATGGGGCTGGCCCAGGGAGAATGCCTCTGAAAATCCACGGCGTAGCTAGCTTGGCCTCTTGAGTGTCGGCGATCTTAAGTGCTTGCTGAAGTGATCCCCCCCCCCCCCCCCCCGCTTATCCAGAAAGCAGGTGCATGAAGTTTTTATGTCCGCTTGAGCTCAAACATGAAATGGAGCATTTTAGCCCCTGTGTCAAAATGGAGCATCCAACCCCTGTCGTTGATCTCTTCCTTTCCGTTTGGAAGCTCAAGGAACCCACAGAATATAAACTGTGAGGAAACATTCCAGCTGAATCAAGAGCAAAGGGTTCCGGCAGCCATAAGCTGCACACTAATGCATTGACAATTGAAAGCCTTTAAGCATGTTTCCGTAATGACATAGGGCTGAAACGTGCACGTCTATTTCAAGAAAGGCAGACCAAATACCCACGTATGTATCCATTCGGGAGTGGCATCTATGCGCCAGGGAGCCAAACGTTCCAAGCATCGTAGCCTGCGATAAGCAGCCTTTGGATCCCATATAAAAGATTTCCTGGCCTCGCATCCACGGTGCAAGAGTCACCCTGGTTATCCTCCCAATATGAGGAAATCATACAAATAAACACCCCGTCATTAAGAAAAGAAACTTTAAGGTGCCAAAGACCCTGGGGCCTTGGCAGAGTTGACAAACTCCAGCCAGACTGGGGCATAATCTGAGATGATCAGCATTTCAGACTCTTGCTTAATACAGCAAAGGCATGGAAACCAGAAAGTACCAGTTCTCCTGCGGGGATGAAATAAACATAAGGTCTCCCCGCAGGAAGCAAAATTCTCCAGGCATCAGTCAGACCAAGTGTGCCTCACTGCCACATGCCTCTTAGGAGCAGCTGCATTTCCATCCCACACTGGGCCCAAAATCCCACTGGAGTCCATGTGGACAAGCAGATAATCACAAGCCAGGTCCATGGGTCTGTTTAAGCCCTCCGGGAACGTGGGCGGAGCGTCCTGGCAGGCCCTGCACCTTAATCCTGGCAATTGCTCGATCAGGTAGAGCCCAGCCAGAATACACAAGCCAGAAGCAGCACTCATAATCCCCTGTTGAACTGAGAAAGAGTGGCTCACACTCATTGAAATCCCAGCCCTTTTGGACTGAGTCAGGGTATCAGTCCTAGGCCTCCCCCATCCAGCCTTTCACTCGCTTGACCCCGAAAGGACTCACTTCTGTTTGGGGCTGGCCATTCCCTCTTCTGCTTGCTCGGGGACAAGCCTCGGAAACCTTGCCAAGCTGCATTCCTCATCGAGCTGCATTCCATGCAGATCCTTGGGGATTCCCGCCAGACACAAAGATCCTAATCAAGCAGCAACGCACGCTAAAGCTGTGCTGGGAAGGCTCAGGCCTGGCGTCAGAGCCGGCTCTTCCGGGGTCCGAATCCTGTTCTGAGCTTCCGCCAGATGACAGCACCCCCTCCCCTCACCCCCTTCCACCCCCCGCCAATTAATTGGTCGTTTCCCAGCCTTCGCCTGTTTTTTCTCCTGTTCTAAATGCTCGAAGCACCTCTTCTAACAGTACTGGCAGTAAGAGCTTTAAGCTAAATTATGCTTGTATTCCCACCCCATGAATGTCGATGAGTCTTTGGGATCACCACTTTTTAAAACGTGAGCAGCAAATTTCTACGCAGGTGACTCGCTGAACGTGGTGGAGGTCTTTGACCCGATTGCCAACCACTGGGAGAAGTGCCAGCCGATGACGACCGCTCGCAGCCGGGTGGGGGTGGCCGTGCTGAACGGACTCCTGTACGCCATCGGTGGGTACGACGGGCAGCTGCGGCTGAGCACGGTGGAAGTGTACAACCCGGAGACGGACTCCTGGTCCAAAGCGGGAAGCATGAACAGCAAACGCAGGTGCGTGCCGAGGCCGGGCGGGAAGGGCGACCTCTGTAGAGGTCTTACAGAACGCGCTCCCCAGAGAGGTCCGCCTGGCGCCGTCATTATTTGCTTTTCGGAGCCAGGCCAAGACCTTTTTATTCAAATGTTATTTTAATTGTTAATGTTATTTATTGATTTTAAATTGCCAGGATGTCTCCACTATTTTATGTATTTATATATTGGTGTTTGTTTATGATTGGAAGCCGCCCCGAGGCTTATGTGAAGGGGCGGCATATAAATTGTTTAAATGGATAGACAGACAGACAGACAGACAGATTAGACAGACAGACAGACAGAGGACCAGGTCCCTTGCCTAAGTGGGAGAGGCCCTCTGTCTTAATGGGACACTATCCAGCTTGTCGTATTCAAGGCAGGTGTTCCAGTTAACGTGCTTTGGACCTGTTGGTTCAAAAGCCTGCCGAGACATGAAGTTTGCAGGATTAATTTAGGGTGTGATCGTTCGGAAGTTCAGAGAGAGAAAGGCCTACGATTCTGCACAGCGCAGGATTCCGGCCTTGGGCCCCCTTTTAGGGTCAAGTCTAAACCAGCTGTGGTTAGCACTTCAGCGGGCACCCCGGTGTGCCTATTCTAACTGGGTTTCTGCGTGGATGTTTGCTGAGGAATCCCTGCACTAAAGCCTTCAGGCTGGGCCAGGCTGTAAATGTTAACAGAAAAATACTCTTACGAGCATGATAGAGAACGGCGAGTAGACCCCAGCTGTCCTCGTTTCATATCCTTCCAAGTGCTTGTAGAATGAATGCTGTTCTTAAGCGCAGACTCAGATCCCAGCTCAAAGGCCCTCTGTTCACTGAGCTTGAGCACAAACAAGCTCGTTATCCTGGAGTGAGTTCCTTGCCCCGGTTGATTCCTCATGGCCTCAAGGAGGAAGGGCCTGTTATCTCTGCCAGTCGGCATTCGCTGCTCTGCTTAATCTCTGCGTGCCGAGCAAACCCAGGGACTTGTATGGAACTCCTTAATCTGCTGGCTTGCATCAAGTTACTTCTAAACACTCTCTCCAAGATGTCACTGATGTGCTTTCAAAGACTTGTCCATATGCGACAATGAGGAAATCGTGCTTTTCTTTTTCTTTTTCCTTTCCTTTCCTCTTTTGAGGCCAAGAGTCTCGGTGAGACTTGTTCCTTGCAGCACCTGTGGAGAAGCAAAATAAACTGCCTCATCTTTTTCAAACAGCTTTACGCAGCTTCTCCTGTGCCTGTGTACCCTGTGTGAGAAAGAGGCTGTGGGCCATTCGCATGTCAAGCGTGAGCGCAGGGCCTGAACAGAACCAGGTGGGGTAGGCCCGGGCCTTTCCACAGCAGGCCCAGTGGCTGCTCTGCTGCAGCCATCCCCAGCCTGGCCACCCCCGGCAAGCGCAGGCCGCTCACCCGCACATGGCGCAATGGGTCCATTTTCACCGTTGCTGCGTCTGTGCTTTGTCACTCTCCCGTTGGCTGGGAAACATGTTATACGGTGGACAGAGAACTGTCGCAGCAGCTTCCTTCGGATCTCCTGTGACTACAACTCCCATCTGGAGGGCACCAGGTTGGGGGAAGCCTATTCTTCTGCATCTGGGAAACAGGGAGCGCTTTAATTTTTCATAGTTAAGTGCAGGTCACATTCATTGGGCAATCAATTTAGAGCAAGCAGGCATAAGTTGGCTCCCAGTTGGTCGTAACTTTCCATAGACCCACTGAGATATATGGGGCTAAAGTCAGTCGTCACTAACTTGTGCAGTTGATTCCAGTAGATCTCTTGCCACGACAGATCTAGATTTGGTCTCTGGGAAATAAACTCGTCGGTGATGACTAGTCCAGAAAGATAAAACAAAGTCTTAAGCTTGGTGAACAAATCCCCCGGTGACTGAACGAGAGGGGAAGGCACATCTGTGAAGGGGGAAGCAGTGGGGGGAAAGATAGGGAAACACCCAAGTGCCAACGGAAAGGTCCTTTTCTTGCCCCGAATCGTAACGGCCTCAACAAATCTTCCCGCCGCCAAGCGCCCAGCGCTGACCACGCGGTCTGTGCCTTGTTTCAGCGCCATGGGAACGGTCGTTCTGGACGGACAGATCTATGTTTGTGGCGGGTACGACGGCACGTCCTCGCTCAACTCGGTGGAGTTGTATTCCCCTGAGACAGACAAGTGAGTGCCCCCGCCTTGCGCCGGGTCCTCCTCCATCCTGCTGCACGTGGGGGCAGAGTTTGAGGGCGCTCCCTTGTCGGCTGCCGCTCACCGCTCTCGCTTTGCTGCTCTCTCGGAAAGGTGGGTGGAGGTGACCCCCATGAGCTCCAACCGCAGCGCAGCCGGCGTCACCGTCTTTGAGGGCAGGATCTTCGTCTCCGGCGGCCACGATGGGCTACAGATCTTCAACAGCGTGAGTCTTTAAAAAAAAATGGGTGGTACCTCTTCTTGTTTGTGTCGGGCAAGCCTCTTGCTTCTTTCCCGCTTTATTTCTAGGGCTCAGGGCCAAACGGTCGCCCTATTTAGCCTTACCGAAAGGCTTGCTAAGTCGGCTGCCCTGGGGCACGGCCCCCATTGAAGGGCAGGACAGGGCAGGACGGAAGAACAGCAGAGCTGGAAGGAGCTGGAGGGCCATTGGGTCGAAGCCCCTGCTCGGCGTAGGGACTCCCAGTTAAGCCATCCCTCCCAGAGGGCTGCCCAGCTGCACCTTGGAGGCCTCCAGGGTGGGAGAGCCCGGCATCTCCCTAGGTCAAGGGTCCCATGGTCTTACTGCTCTCACAGGCAGGAAGTTCTTCCTGATGCCCAACTGGAACCTGTCTCCCTGCAACTTGAGCCCACTATTCTGTATCCTGCACTTTGGGATGAACGAGTAGAGTTCCCGTCCTTCCTCAGCAGAGGAGCTTTTTCCAGCCCCGCTGCCTTCGTAGATCCCCGCCATCCAAAAGGTCGCGTGCTTGTTTTGGACCAGTGTGGCTCCCGCAGACCCTTTCAGCCGCCAAGCATTAAAAAGTGCAGTCCAAAGGCACCACGCTTGCGCCTTAAGAGGCGCAAGAGCTGCGGGCACGTGGCGTGCAGTGCGATGCCCCAGGCCGGCCGGGTCCTCGCGACAGAATTCCCGGGAGAGCTGGTTCAGCAGTTCGCAGGTTGGCTCCTGCCCCTCGCTGGCTTGCCAGGGCCGCCTCCCCATGCCCACCTGCCTCCCTGCCCTCTTCCTCTCTCACAGGTGGAGTACTACAACCACCACACGGCCTCGTGGCACCCCGTGGCCAGCATGCTGAACAAGCGCTGCCGGCACGGGGCGGCATCCCTCAGCAGCAAGATGTTCGTCTGCGGCGGCTACGACGGCTCGGGCTTCCTCAGCATCGCGGAAGTGTACAATTCCATGGCGGACCAGTGGTATCTGATAGTTCCCATGAACACACGGCGCAGCCGGGTCTCCCTGGTGGCCAACTGTGGCCGCCTGTACGCCGTGGGAGGCTACGACGGACAGTCCAATTTGAGCTCGGTAGAAATGTACGACCCGGAAACCAACCGCTGGACGTTCATGGCCCCGATGGTGTGTCACGAGGGGGGGGTTGGGGTGGGATGCATACCCCTCCTGACTATTTGAGCACGTGGGGGTGGGGGCCACCGCATGCAAGCCGTAACAGCCCGGGCCAAGGAAGGACCCCCTCCCCCAGAGAAAGACCCTGCAGGAGAGGCTTGCATTCTGCCAGGCGCGGTACAGCATTCCTAGGTGCTTGGAGCACGGATGCCCTGGAAACACAGAGACGGCTCGCCCATCTGAGCCGTGCTGCCCTCGAGACGGCTGGAGCTTGGCCGTCCGGGCCGCGTGGATGAAGGATGCCCGCCTCTTTCTCTGCCAAACTTCCGCCTCCCGTCGTGCGGTCCCTTTGCTGATGCTGCCATGGCCCGTTGATGTCAGAGGCGCGGTCCCTCGGGGGCCGCTTGATGTCTGGTGCGAGAAGATGCTTCTTACGGTGTCCTCTTGAAAGCAGAGAAGGGAGGAGACACGACAGAGATGCCACCTCCTTTGTGTTCAGGGCAGGTGTCCAATGCTCTCCCCCCCCAACACACACACACACACACTCAGTTCCAGTAACTTTATACACCTGCAGATCATCCGTTTTCCAGCTGAAAGGGAAGGGAGCTGGAAAGCGAAGTTTGCTCCCACCCCCACACACCAAAGGGGCCTGGTGCACATATAAAGACCTCTGCGATCAGTAGCTTTTCCATTTGTCTCCGTGCTCATTTCGTCTGTGTGCAGAAGGTAAGAAGATGGCGAGTCTCCGGAAGTGAACAGATGAGGCCGAGGGGAAGGTGGGGATCGCGGCCTCTCATCAGCAGCCCGCCCTGGAGGAGAGCTGCATTTCCGGTTCCCCAGGGCCATGGGAAAGGCTTGCGGCCACAGAAGTGAGCCAGTTACACCCATGAGGTTGAGCCAGTGTTGTACTTCGTGTCGGTTAAAGAAATAGTTTTGAGAGTTGTGCAGGCCTAGCGAGTAACACAAGGACTTTCAAAGCAGAAAACCATCCCCTGAGTTGCTGGAACAGGCTTGCTTGCCCCGCATCAGCGGTGCACCCGCCGGGTCGCCAGGTTGGTGGGTGCCGGGGCGGAGGGGGCCGGGTGTGGCTATCACGGTCACCATTCTGTCTGCTCCTGCACCTCTGTCTTTGGCGGCAGCTCCCTGCAATCGGAGCACCAGCCTTACACCAACAGCCAGCCCTCCCGCAAAAACATCCCTGATTACCCTGAACGGGGAGGGGAGGGGAGGGGAGGGGAGGTGGCCGCATCCTTTTCGGTTCTGGGAGGCTCCCGCTTTAGCGTTTTTCCAGCTCTTGCATGGTGCCCTTCGTGTTCCAGCTCTCCCGTCTGCTTGACGATTGCCATCAAATACCTTGTCCCCTTGCAAGGAGCTGAAATGCCAGCTGCTTGTAGCAGGGAGAGCGAGCGCCTGGGTTTTGCGGGGTGGGGGGGACAGGAACAGGCCAAGCGCAGATCCTCGCTTGCTGCCGAGGTGAAGAGGCGGCATTCAGGCTTTAATTGGCTTTAATGGGCAACCGGGCCTGAGGGGCCGCGCCTGTTGAAGAAGAGGCTGCTCGGCCTCCGCGTGAGCAAGTGCCGTAATGGCCAGTCCCCTCCTTGAGCCAGGCGTGGCTGCTGCAGCTGCCCTCGGCTGGGCTGACCGCCCATCGGGTTGCCAAACTTAAGTCGTCCAGCGGAGGCTTGTCTTTCACATCGGACAAAGCAGCAGCATCGGAACCAGATGGAGCGCGGTGGAGGGAGAGGAAGGGTCCCCTGAAGATGCATGAGACGGTGGAGGGTCCGCTCTACCTTTCTAGCATTTTTCAGTCTGAACGTCACCAAACCAGCCACTCTCCAGTTTTGCACAAAGGTCAAACGGTCATTTAATTCCTTGGAAGTCCCCTCTCCCTCCCAAGTTATGTCCCTTGTCTTAAATCGCTCTTAAATTTGGCCCCTGCCTGATCCGCCCCACGTGGGGGCCCTCAGTGGCTCTTGCCAGCCCGCCTCCCCCATGCAAAGGGGCTTCGCAGCCCTGGCGGGATGAGCCATTCCACACCGTCCGGGCTGCAGGAGGGACTCTGCCCTTGAGAGCTCATTGCAGTGGCACCCCGGCCTCGCATGCCCCTGCGGACCAGCCCTTCCGGCGCAGGAGCCGCTGGGAACAGCACTGCGGTGGCCAGTCCTTGAAACGAGGCGGAGGGTGCCTCCACCTGCCTGTGCTGCCTCGACTCCTCCAGGTGCTCAGTGAGCGGCAGGTCCCTTGTCCTCTGGCCAGGGAAGTGGGCCTCCTCCCCGCACTCAGGGCCCCGGGCACGTGGTGCCAGCAGCGGGCTCCCGTGTCCTCCCAGAAAGTGTGGAGCACCTCCAGAGGGTCACAGTGGGGCGGCCGCTCTTACAGACCCTGCCTGCCTCCCCCCCACTTTGCTCTTTGGAGCATCTCCTGCCCTCCAGAGCGACTCTGGATGCATTGGAGATCGCCGTGGTCTTATTTCCTGCGGTACGTGGCAGGGCTGTGGGTTTTATTCTCTGTGCTTGTACCTGAGCAGCATTTTGGATTTTCATGCTGCAGAAGTCAAGCAGTTTCCCCTCCAGACGCAAATCCCAGTGCGGCCAGAAGCAAAGAGCCTTCTGGGCCAGGACTAGTGAGTCTCTCTGAGCGCTTGCAGGTCTCTAGAAACGGAAATGTGTTCCGAAAGCGCTGTGACTTCTTGCAGTGGCTGGTGATCTCTCAAAGCACAGGGAAGGGCACGGGATGGTATCCATCCCACATCCATTTAACTTGAAGGAAATGTCTTTCTCAGATGGTCAGTAGATCTTTCCAGTTTGTGAATGTGACTCGTCTTCCCCAACCTTTCTCCGTGAACCCATCCGCTAAGGTCCGTATGTGGTGTGGGATCACAGGGCTGTTCATTCAAACTCAAGATCTTCCGTGTCCCCAGGTGAATACCTGTTTGAGTCCATCGGGGGCATGGAAACCGTGTTGGCGGAGCAGTTTGCAGCACCTTGGCCAGGAGAGGCTTCCTCACCGCCCTCGTGCAAATCAAAGTGCCATGGAGGATCGCCGGCCTTCCGCAACAGCCGGCGTGCCCGTATTCTCTCCCAGACGGAGGCACTTCACTCCCCACAGCAAAGGAATGCGCTTGCGCTCTTCACGACATGCCAAGATGCTACCACTTTGCAATGGGCTGCATCTGAACATTGCTGCTGCAGAGTTTGTCTGTTGTGGATGTGGATGTGGATGTCTAAATATGTATACATCTATCTATTGATGATCTGTGTATAAAATGGTTGTTTCTCGTGGGCATACCTGGATTTCCCGTGTGCATGGTTTGTTCACACATCCGTGTCGCCGACTTGCATCTGTAAACCAAAATGTTTGCAAGAGAACCAAAACGTACTCCGGGGTACAAATTCCTTTTCACATTTCTGCACTGCTATGACATTTGTAAAAAAAAAAAAAAAAGACTTGGAAACGCTTTCCAACAAGGTGTGGACAACTGCAGTCCTCAATTTCTTCAGGCAGAAATAAAATAGGTAGCTGGGTTTCCCCACTCCCAGTGCTGTTTATCCATCGGGAAGGGAATTAGGTTTGAGGGAAGCAAAGAATTTGAGCCAAGTGGCTGCTGGTCGCAGGGCTGGGCTCGGAAGGTGTGCGCCAAAAGAGGCCAGCGCCTTCCTGTCGCAAAAAAACTGCTCACGCCGACCCCCAGTGCCAAAGATGAGGCCCCACTGCCAGACTAGTTCGCTTTTCAAGCAGCAGTGTAAATCCATCCACAGGGTGAAAGGGGTTGTGGAAACAGATTCTTTCAGGCTGTGGGTCCTGGTGCCACGTGGTAAAGGAGGCCCTGAACTCCTGGCTCAGTCCATGCATGTTGCGGGCACTGGCTGAGCACCCGCTGGTGGGTTCTTGACGTGACACCTGCCGCTGCACACGTGGAAGCACGGAGCCCACTGAATGCAGACTCAGGCAGCCTCACCTGGTGCCAGGTGGGAATTCATCTGGGCATATCCAGAAACCCAGCCTGGGTTTTCTGAAGGCAGGCTGCAGCGGCAGACGGAAGGGAATGCAAAGCTGTCCGGGACCCAGTTCCAAGCGCTCGTTGAGCTGGCAGTCCGGGGGAGGAAATGGGCACAAAAGGTAGGAAACTATTTTGCTAAATATCCGTGCCAGCAGCTCTGCTGAAAGGAAAGCAGGAGAGCACGGTGACATATTATTTTTGCTCGGCATACGAAGCGGCTTTTGTAGAGGATGAGAGTGAGGGCTCTGACCCAGAGGGCTTACGATCTAGAAATAAGCCCCAACAAAGGCAATGTAAGGGTCGGAAATGGATGGTGTGATTATTTTGATTGCCAGGACTTGGGCTAAATTGTAAGGTATTGCAGGCAGGGCTGTGTATCAAAGGGCTCTCTCGAGCAACTGAGCTGTTGGAGGGACTTTTTCTAATTTCTGATTCAAGTGGAGTTTCCCAAAAGATTATCTTTTATCTTGCAGTCCCAGCAAAATAAATGCAGCAGCTCTGTCGGAATCAGGGAAGGGAGTTTCCAGTGCATGTTTCGGCACCTTCAGGAAAGGCCCAAGAGCCAACGGGTGGAGTTGACCTGGGATTGGCTCCATTAACCATGATCAGGTTTGCAAAAGGTTAATTACAATTAAGCAGAGGTATGTGTCTATATATTATTCCAAGACCATATATGTTGTATAACTATTAAGAAATCACTATGCTCCAAAATCCTAAGAAAAGAGGGCAAAGAGATTTTGTTGAGTTACTGGGAGATGTTGCCAGGCATCAGGACAAGACTCTTTGAGGAAGCGGCATTACATAGAATTTCCCAAGCTCTGCTAAGACAGGGAAAACAGCTGCGTTTTGCTGAGGGAGCAAAGGCGGCATCAGCTGAGTTGTCCCTACGACAATTACCCATTCATTAAGGACGGCTCAGGTCTGCCCTTAAATGCGACGGAGGATGAATTCTGCCTTCTCACTCCTCTGCCCCCTGAACACACAGTCGGCTCATCTTGCAATTTTGGGGAAGCCTTCACTTCTCTGAGAATCTGATGGGTTTGAAAAGCAGGCTCAGAGGAACCTGTAAAAATCGGGTTCATGGTCACGACCATGGTGCTTCGGGGCAGGACGTGGGGACAAATGTGGGCTGCTTGCGGGAAGAAGCAGGCCGGACCCCCCGACAGCGGCAGCTCTGTCTTCCCCCTTCTGCAATCCACGCATGACCCCTGGAAGGGCAGGTGAGCAGAAAGAGGAGGCAGCGGGGGGTGCCGTGAGGTCCCGAATTCATCCGACGAGCAGCAGCGCTGAGTGGCCACATCAGGAATTAAGCTCGAAGGTGTGAACGGTTAGCAAGGATTTGCTTCCAGTGTCAGGTAAGGCTGCAGTTCCCTGTGTCCTCGGACTGGCCCCCTGGCCACCTTGAAACCACCGTTGCAGGAAGGGTGGTGGGCCCCGTCCCAGCAGCCACAGCCGCGAGCAGCACACGGCTCCGGAATCGCCTCCGAGCGGCCGGGCTCTCTCCTCCTGGCCTAACCTTGGAGGGGGAGCCGTGCCTTCTCCGCCAGGGATCTTTCCCGGCCTCCAGTTTTGCAATCTTCGGCTGGGGCAACAGCCACATGGCCAAGGGCAGTGGGGCTCAGCTTCTGCACGAGGGGCTTCCTTGCCACGCAGCCTTTCAAACCTCCCATGCCTGCCTTGAACTTCCAACGTCTCTCCGCCCCCCTCGTCCCTTCCCCTCTCAGCTGCCCCGCCTCCCCAGCCCATGCTCAGTCCCGGCGTCCTTGCAGGCCCCCAAACGCTCCCCCCCCCATTTTAGGATTGTGCCCCGCAATATTCCGAGATCGGAGAGCTGGAGAACACCAGAGAGCTCTCACACCGGATCACACCACGCGTCCCTCTGGTCCAGCCTCCTGCCCCCACACTGGCCCCATGGCCTCCCCCATGGGCCACCTCAGGCAGGGCAAGTGTGCAAGAGCCCCCCATCCCCATGTTCCCCAGCAACTGGTGTGCACAGGCAGACTGCCCTGAGGGCAGAGGGCATCCAGCCATCTGGACTGGAATCACTGACTCCCGGAACAAAGAGCAGCAGCCATCCGGTCCCAGCCCTGCTTGGAGTGGGACTGCAAGCTCCAGCATCCCCAGCAGAGGGCTGCCCAGATGCTTCTTGAACGCCTCCCGTGTCGGACAGCCCCCCACCTCTCTCGGCCTCTGGTCCCATTTTCCTGGCATCCGTCTGGAATCTGGCTTAGTGCAGCCTGAGCCCCTCCTCCTGCGACCTGCACTCTGGGACGATCGGGACGGATCCTGGCCCCCCTCTGAGGGACGGCCCTTCCAGCGTTTGGAAAAGCTCCCTCCTCACCTCGAGGGTGGACAAGCCCGTGCCTCCCAGTCTCCCCTCAGGGGGCTTGTTTCCCCTCCCCGGGTCACCCTGGCTGCCCCCCTCCGGTCCCTTTCCAGGGGGGATCCGGACGCAGACCCCAGGTGCGGCCGACCGAGCGCTGCACGGAGGGGAACCGGCCCCTCGCCTCACCTGGGAGCCACGCTTCTGCTGCTCCTGCCCAGAATATCCTTTGGACTGATATTCAGCTTGTGATCCCCAGAGGTCCCAAGATCCCCCTCGCTGGGGGAGTCGAGCCCTGGACCCCCATCGGCACCCAGGGCCCCCAGGACCCCTGCGGCAGGATGGGTGCAGGAGCTCCCGGCCCAAGCTCCCCAGCAAGTGGCGCGGGGAGGCAGCCGCCTCTGCGGAAGGTGGGGGCTGGCAGCCAGCAAGGCCAGTGCTCACTGGGAGCCGCCTCCCTCGGGAATCTGCCATGCTGCCTCTGCCCGGGAGGGAGGGGGGCGGGAAAGGGCTTTCTTGAGCACCGGGCATCCCCCCAAGAGCTGCCCCCCCCCAGCCTCCCCCCCCATCAGGGCTGAGCTGGGAAACTCCCTGAATTCTGCGGTCGGAGGAAGCATCCCAAAGGCGGTTTTGGAGGCAGAGGTTTATTCTGACATGCGGAAGGAAGCGGGGGCCTCATGCGGCTGCCAGGGGAGACTGGAGGGTCCTTCGCGTGTCCGGCACCACCAGGCGGCCCTGTTCTCGCGAGGTCTCTATCCGAACCGTCTGAGTAATCGGACTGTTCCAATAGCAATGCTCACGCCATGCCTCTTCAAGAACCTTTTGGCTTTTCGGAAGAACCTGCGCCAGCGAAATCGTGTGACGCGGTCCAGCTGCAGAGGGGGAAGGGGGACGCGGCGTAAGCCAGCAGCGGGATCAGGCCAGGCCTCCACCGTGGCCAGTGCGACGCTCACAGCACCGTCCTGTCCATCTTCCTCGGGACGTGATTGTGCGTGTGTGCCCAGAACTCAGTCCTGGCAGCGTGGGGACTCCCTTGGCCCTCCCAGGCTCAGGGGCTTCAGGACAGGAGGGACCCAGCCTGGCCTTAATGTTGACCCCCAACTGTGACCTTTTGACGCGAGGCAACCAGCATGGCCCTTCGCGCTCCCGCGCTTCCCTTGGGGTCGCTCTCCCGGCCTCATGCCAGGGCAGGGCGACCGCCCCCCCCAGCAGAGGGTCCAGCCGGCCCCCTTTCCTTCCAAGGGGGGAGGGCGGGGGGGGGGGGGGGGCTGGGCCGCTGGCGCTGCAGGCGGATGTTCCAGCTCTTCACGCGAGCAGGGAGGCAGGGAGGGACCCGTGCGCAGGACCCACACGCCGCGGGTGGAGAGCCCCGTAGCCTGGGCAGGCCCCCGGTGTGCATCCTGGTGCGCCAGGAAGTCGCTCTGCACATGCTTGGAGGCAGCTCAGTCTGGCGACTCCCCGTTCATACAAAACCATCTCAAAGGGGGCAGGCCGTCGGGGTCCGTCTACCCCAGACCGGACTTCCACAGAACCGGCCCCCTGCGCTCCCCGAAGGTGTCCCTCCGCAGTGCCCCCCGCCCCCCAGTCTCAGTGCTGAGGGCCCCCCCCCGATAGCCCCCAGGGGAAGCCAGAAGGGGCCCACCTCTTGGTCCACGTCCTCGCACTGGACCATGATGGTCGGCGGGTTCTGCTGCGGCGAGTAGAATCCGGAGCAGTCCCGGTCCACCTGCCCGGGGGAGAAAGAGCGGTCGGTGGGGGGGGGGGAGAGGCCAGGACACCCTCCGCCGGGACCTCGTTGTGGCAGGGGACCTGGGCTAGGAGGTCCGGGAGCCAAGGGGGGGCGCGGGGCCAGTCACGGCCCGCGGCCCCGCCGCCCTCACAGGGCTGTTGTTATGGGGACAGGACTGAGAGCAGGAGGAGGAGGGGGCAGGCTGCGCTGAGTTCCTTGAAAAGGACAGAAATCGAGGACCGGGGCAAATACTCTCCCGGAGAACTTCTGCCTGCATTCAGGTGCATGAACGGGGCGGGGGAAGGTCCAGAAGCCCTGCTCGGTTTCCTCCTCTGCCAAGGGCTGGGGGACACAGCAAGGCAGCGCAGGCCCCCCCGGGGCAGGGGGGCCACTGGGGGGCTTACCCCGTCGGGTTTGTAGTCGCACTGGCTGAGGTCGGCCTTCTCCGACGGGCGGCACACGGTCTCCTTGATGGAGAATCTCAACACCTGGTTGGTTTGGGCAGACGAATTCTGTGGGCAAAGGCAGCGAAGGGTGCATTGTGAGGAGAGGAGAGGAGAGGAGAGGAGAGGAGAGGGGTCTGGGGGTGCCCTTCTGGATCCGGGCCTTTGCAAGAGCGGCCTGCTGCACCCTCTGGGGGGGTGCTCGCCCTGGTCTGTATGTCACAGGGACTAGAGCCTTGTCCGGCATCTGTGCGCAGCCTGCATGCGACGGACGCGCTTTCCCCGCACGCTGCATCAGGCAGGCGGAAATCTGTGGGTGGAGGTTCGTCTGCCAGGCTCGCTCCTGGGTGAGATGTGGGAGACCCTCGGAGAAGGGCCCCTTCCTCACTGGAGCACGACGGGGCCCCGGGCCCCTCAGCGCCTCTTTCCTGCCCTTGGACTCCTGCGGCAGCTCTGGCTGGAAGCCCACGAAGCGCTCCAGGGAACCCCGAGGACGGGGAGCGGCCCGTGCTGAGCGCCCCTGCGCTGGATGCCGCCCAAACAGACTGGCAGAGGAGGCTCGCGGGGGTCCCAGCAGCGTTTCCCAAGCTGGCGTGCTGCAGGTGTTTTGGACTCCTCTCCCATCAGCCCCAGCCAGCATGGCCCATGGCCGGGGAGGACAAGGGCTGGAGCGGTGGGGGGGCCCCATGACTCTGACAGCTGACCTCAGCAGAGCGAGCAGGGCACCGGGGCCCCCCGAGTGCAAGAGGGTGCCCCCATTGGGAGGGAGGCTGATTTTAAACATCAGGACTCCCCCTTGGCATGTCCCCCCACCAATTCTAAGCTGCAGCGGAGGCAGCAGCCAAGCAGGGCAGGAAGCCTGGGTTCAAATCCCCCCCACCAGCTCCTCTGCTGGGCAGCAGCGTGGCTTCGGTCACTGCTGGCCCACATCGCAGGGTTGGCGGCAGGAGTGCCTCGCGTTGTTGGGCTTCTGGGAAACGGTTACAGAGCAAGGAGGCCGGGATTCCCCTCCACAGCCCCCTGTCTTGGGGGGCGAGGACGGTGCCCCTCCCATCCTGAGCCCTTCGGGGAGGGGGAGCTTCAAACAGGCACAGTGCCAAGCAGGAAGAGCATGTGCCCAGTGGGGGCAAGTCCCCCTCTGCCCAGAGCACGGGGGCAGCCTGGCGTGAGCACGGGGAAGCTGCCTCCCCGGGAAACGCTCCACGTGTGGGGCCCTCACCCACGAGGACCGCCGCCCCCCGTGCGGCCACTCACCCAGTCCGGCTGGGGCTCGGCCTCCAGCAGGCGGAAGGCGTACTCGGGCTTCTGCTGCTGGTTGTAGATGTCGACGGCCGCGGCGATCACCTGGTCGTAGCTGCTCGGGGGGGCCGTGGAGGGGGCGGCCCCCACCATCCCGAGGAGCAGCAGCATCAGCGGCAGTGCCCAGGGGCTGGCCATCCTCTTCCTCAGCTGCGTCTCGGGTCCAGGCTCAGGCTGGCTGCCGAGCGCCTGCCTTTATAGCCCCCTCCCCGGGATCTCCCACCCCCCATGGGCCAACTGCCCCGTTGGCCACAGGTGGTTTTCGCTTCCCCTTGTAGGAAATGTCTGTTGTGGGCCCAGCAACCTGGGGGACATCGGTTGGATGTGGGGAGAGGAACTGCCAAAACCCGCTTGCGAAACGGCCCAGGTGCGCTGCCCCAGAACGGCGCTTGGGGGTTGCGAAGCGTGAGGCAATGCGGCCCCGTCTTGCTGGATCACGGACGGCGTTCAACTGGCATCTTTCCCCACAAGCTGCGTATGCAGGGAATTCCAGCTACAGGGTGGCAAGAGGAACCCGAGGGTGAAATCAGGAAGCGCACAGCAGGAGAAACTGTTTGTTTAGCCGCAAAGTCATGCCTAACCTCGGAGGGGGAGCGTGCCTTCCCCGCCAGGGATCTTTCCCGGCCTCCAGTTCTGCAGTCTTTGGCTGGGGCAACGGCCTCATGGCCGAGGGCCGTGGGGCTCAGCTTCTTCCTGGCCGCGCAGACTTTCAAGCCCCGCAGTAGTTTCACCAGTGAGAGAAGCCACACGGCACCCCGATTCCCGTTCCAAGGGTGGTCCCCTGACCCGCCCCTCCAGCTCGCCACAGCCCGTGCCGGGCCGTGCTTTTGGCGGTGTTGTGGCCATGTCCTGGTTTGCCCCCTTCTCGTTTGAAAGCAGGCGGCTTGGTAGAAGAGGATCCTTGCTCCATGGCTGGAAACGTCCCCCTGGAGCGTCTGTGTTTGACGCGAGAGGCTCTGGATCTCCTAGCCCAGCCTTCCCAGCATGGTGCGCTCCAGAAGCGTTAGGCCAGGACTCCCATCTTCCACTTCCAGCAGGGCTGTTCTGGCTCAGGATGATGGGAGTCACAGCCCAGCGCATGCGGGGGGCACCAGGTGGGATAAGGCTGGCCCATCTCTCTGCTGTTCATTCGCGTATGTGTGCAGCCCTGCACTAGGGTGTTTTTTTAAACCTGGGGGAACCTCTGCCCCCCAGCCCTTTGGAGGCCCCCCGTAAAGCGCCCCTCGCATTTCACTCAGCCTGAGGACGAGGGAGGGCTCTCAGTTCATTATGCCCTCCAAATACATGCCCAGCTTGATGCTTTGCTGCTGCTGTTGCTAGTTGTGAAGTCGCCCGACCCATCACGACCCCATGGACAACACTCCTCCAGGCCTTCCTGCCCTCCACCATCCCTCGGAGCCCACCCAAGCCCACACCCACCGCCCCAGTGACCCCATCCGGCCACCTCACACGACTCACTCGCCCTAATTCTGAGACGGAGGCCGGTCTGGAGTCCTGCAGTTTAGTAAGATTCAGCACGGGGACAGTGCTGCGTTTACCAGGTCAGAGTACTGCAACTCCCACTGGCCGCCCGCGTAGGTTTGGGGATGATGGGATTGTGCTCAGTTCATCTGAAGGGCCCCAGGTTGGGGAAGAATCGGCCAAAATGTTGCCCCCAGTGGTGCGGTGGGGCTTTGGGAAGGGGTCGCCCCGGTGGCCCACAGAGCCAGGGAAACTCCGCAAGATGCGTGTTGATACATATCAGTCAGCCATTGTTGTGGTTAGTCGTGAAATTGTGTCTGACCCATCGTGACGCCATGGACAGCATTCCTCCAGGCCTTCCTGTCCTCCACCATCTCCGGAGTCCACTCAAGCTCACCCCCACTGCCCCAGGGACCCCATCCAGCCCCCTCATCCTCTGCCGCCCCCTCCTCCTTTTGCCCTCAATTGTTCCCAGCATCAGGCTCTTCTCCAGGGAGTCCTTCCTTCTCATTAGGTGGCCAAAGTATTTGAGCCTCATCTTCAGGATCTGGCCTTCTAAAGAGCAGTCGGGGCTGATCTCCTCCAGGACTGACCGGTTTGATCGCCTTGCGGTCCAAGGGACTCGCAGAGGCTCCTCCAGCACCAGAATTCCAAGGCCTCAATCCTTTGGCGCTCAGCCTTCCTTATGGTCCAGCTTTCACAGCCATGCATTGCAACTGGGAAAACCATTGCCTTGGCTATACGCACTTTTGTCAGCAGGGTGATGTCCCCCCCCCCTTTTTTTGATGCTTTAGTGCGATCTTAAATGTACAAAGATATTTAGATTTTAAGGATCAAGGCAGCCTGCGGCGGCTGTTGCTGCGTTGTGCAAACCCAGTAGCTGTGGGTTATGTGAGGGCTAAATAACCTTCCCTCCATGGACCAGGGGCTCCTTCGAGTGTGTGGACTGCAGGAAGTTCTGGATGGTCCTGAAAGAAACGGGGGTGGCTCAGTCCTCGGTTGTCCTGATGGGTAACCCACACCGTGGTCAAGAAACTCCTCTTAGGACAGATTGGCGGAAGACGCATCAACAACCTGCGATGCGCAGATGGACACCACGTGGGTGGCAGAAAGCAGCAGTGGCTCGAAACAGTTCTTGGTGGAAGCCAACGAAGAAAATGCAAAAGCAGGACTGCTGCTGAACATTGAGTAAACAAAAACCATCGTTACGGCAGACTATACAACTTTCAAGCCAACCATGGAGAAATCGAAATTGGGAAAGATTTTGCGTGCTGCGGCTCAGTTCAAGGGAGACTGTGGCCAAGAAGTTCGAGGAAGGCTGAGACTCGGAAGGGCAGCGATGAAGGCCATCAAGGGCATGGTCATTCACTGGAGACAGAGTCCAAGACCACCCACAGGGTTTTATTCCTGATCACGAAGGACGGCTGGGAAGGGGAAGAAAGAAGGCTGAAGAAAAATGGGTGGGTTCAAACCATGGTCCAGGAGGAGAGCTTTGCAAATGCCCCGGGGTGACAGAAAGACAAAAGATTGGGCCCAAATCAAGGCAGAGCTCACCCTAGAAGCAAAACGGACAAAACTGAGGCTGTTGCACTTTGGGGAAACCATGAGAAGTCAAAACATCCTGGAGAAGACCCTCACGCTAAGGCCAGTCGGAGGAGGAGGAGGAGGTATAAGATGAATCACTTCCATAAGGATTTTGTTTATTTATTTAACTTGCATCTATTGGGAAAATTTAGATAAATAAATCCTGGGAGAAAAGGGTTGCTTATATGCGCTTTTGTGTTATAAAATCAAACCTGCACCCCTTTCTCAGAAAGCACCAGAATTTCAAGCCAGGTGACTGTTTAGTGTTGCTGTTGCCTTAAGAAGAGGGAATTCTTAGCTGGACTGAGAAGCTGCTGGAGGCGAACACTATCAGTGGGGAAATACCAGTTTTCAGACCACTGAGACAAACGCATTTGTTTGTTCCTGAATGGACCCATTTAATCATCTAGGTAAGCAGAGGCATTATCGTTAGTGCCTGCAGGAAATGAGAAACCGATCTATAAAGCTGCAGAGGTTCAAACGTTTGATCTTCCCCACAGATGCGAATGTTTATTCCTCGCAAATTGAAAAGTGAGATTCTGTCATATGCCACCCCAGCCACTGTCGAGTCTCTCGGCCGCTTGCGACATGAAGTTGACAAGAGCTGAGCTGGGCCGTCAAGGACAAGACATTTTGGAAGGTGCGCCTTCATAGGGTCGCTGTAAGTCAGAGATCACTTGACAACACATAACAGCACCAACAACACTCAATCTGAATTAGCACATATTAAGTCTACCTTTAAAACTGAATCAATGGTTCTGTGAGCTAGCTGTCATAAAGAGCCTAGAAAAGCTATGGTAATAAAGGCACCATCCTACAGTTCCCAGCATGCACAGGAATGTACCTTAAGTGAGCTCATTATTCCCCATATACCCCACCTTGCTTCTCTTCATGCAACTCAAGGCAGCCTGCAGGGGTCTCCTGGGTCCCAGCCCAACGCTTTAACCACTAGGCCATACTGCCTCGCTTGTGGCCTTGATCTAGGGATAAGCCACATCAGCGCAGACACAAACAGTCCTGGCTTCAGGAAATGCCATCCTGTGGCTCATTCAGAAGGGCATCTTCCTGTAAGGGCGAACGTGTTTACCAACACCTATTTTCGTGCTCCTTTCCAACCTGAATGCTACATTTTTACCTGAAGGAGCGCTTACATCCTTATATGCCCAGCCGCCCCCTGAGATCGGCGGGAGAGGCCCTTCTCCGGGAGCCCTCCATGGAAGAAGTTAGGAGGGTGGTTACTCGGAGGAGGGCTTTCTCAGCGGTGGCGCCTAAGTTATGGAATGCGCTCCCCAGAGAGGTCCGCCTGGCGCCGTCGTTATTTGTTTTTCGGCGCCAGGCGAAGACCTTTTTATTTAAGCAGTATTTTAAATGTTAATATTATTGAATTTTATTTGGCCAGGGCGGCTTGTTTTATAGTGTATGTTTTATATTATATACTTGTATTTTATTGTATATATTTTAAAATGTTATTTTAATCTTTTTGTTGTAAGCCGCCCCGAGGCTTCGGCGAATGGGGCGGCATAAAAATGTTTTAATAAATAAATAAATAAATAAAAATTTTCCCAGCTCTCACATTGCAAAAGTTCCCAGAAACAATGGGATTTTTCCTCTCATCTGAAGCTCTCTTCTGCCCTGAAGTGCAAGCCATCTAGGGCCTTTAGTGGCCTGGAATGATCAGAAAAACATTCTGCACAGTCACTGGAGCTCATGAGGAACTGCAGTGCTTCTGGAGCAGGGGCGGCTTGCAGGGACACGTTCTCCAAGCAGGAGCAGGAGCGAAAGAGAAAGTGGCCATTCCAGTAAAATAGGATGCTCCGTTGAAGTGGAAAACTCTTTTGTGCTAGACCTTGGGGAATTTTGCACAGGAGAAAACCGGACTTAATCCCATGTTTTCAAGTGGCCTTTGCTCTTTGGCTTAAGCTGCAGGGCAGTAAAGTGATCCACCCTGTTAGAAGAAATGCCCAACATGGGCCCAGAGGCCAGACTTCACAGGCACCCTGTGCATGCACAGAGTGCTGCCTGCCCCACCCCCTTGCTTAGCCCCTCAACTGAGGACTGCATAGGGCTAGAAGCCAAGAGCTCTGAGGCTGGATCAGGCCACTGAGCCACCGGGACGAGTCACCCTCACTAACCGGGACCACGAGGCCTTCAACGCCGTCCAGGTGGGCAGCCACCCCTGCACCTGGGGAGGAGAATCCCGGGCTTAACCAGGTGGGGTGTGAAGGCAGCCTCCTTTTCCCTGCCCGGAATCTCCCTCCCTGCAGCTTCCTGGGATGACCCCACCAGATCCTCTTACCGCCCCCACTTTCTCCAGACTGTGCATCCTTTTCATGCCTCCTCTTCCTCGCCTTTTCTCTAACACAAAACATCCCCGTTTTTACTTTCCCCTTGATGAGCTGGCAAATAGAAAGCTGATAATCAGGTCTAGAAGTGTCCATGCTGGAGGGGGTGCCAGGATCTGAAGTCCGGAGGATCTGAAGGGCATCCGGGCCCTATAGGGCCATCGGAGCCGGCTGAGCCCTGGGGGGCTCCATGAAGGCTCCAGGCGGTACCTGCCTTCTTTGACCCAGAGAACCTTGGGGCAGCTTTTTGTTAAACTTTGCTTTTTCTTGATCTTCGCTCACAAAAAGGGAGCGGCAAGATTTACACCCCTTCACAGTGAGATTTTGTTTTTTACCCTGGCTGTCCTTGAATCCTGAATATTTTGTATTTTTCCCAGACTAGGAGGCCCATTTCATTGTACCTCATTTGCATGTTTTGGGACAGAAATACTGTATATGTCGCTGTCATAAAACATCCGTTATCCTATCTAAAGATTTCCTGAAACAGAACTAAAAGCTAAACTTCCTAAGCTTTTTGCTAACTTGTTAAACTTGGTTATTTTTAAAAAGAGTCATGTTACATAAAACAGATATGGAAGACAATAGGTCTTTTTTCAAGAAAGGATCTCCCTTTCAAATTCCCATGGATAGCACAGAGTGGATTTCAGTGGATTTCCCATTTGCTTTCTGGGGCTGATGGGATTTGGTGTCCAAGACACAAGGGGAGCACCTGCTTGTAAAGCGCTGCTTTAGATCTTGGCTGTGATTTCCACGGTGTAATATGGAGGATTCTTTTCAGTAGATTCTTCTTTGGCCTGAGGAGTATCCGGTGGTCCGTGAGGTGCCCACTGTCTTGCTTGGGTGGCCCCTCTCGCCCACCAACTCCGATATTTTGCACTGTAAAATTCTGAAAATGTGAGCATGGAGAGAAATGAACTGCATTGGCCGGTGAGAAAAAAATACACCATCAGCCTGTGAAAGCAAAACAAACAGCTGCTTTCTAAGTAGGTTTGAATAGGTAGCTTTTGAAGTTAACATTCCCATACTGAGAAGAAGTCAGAAGATTTGCCTGCATCCTCCATTTTTCAAGGGATCAGCTGAAACCTTCCCATGCATTCTGCTCGTTTACTGCCAATAATTTTCGGCTGCTTTTTTTTTCTCTTTTGCTACCATGTTGATTCAGCTGTATAAATATGCCTTCCCGAGAAGATTTGGATTCAGAACAGAAGGAATCGTTCTCTTTTCCTTGTATCTGCTCATACGTAGGAAACCGAAAGCTATATGTGCTCTCCAGCGTTGCAGCAAGATGCTGAGTGATCTGAGCGCCCTTTCCAGAGGATGTGGCCTTTGCCAAGCTGAGCAAGCTCAGACTCCAACCCTTCTGCTTGGCAGGCTTTCTGTCCGGTAAATAAAGAGCTACGACAGAGTTTTCTTGCTCAGGCAGCCGAGTGGATCGACGATGGAGCTGTTCCTCTTGGGAGTCACCTTGCTGATGCTCGGAGTTCCCGGGGCAACTTCTCCGCCGCTTGATGCTCCGTCAGCCCTCTTGCCCCGCGATGTCGCCCGGATGGCCGTTGAGGACTTCAACCAAGAAGCTGAAGGCCAGGCGGTTTTCAGACTCCTGAAGCTCAAACACACCCACAAAGTGGTAAATATCCTAATTGGATTTGGAGTCAGTGTAAATGATCTCTCGGCGATTTCTGGCAGGTCTGATTGTGTTCGGTTAATGGCTTTTCGTGGCCAGCAGATACCTCGGCTGTTTTTCCATTTCTTCTAAGGATTATGTTCATTTCTTTTCTGGGAAATGCAAGCAGTTTTAGGAAGCAATTCCTGGGAACCTAGCTAGCTTGCCCCGCCAAAAAGTTACTGGGAACTGAGCTCTCTTTCTCTCCTTAACAGATGTTCTTTTCCTGGAAAGAAAACAATGGGAGAAGCAGTGGGAAAAGGTGGGAGAGTTACAGGTAGCAGATAGTGATGTCTAAACTGTAAATCTTTGTGAACCGGTGAAGGTCTTGCCTGGAAGCGTCCTCAGATGAGATTAGGCTGGGCAGGGGAGGGCTCTAACCACTGGGCATTCCTGTTGTCTGCCTGTGCCGTTTCCCCACAGAACCATGTCTGAAGACATAGACTCACAGCTCAGGGCAGATCCTGTGCTTCTGATCAGCTGCGGTCCACAAAAGCTTGTAGCATAACCAGTCTGTTAGTCTTTAAGGTGCTGTGGGACTCTTAGGACCCCACCCCCCTCCAAAATGTTGGGCTGGATACCGCTCTGCCTTCTGTGGGTGGAAAGGGCAGGAGGAAGGGGGCCGCGGGGAGGGGGGGTTCTGCCCAATTTTGTAGGACCCTCTGCTCAGATTGCCCCATTTAGTGTGGTCCCCCAATTCTTTGTGCAGCATTTTGTTTGATTATTTATTTGGGGGGGCAAGGAGGGACTGTCGTAAGAAAGAGGGCATGGGGGGGTCCACATCCCACTTGCAGTTGATCTCATGTAAATCGGGAGCCAACCCTTTGTATGTGTGTACTTCAAAAAGCCTCAGTGACCCCCATCTGGAGCAACCAAACCGTGGGGGGGGTCTCCTGGGGCTTATTCATCGATTAGATTCCTGCCCCGCCGTTTTTCTTACAAAGGACTCAGAGCGGCTCACATCGTTCTCCTTCTTATCCCCACAACAACAGCCCTGTGAAGTAGGCTGGGCCGAGAGTCTGCGACTGGCCCAAAGTCCCCCAGTTGGCTCCGTGGCTGAGCGGGGACCCCCCCCTGCCCTGGGCAATTCTCACGGGGAGACGGCATGAAGGGCTCAGCTTGTGCTCATCCCTTTGAAACGCGGGATGTGGACACCACGGTGTTTGGCAGAGGTTCTCAGTCGGAGGGAGAGATCCCACCTGGGCAGGTTTGCGCCAAAGCGTCTTGGCCCTGCCCTGGACGGACCCTGCAGCGGCGAGGCGTGTGGCTGAGCTTGTTGCCACAAAAATGAGGAAGGGTCCCAGGAAGCCAAAAACTGAACAGATCCAGGCCACGACTTCCAGTGCCCGGATAAATCTGTTAATTCTTAAATGCCACAAGAGATCCTTTCCCTGTGGGTTTTGGGTTGGTTTGTTGTCTGGGCTTGAACTCGGCTTTTTATGTACGCCTGCAACCGTTTTGCTTCGCCCTGTTCTAGAAAGTGTGAAACTTTTGTCTTACTGGCCGACGAGACGCTCACCAGCTCACACTTCCTCGGTTGCCAAAAACGTCCTGAATGGTTCTGAAGAGGGCTAGGAGAGGCCCGGTCAGGGAAGGCGTCTGTTCTGTGTGCAAAACAGAATTCCCTTCTGTGCTCTTTTGCATTCTCGGCAAAGAAGACTGGAAAGGAAGATTGCATGTCCTCGGGGGCGTCTTTGCCCCCCTCCTCCCAGTTGCTCACCGCCCTTCCTTGCCAGGAGCTCTGGACAGCTAATGACTCATAGGCCAAGCAAGGCAGTGCATCGCTCTCGGCCCAGCCTACCTTGCAGGGTTGTTGTTATGGGATAAAATGGAGCTAAGGAAAGCCGCCCTGGGCTCCTCCCAAGAGGAAAAAAGGTGGGATATAAATGTAATCATAATAATATATGAACACCATTAAATGGGGAAGTCTAACATTAGAATTGCACAATAGAATCGAATCCAAGCATGGCTGTGGTATCAGAAAACAGAAAACAAGGTTTGCTGATCTCCCCCAAAGGATGTCTAAAGAAATATGTCTAACTGGCATCAGAGACCTCTGAATCACTACTGGAACAAATCCCCTAATTTGGGTGCCGCTCCCAAGAAGGCCCGCCATCTTCCTTCTGCATTCCTCAAGGTCAACCGCAAACGGGGCGGTTCTTGGAAGCGGTTGAGGGGTTGTTCCGGTGGGGATCTGGCGGCCTTGTGGGGCATGGCTTGGCTCCTGCACTTGTCTGTGGGCGCAGCAGGCACAAGTTCACCTGAGGGTTTTTCGCACACTGTAGAGGTGAGGTGGGTTTCCTTGACTGGATTTCTCCTTCCTCGTGAGAGTTTTACTGCCGTCTTTGGCATGGGACTGATTTGGCCGGGGCTACGGGGACTTGCTTTTGTTCACAAGAAAACATCCAGTGCAGCTCGATCTGCTATTTCTTGCGTAAGATTCTGCTTTTAAATTTTTAAAAGCTGAAACCGTTCCTCTCTTTTAATCTTTAAAGCAAGCCTAGGACAGACGGGCCTATTGCCAAAATGCTTTTGGAATGGCAAAACGACTATGCATTGAAGACTATGCATTGGGGGGGGGGGGGGCAAAGCACCCCGTGCCCACCCTTTACTGGGAAGGAGAGAACGCCTGTTTCCCACGCACAAGGTCCCTTCTGCAGCCCCAAGACTTTCCAGCATGGTTGCAGAGTCCTTTCTGTGGCAGCACGCACCATCGCAGAAGACCGTTTTCCTATTTTTACTTTCGAAACGTGCTTCATTATATAAAGCTATTCTACTCTTCTTCAGCATAAAGGCACTTATTCCCCAGTAAGCACAAGGAGGCGTTTATGCCCCCAAGCGGATGACGTGCTTTCCGTGAGTCTGAAATGCAAACGGGCATGTTCAGACCCAGTGGCTGTGTGTGTCGAAAGATCTGGACCGGCAACCTGTCTTTTGCTTTGCATTAAAAAAAAATATATCCGGACCGTACAGCCAGCCGTGGCGCATGGGATGGCGACCGTGGGACGAGGTGGGGGAGAGAAGGGAGGAGTGCTAGGTGCGGACTTCACAGCAGAAGGAGAGCGCCTTGCTGCCTGAGGACTGCCCCCACCCAGAAAGGCCACTCGAGGTGCCGTCCTGGGTGGTTCTTTCTGTCCCAGCAGGTGGAGGATTGCACCCTAAGTCCCGCAGCCACGGTGCAAACTCTCGAGCTGCCTGAAGCGAGAGAGAGAGAGGGAGGGAGAGAGAGCCCCACCAGGTCATGAGCCCCCCCGCCTCCTCCCCATCATTGCCCTCTGCTCCCCATCTGTACCCCCGCCGCACCCTGTCTCGCATCACGCACCCACACACGGGTGGAGGAAGCAGCCGGCACGGCTTACCAGAGGGGCTGAAATACCGGCTCTGCGGGGGTCCTTCCTCGGCCGTCCCGGGAGACGGCACAGCTGGCAAAGCCGCAGGAGGAAGGGGGCTTCTGTCCCCGGGTGCAAGCGCTGATGGTGCTGCCGGAAGCAGGCCCTCCTCCGGAGGGGGCAGCAAGCGGCGCGATCCCCCCCCGCGGCTCGCCGTGGGTGCTTCGCCCTGCTTTGTGGAGGGGCTGGCCCCGACGTCCCGGATGGACAGCTGCCGGCAGCCTGGCCTGGCTCTGCCCCCGTTGCTTTGGCTTCTCCCGGTGTTCCTCCCCTTCCGCCTTCCAGGGTGCAGCTGCGGATGGCCACCCTGTTTTGTAAGCTCATTGGAACAGGGACCAACCCCCCCCCCCCGGCTCATGCCATTCTGGGTGTGCTCCTGACTTTTCCTTTGCTTGCCTCCATCCCAAAGAAATTCCGCTGGGGCTTCCACTTCAGCCTGAACTTCACCATCAAGGAGACCCACTGCCGCAAGTCGGACAACTACAGGATTGAGAACTGCAGATACAAGACGAAGGGGGTGAGTCCCTTGGAGGAGCCAAGCCGCAGGGGGAGCCGGTCCCTTCGCGGGGAGCAAAGCGAAAGGCCGGCCTGAGGAGGGAGTCCAGGCCAAAGCGCCCGCAGCCCTTCAATCCAGAGACTAGTTTAGGGATGCAGGCACTCAGGATCAGGAGCCAAATCCTGCCCCCTGGGGCCCCCAGAGAACCACACACCTCTTTTGCCCAACCACCCTCGCCGGCTCGTTCCCCAAAGGGTGGCACCGCTCCCTTTCCAGAAAACTGGAATGCCTCCGACTGCGTGACTTCGGGCAGTTCGAGCATCACGCTAAAAGAGGCTCATGGGCTTGGCATTTTGGCTCCACCCCTTTCGCGATCGGCTCCGCCTACTGCAGCTCTGCCCCGGAATCTGGCTGTCCAGCTCAGATCTCCAGGTCCCTGCAGGACAAGAGCGATCAAGCCGCGTAATGATAAAATCAGTCAAGATTAAGATACCATGACTAAGGATCAGTGTTAATTGGACTCCACGCCAGTCAGAATGCGCCCATGGTTGTCGGCTGCTTTGGCAAGCGAGATCCCCACGGGGGCGGCAAGCCACGGAGGGTCTTTTGGGGATCCTGTCACGCTGGCCAATGGCTGGCGCTGTCTGGGCAGTTTACAAAGATTAAAACCTTTAAAAATACAGTATAAAACCCACGTGCATAGAAACATAGGAGTATATCGCAGAGAGAGATGTATATCTAACAGTTATTTTGAAATATCAGCAAGAAAAATGCAAGACCCAATTCAGGGCTCATCTCTTGCCGAATGCAGGACAGAAGGTCCTCTGCCGGCACTAACAAGCAAAACCGTTCGTGCCAGATGGGCCTCGGTCTTCCTGAATCTATGTCCAGTCTGTTATTTCGAGTTATCCTGCCTCTGAATGGGAGACCTGCTTCCAGCCAGAGCACGGGCTCGGTGTGGCTTGTTGTTCTTCACTGGTTGTTGAGTTGTTGGTTGTTCTGTTCTGTGAACCCAGCCAAGCTGACAAACAGTGCTTTGGGAAGTATGAGCCAACCATAGTTCACAACCCAGCAAGAAACCATGGATTTTCCTACACGCCTCACTAGCCAGACCTCACCTGGAATCCTGTGTCCAGTTCTGGCACCAAGATTTAACAAAGATGCAGGAAAATTGGAAAGGGGCCAGAGGAGAGCAACAAAAACGATCCAGGGTTTGGAAACTCTGCCCTGTGAGGAGAGACTGGGAGAACTGGGCAAGTTCAGCCTTGAGAAGAGAAGGCTGAGCGGGGACATGAGACCCCTCTAGAAGGACCTCAAAGGCTGCCACAAAGAGGAAGGCCAAGGTCTCTTCTTGCTGATCCCAGAGTGATTGACTGAGTTGACTATTCCAAGTTGCGACAACCCAGATCCAGGCTGGACATCAGGAGAAGCTTCCTCACTGTCAGAGAAATAAAGCAGTGGGACCAGCTGCTTGGGGAGGTGGGGGGCTCTCCCACACTGGGGACATTTGAAAGGAAACTGGGCAGCCCTCTGAGTGGGATGGTGTAACTTGGTGTCCTGCAACAGCAGCAGCTTGGACCCAATGGTCTTCCTGGCCCCTTCCAATTCTATGATTCCATGAAACCATGGTTTGTTAGCATGGCTGGGTTCACACGATATAACAACCCACGATTCAGCATTACTTGCTGAGCCCACTCTCAACCTGTATCCCGGCTTATACGTTGTGTGACCCCAACTAGCGTTTCTTCTCTTAACCTATTGCAGAGGACACGATTTGGCCTGTGCCCCCAGTGGAAAGGGAAGCCCAAGGCGGGGGCGAGGGGGGGATGCATGGCCCAGGGGCTCTGGTTTAATCTGGATTCATTCTTTTCCTCCGCAGCCCATACAGGACTGCTCTGCTCAGGTGTCCGTGCTGAACTTCATGCCAGACTCGCCGCTCACCTCGGTGAAGTGCCGTCCCTTGCAGGTGAGCCGGCTTCTCTAAGGCCTCCCAGACTTTCGACTGGGCATGTGAGCCAGTGCTTCCGTCTTGCTGATGTGCTCCCCCGTTTGGTTATGTGGATGGAAGAAATTCAGCAGGTGAATCCAGTCAGTGTACCTGCACATGCACAAAAGCTGCATTGCTGGAGCTCTACCTGTGCGACTGCTGCCTACTTGCATGGGAAGCTGCTACCACAAAAATCATGCCACAAAACCAGGAACAGGGCCCCAGACACCCCACCTGGGATCCCGACCACAGCAAGGGCTAAGATGTGACGCCCCCGCCCCACTTCCCTGCACCGTGGTCCTGATTTGGCACAAGCCCTCCCCATCGGCTATTTATAGCTTAAAATCCCAAGAGTAATGATGTGAACTGCGTGGGATCCAGTTTGGCCAACACAATACGTAACTGGCTGTTCCTGCAGTGACTGCCTAAGCTGCAGTTCCAGTCGAACCCGCCAGTGGGAGAACTTCAGCAGGACTAGAGACATGTTCCACATCTGAATGGAAGAAACCCAAAGCAGCCTTGGAATGCAGATTGGGGTGGGAGGGTCATTTCCTGCCAGAAAAAAGCACTGGCAGCTTTCCCCAGGCCGGTGATCTCTAGAAGTGTTGGACAGCCTGCTGGCTCAGGCTGATGATGGGAGTTGTAGTCGAACATATCCAAAGGGCACCAGGGAGGGGAAATGCAGATGAGAGGCTGGCCAGGGGGCCTGCCGGTGAACTGCACCCTTTTCCAGAATGGTCCCTTCGTATGTACACGAACTGGGAGGCTGCAGTGGATTCAGCACATGCATGCTTCATGTGCACAGAAAAACCCGCACCCGCAAATATGTGCGGAATTCACGTTGTTTCTGTAGAGGACAGAGAGATATAACTTTTTAAAGGGAGACAAAGTGAATTTTGGTGACGGATCGCGTAATTCATTTGGGGAAGGAAGTATCACAGTGCTTGGATAAAGGCCTACTGAGGAAATCAGACTAAAGATTTTCTGCATTGCCCGTTCCTGTCTAGGATGTTTTGGCTCAGAGTGGAATCCAAGCTATTTGGCGTCTGGTTTTAGAAGCTAGTTACTGAATGGAGGCCTCAGAAGCTAATTCCCTTCCCCCCCTTCTGTTCCTTCTGCAACCTAGCGGGGAAATGGCCGTGGCAGCCGGAAAGCACAACCCAGCGCCATGCTCCAGGCAGAAGAGCGCCAACCGCAGGTGCACGTGGAGGTCTATTTGCCATCGGCCTACTCGATCGCAGCTCTGAGCGTCGCCGAAGAGGAGCCGAGCCGTCCGGCCGCTCGCCCCCACTGAGGCCCCGGACGCACCTCAAGGCATCTCGCCCGCATCACCAGCTTCTGCTAATGCCTGGACCGTTTAGCACGGACTCACTGGCCGCGTCTGGCTGGTAGCATATGAGCACACCCTCCTGCTGCCCAAACACCACGGAAATCCTAGCATGTCTGCGGGGATTCCTGACTCTCTTGATCCTTTTAAAAATCTGCGGTGAAGTCTTGCATATTCTAACTTCACCTTCCAGCCCAAGGACCCTCTCTTAGCCCAAGGGCATAAAGCTGCTCACACCAGTCGCCAGGGGCTTCTCTGTGTGAGACATTTAATCCTCCACTTACTGCATCTGGAAGCAGATTCCTTGCAGGATTAAAATCGGCTCCTTTGTCCTTTTCCAGGGATTTTTTTGGGCTTTCTTGTATGTTTCATTGCATGAGCACAAGTAGCAGAATTGCAAAAATGCTCTGGTTAGTTTTTGCATCATTATTAGTGAGATAAAGCCTCATTTTTCCTCAATCTTATTAAAAAAAAGGTGCTTGGAAAGCAGAGGAAAGACCGTGGAGGTTGACAATGTCAAGTAAATTAGCCGTGAACTACCATGAGCTAGGAATCACGAGCTTGGACACAATATCCCCTTGTAGAGAGAATCTCCAAGGCTTAGGAAAAGTATTTCCCAGCACCTGGGAAGCAGCCAAACAATTGGTGGTCGAGGTGAAAGTGTTTGCCATTTGGGGAATTCAAGCTTTGACCTCCCCCCTGCCCAGCTTGAAATTGTACACCTGATTTACGAGTTCTTCCGTCAGTTTGTTTATGTTTAGGAAGGTCTGTTCAGTCATCTCCATGGTCAGTGAATCTCCAGTAAGGTGTTTGGAATTCAGTTTGCAAGCAAAATCTTCAGACTGATTCTTTTCAACAAAGTTTAATTTGTGGGTTCCAGGAGAGGAGCCAATAAACAGGAAATGTTGTAGAGAAAAAGACAAGCTAAGCAGCTCAACCAAATTCTCCCCCTACTTCCTCTGTCTTTGTTTTGAAAAATAGCAGCGCTTCACTTGGGAAGGCCCAGCCTAGCCATAAGATGGTCCATTTTTTAAAAAACTTGCAGCTAAACTGAATCTGCAACTTGAAAATCGGCCTGCAAGACTGCACAGAGGTGCATTGGTCCAGCTAAAAGTAGCTGTGGTTCAGTTGATTAATGAGAATGATTTTGTGTGATGTAACCAAAAAAGAGAGATGTATTTTGCCAGATTATACACAAGATGTAGCTTTTCAGACTGCAGTAGTGGTGCATTTTGAAACTTAACCGCTGTCCATAACAAGCCACGGCAAATCATTTGCAATTCAGTGGTTATTTTACCTTTTCTGTACCAGGTCACTTTGGTTTTCAGAAAATAAGACTTTCCCAGTGTGAAATGCCTCAGGCTCAGGAGATCCAGCCCACCGGTGGAAGACCAGCAAAGCTTGCCTGTTGAACCACAAAACCTGTCTAGTCACAGGAATTCTCTCTGCCAGCACCTCTCATGTCAGCAGAATCCCATGAGCAAGCTCCAATCAGAGGGAAACAAACAAGCCAGCATTTTATCTGCCCCAAGGATGGACAGAAGTTGGAGGACCTGATGTTTTGGACTTCAGGTCCCAGCATGCTGGGAGGAGCTGACTGGATTTGAAGCCCACAAAATTGGAGCGCATCCTGACATGGGTAATAGTCAGGTAATTCACTTGACATATTATGGGCACATATTATATGGGAGAGAAATCAGAATGCTTGACTTGTTCACTTCCATTTCAAGGTTTTAAAAGCAGGCCTCTAGTCCTCATGGCATAAAGAAACACTCGGAGCCTGCATACCTTTTGCAGCAAGCCCAAGGGATCCGGGGCCTCACTGTGGGCAGCAGGAGGCAAGGCAGCGTCCCAAGTCCAAAGGCCAGGAATCATGACAAGTCCAAGCCTCATTCCCGCCCCAGGCCAAGGGCAGGGACCAGAGGAGCATATTCGGGCGTGGGGTCCCTGGGGCAGGATGCCTGGGCAGATGCATGCAAGCGTCAGGCCGGAGGCAGGCGCTGAACCCCAGGGAGCAGGAAAACCTCTGGGGCTGAGGCAGCAGGCCAAGGGCAGGAGCCAGAGGCAGGGCCAGCCCTCGGCCAGCCCTGTGGGGGCAGTGCGGCAAGGCGGGACGGACTCGGCGCGGCAGAACCTGGGTCGGGCCCTGCGGGGAGCAGAAGGGCCTCTGCTGCCGCGGCCGGCCTGGAGGAAGAGCTGGTCTCCCACGGGGCTCCTCGGGAGGCTGCGGGTTCCCGCAGCCTGAGGCCCACCCTGCAAATGCCAAGGCGGGCCTGGAGGCCCCTCTCGCCCTGGTCCAGGCCCAGGAGAAGGGGCTCTCCGTCCGGCCCCCACGAAGAAGCCGCTCAGCTCCGCATTTGGGGGCCTGGGATCGTGACAGAGGCTCCGTCCGGATGGAAGCGGCTTGCCTTGGGTAAAGGTTGGGTCCTGGGACCAGGGAGGCAGCGTTCAGGCTGGACTGTGCTGGTTTCTCACACGTGGGCCCTGGCCAGGGAGCGGGCCGAGCTGCGAGCCAGCCAGCCAACCCCTGGGAAGTAAACTACTTAAGGCATACAATCCTTCGCGCAAAATTTGCGAAGCGCGGAAGGCCCGCAAGTCACGTGTGCAGAGGCAGAGCCATGCTTGAACTCGCTTCCCGCCACGCTGCCCTGCCAACGCTCGGGCCGGGGGGCTTCGGACAGAGGGCGCGTCGGAGTCCGGGCTGCTGAGCGGGGGAAATGGGACGGCTTCCCACCGCAAGCGGGTACTCGCACATCGTGGCGTAGAGCAGAACCGTCGTGGAGGCGGGAGGGACCCCTGAGGCCATCGAGCCCAGCCTCGGCTCCGCTTCCGCTTGCGGTCGCCCGCCCCGCTTGCACCCTGGGACCCCTCACAGGCCAGGCTGGATCAGGCTCTTCTGGGCGTGTGGGCTGCAGCTGGTGCCCCGTCGGCCAGGTGGAAGCCTCCCTCCCCGAGTCGTGCCCCACTGGGGGGCTGCGCAGCCCACCTGGGCTCCTGTGCCGCTCGACACCCCAAGCCAGGGGAGCCCCCACCCTACCAAGCCCCTTGGCCAGAGTAGTGGGAAGGCTCGCTGCCCGGCCGAGTGGCTCCTGCCGCCGGCCTCCTCGGGAGGAAGCAAGGAGGGGGCGCAGGCCGGCGGGGAGGAGGAGCGGGCCGCCGACGCCTCACCGGGGCTCTCGCGCTGCTCCTGCCACCCCACTGCCCAGTCGCTCAAGCCCAGCCGGGCTGGCCTGTCCCACACGCCTCCCTCCGCCAAGCCCTGCCCTGCGGCAGCTGCCAGCCGTTCCGGCGCTCCCGCCGATGCTGCCCGAGCCACCGTGAGGCACTCGCCCGGCACTGGTGCAGGCAGCTTGCCAGGGTCCCCCTCGCAGCGCCTCCGCAGCCCCATCTGTGTGTGTGTGGGGGGGGGGTGCAGCCAGCCGAGAGAGGCAAGCCCTCTGCTCACAGGATCAGAGAACAGTCGAGTTCAAAGGGGCCCGGAAGGCCATCCAGTCCACCCCCTGCTGTTGCAGGACACCAAGTTACATCACCCCACTCAGAGGGCTGCCCAGTTTCTTTTGAATGTCTCCAACATCAGCAGGCTTTCTCGGCTCCTTAATTTGGCCACAACCATCCTCGTTAAAGTGCCCAATCTTTTTACTTCCTCCTGCCACATTTTATCTCCGGAGGAGGAGCCCAGCAACTTCAGATGCTATTTCACAGAAGAGTAGAGTTGCAAGGGGCCACAAAGGCCACGGGTCCAACCCCTGCTGTGGCAGGACACCAAGTCACATCATTCCACTCCGGTGGCTGCCCAGTTCCTTTCGAATGTCCCAGTGCGGGAGAGCCCCCCACCTCCCCAGGCAGCCGGTTCCACTGCCGTGTTGCTCTGACAATGAGGACGCTTTTCCTGATGTCCAGCCTGCATCTGGGTTGTCACAGCTTGAATTGATTATTCCGTGTCCTACACTCTGCCATCAGCAAGAAGAGATCTTGGCCTTCCTCTTTGTGGCAGCCTTTGAGGTCCTTCTAGAGGGATCTCATGTCCCCCCTCAGTCTGCTCTTCTCAAGGCTGAACATGCCCAGTTCTCCCAGTCTCTCCTCACAGGGCAGTGTTTCCAGTTCCTAGATCATCCATGTTGCCCTCCTCTGGATCCTTTCTAATTCTTCTCCATCTCTCTCAAATCTTGGTGCCCTGAACGGGACACAGTATTCCAGATGGGGTCTGACTAGTGAGGATTATAGGGGAGCTACTACTTCTCCTGATTTGGAAGTGATACTTCTGTTAATGCATCTCAAAATAGCATTTGCCCTTTTGCATTGTAGCAAAGCATCGTATTGGCTTATATTTAGCCTATTGTCCACAATTACTCTGAGGTCTTTTTCTTTTTCAGTTCTGTTGAGCCACGTATTCCACATCTTGTATGGATGCCTTTGGTTCCACTTTCCCAGGTGGGGGACTTGGCACTTGTCCTCACTGAATCTCACTGTGCTGCTTTCAGCCCAGTCTTCAAGTTTATCAAGACAGCCCTGGATCTTCATTCTGTCTTTAGGGTGTTTACTGTTCCACCCAGTTTTGTATCGTCTACAAATCTGACTCTCTCTCCTTGTACGTCCTCATCCAAATAATAAAGATGCTGAAGAGCACTGGGCCCAGGACTGAACCCTGCGGCACCCCGCTGGTTACCTCCATCCAGTGTGAGGAGCTGCCACTGAGGAGCACTCTTTGTGTCCGACTCAGCAGCCAGTTTTGGATCCCCCTTATTGTTTTTCCGTCCAGTCCAGTTTTTGCTAATTTGCTTATCAGAATGTCACATGGCACTATGTTGAAGTCTAAAGTCTAGGTAGATTATGTCCACAGTATTCCTTCTGTCCTTTGGGAGGCTACCCAGTCAAAAACTGAGATTAACTTCAATTTATTTTGGATAAATCCATGCTGGCTTCTATTAATCACTGCGTTTTCTTCGAGATGCTTGCAGATGGATTTTTTAAATAATATCGCTCCAGAATTTTTCCAGAGATTGATGTCAGACTAAGGGGTCTATAGTTCCCAGGTCCATCTTCTTTCCCTTTTTGAAGGTAGGGACAACGGGAGCCCTTCTCCAGTCGTCTGGCACGTCTCCTGTTTTCCAAGATTTATCGAAGATGATAGCCAGTGATTCTGCGAGTTCCTCCTCTCGCTCTTTTATGACTCTGAGATGGATTTCGCTGGGCCCTGGACTTCCTGCCCCACACACAAACACGCGCGCGCGCACACACACACACACACACACACACACTGGGGGGCGGGGGGGGCTTACCTTTCTTGCAGCAGGAGAACTTGAGTGTCCGGAAGGCGGGTGTCCAGAGCGTGAATGTCTCTTTTCTAAGTCCCCGGATTCTTATCCCGTTTCTCTCTGAAAATGTGTCTAGAGGGAAAGATGCATTTCCCAGGCTTGTGGGAAGGGCTTGATCGCTTCTTGATGATCTTGATAATGTTTCTCTGGTGAAGAGACAGCCTTTTGCCTGTATTCACAGGGTGGGATAGAAAAGGTAATTTCCAGGCCTGGCAAGAGGATGGGTTGCCCACCTCGCAGGGGGAATGGCTGACCTTTCCTCCGCAAGGATCCCGGCACCCAGCGGGCTAAGCCAGGCCTGCAGCTGGCCCTGGCCTGGGCGCGTGTCCTGCTGGCCTGGGCCTGCGACCATGGACACAGCCGCACCACCCGGTCCCACCGAAGGTCGCACTGGGATAGTCCCCAGAGGATACTGGGAGGCGCCCCCGCGGACCTTTGCCGCAGCCACGAAATCCCGCCAGCAGCTGGGAGCATCCTGTGGAGGCCCCCGTGGCAGCGTGGCTCCCCAGGCGCCCGCTGCTGACCGGCCCCTTGCTCGGGCCGGCCGGTCGTCTGCTGGAAGGCCACCTCGTCCCCGCACGCACACACGCCTCGCCCTGCCAGCGGCCCAGGGGCCGCTTCTCGTGGCTGCCGGCACGGTGGGCGCCTGCAGGAGACTCCGCAGTGTGTTGGCCGGAGCACTGGCTGCCTGCCTGGGCGAGGCACGTGGGCACCCAGGGAGTCGGCCACCCCGGGCGGTGCCTGCTGTGCTGGGAAGCCGTCTGGCAGGAGGTGCAAACCTTGCTTGCTGGTAGTTCACCCGCCTGTCCCTGGATCCATACAGACCCCTGCAGATAGATAGATTCACTGGAGAAGGCCCTGATGCTGGGGACGATTGACGGCAAGGGGAGAAGGGGGCGGCAGGGGGGGCGGTGGCTGGATGGGGTCGCTGGGGCGGTGGCCGTGGGCTTGGCTGGGCTCCGGGGGACGGTGCAGGACAGGGGAGCCTGGAGAAATGTTCAGCGTGACTCTGCAGCTAAACGAGATCCAGCAAACGGGACTGCTGTTTCTTCCTGACGACTCTCAAAGCGAAAGCGAGGTGCCTTGGCGGGACCAGAGGGACGTGATGTGGCACCCGTTCATCTCAGTGGAGTTTGGCCCCAGCCGTTTCCTCAAGCGCAGGCTGCCCAGAAAACCAGGGGGAAGATCAAGTGGGGAGTTGTGGGGACTGGGTGTGGGATGGCTCGTGTTTTGGGGGGGGGAGGCTTCTTTCTGAGCCTCAGGGGCGCCCCCTCGGTGGGGATGGAATGTCCTTTGGCTTTGGCATTTAGACACCGTCTCGGCTTGGCCAAATTATTTGTCCCCGAGCCAAGTGTTTGTCCCCGAGCCTACCCAGCTGCCTTCTTTAAATGGGCACGGGCTGTTGGAATGGAAAACTGTGGGTTCAGAAATGTGGTTGTGTGTTGTGCAGTGCAGATCCAGCTTCGTGATTAGAGTCTTCAGCTCACAGCACTTACACCCCCCCCCCCCCCCCCCCCCCGCAGCTCTTCCGGGAAAGCATCCTCTCCAGATGGGGCTACTGGTCCAAACTGGTCGGGGACCGGTCCTGCTCTGGGCACACAAATGTCCAGCCTTTGCATTCGCTCTGCCACAACAGTCCGCTTCAGTCCAGCAGTCAAGGCCATGTGGGTATTGCATTTCCGAAGCTCCAGGTCAGGTGGAGGCGTCGGAAAGACAGTCCAATAAACAGGCCAGGAATCTGGATACCAGTCCGTAGCAACAAAGTCCAGGAATGCTGACAAGGGTGTTTGTTGCTTCCAACACTGAGCAGTTCTGCCCGAACTGATTTATCGCCAGCTCTGGGCTGTATCCAGCGCTGGCTTTCGTCCTCTGAGGAATCCTCCTCAGGTACGACATGATAGGGCCCCAAGCTCATCTGAGCCCAGAGTTCTGGCCGACAGATTCTCAGCATGAGATAGCACAGTAGATATTTCATGAGGGGGGCCGGCTGGAGCCGGGGGTCAGACTAGATGGCCCGCGCGGCCCCTCTGACTCACTCTGTTTCTATGTTTCTGTCATATCATATTCATTTATTTTGGGGACTTCTATGCCATCCCATTCACCGAAGCCTCGGAGCGGCTCACAAGTCCTCATAAGTGAGGACTGGTCAGGGTTCCCCTTGACTTAACACTCCGCCTGGACCTACTCGGGTTCCACAAACGTTGCTGAGATACAACCTCTTGCTATCATGAACTTTAGAAGACTGACCCATCTAGCTGAATGTTATTCCACGAGATAGTGTACAGGGGCTGTGAGAGTGATCGCTTGGCAATTATTAACAATATTGAAATGCTGGCTGCCTTTTAACCAACTCAGATTCCACATCCAAGGAAATATGATTTTAGGTAAAACATTAAGAACTTTCTACCGTGTGGCCATCTTTATACCTGGCAGAAGTCCTGGGCCTTCGCAGACAGGGGTCTGGCAGGCTGAAGTTCCCCAGGGGCAGCTTTTTCTAGTGTGGTGATACAGCGAGAAGGGAGCCAGGGATTCTTACAACCATCATATATCCGGTCCAGTTCTGCCAAGGGAATTGTTTCTGTCCAGGACAGAAAAGGGGGCAATCCTTTCAATACTGTAGGATCTTGTCGAAGGGGAGACTAGACCCCAACACGTATTTCCTCTCCCGATCAATGAATGTCTTTCAGGGACAGGGAAAGGAGGCACTCGCCTGTGGAAACGGCTCCGACGTGTGTGTATCGCGCAGCTTATCTGCACATCCCCAGGCGGAGAACGACTGCTTGTGGCGCCGGTTTCCTCTTCTCACAGAAAACGTTCTCTTTGGATCAGAATTCAACAATTGCGTTATCCCGGCAGCATGTGGGGGACTCTTTACCCCGCATCCGGGGCTGCAGATCCTTCAAGGGACCCCTTCCCCATCTCTGGCGGCTGCAGGCGCACAGGAGAGTGGGAGCCGTGGGCGCCCCTCTGCCCCGCTTGGGTTGCCGCTGCGTTCACACGACTCACTCGCCCTAATTCTGAGACGGAGGACGGTCTGGAGTCCTGCAGTTTAGTAAGATTCAGCACAGGGACAGTGCTGCGTTTACCAGGTCAGAGTACTGCAACTCCCACTGGNCATTGTATGTGTTATTTTTTCTCAAGCCAGTTGGGTCAAGTCCAACAAATGTGTTGTTTTCTAGTAAGACGAAGTTGTGGGTGAGGAGGGATTTTATCAGATTAATGCTGCTGGCCAGAAGGACACGTTTTACATCAAGTCAAGTGATAAACTTTAGTTGATTTAGGATATGGCCCAATTTTCATTGGTGAGGCTGCAAGGAGGCTATTCTTATTCCGCCTGGTAATTATGCTAATGAGTATTAGCAGTTTCAAAACTGAGTGTTAAAGAGATGGCTTTCCTGGCGGCCATTTCCTGCCTCTGGAATGTCTTACTAAGGAATTCTAGTTTGGCTGCCTTAGTAAGGCAGAGGGGGGCCTTTGGCATGTAAATTGGTTTACTGCTGAAGGGGACTTTATTGGATTAAGTGCTGTTTATTTCTTATATAATTGCTTTTGTTTTTAGTGAGACTTTTGTTTTAAGGGATTATCTACACATGGTGCTTCTTGTGTACAGTACTAGTAAAAGTTTGCAGGTTGTTTACAGAACTGTATCTCCACCTCCGCCCAGGGCCCTCTAGAGCTTTGCAGCTGCTTCTGCAGCTTTTGGTAGAGCAAAGATAATGATGCATTTTCCTGGATGGTGCCGGGAAAGAAGCCTTGGCTAAAACCTGAATCCTCCTCCATGCCAAAGTGCCACTTGACATAAAGTGTAATGGGACAAGCAGGAAGACAGCGGAAAAAAAGCCTTGTATAAAAGGGCCTTCTTTCTCCTGCACACACACACACAAAAAGGCAGCAGCAGCAGCAGAAAATGGAAGTAAATGACTCACACAGAGAAGCCTTAAGTTGTTTTTAATGTCAATATTATTCTTAGCCACCTCCAGCACCATTTTTGGTGGAAAGTCAAAATATACTTCTCATAAATACTTCTAACAAGGAGTGGCACTTCTGTTTTTTTTAAAATTGCTAGATATATTTATGGGACAATAGTCCAGTACAGACCTATTTAAAGATTATCATTTAGGAAATGCTGGAAGATGCTGGGGAAATCCACAAACAATTCAAATGTGTTCAGATTGCTATGAATCCAACATGCTGATTTTGCAGAGGTCTGGCTTTTTCTGAATCATGCAGTTTCTGTGAACTTCTGGGCCAATCTTTCACTTGGTGGGGGGGGATTGCACTAATTTTCTATAGTGTGCATTTCCAGTGCAAGTGTGCATCAGTACTAATGCATGCTTGTGCAAATGCACATAAGTTAACACGTTGAGAAGAGCTGCCTTTTAAGCTGCCATCCTATACCTTGCAATCCTACCCCAGGGCAAGAATTCAGAAGACTGAATTTAGTCAAGCTCAGCTCTGGCCCCAGGTATTCCGTCATCCCAGGTGAAGCACAAGATGCTGCCCTCACCCGTTTTAAGTGCAAAGGATGCCTGGAGCGTTTGTTCAGCTACAACAGTGGGGCAGTGCCTGCCGCATGGAAGGCAACAGACTCGCTTAGGGGGTGCAGAGCAGGCTGTGTGACACACACCTCAGTCCCCACGACCCTGCTCCTACCTCCCAGCATTTGCTGCCTGAGACACCTGCCTCATTCTTCTTACTTATTAGATTTGTATTCCACCTTTTAAGGGACTGCCGGTGGCGCAGTGGTTTAAACCACTGTGCTGCTGGGCTGGTTGATCGAAAGGTTGCCGGTTCGAATCTACACAACGGAGTGAATTCCCATTGCTCCGTCCCAGTTCCTGCCAGCCTTGCAGTTTGAAAGCATGCAAATACAAGTAGATAAAAAGGTACCACTTCGGTGGGCAGGTAACAGCGTTCTGTGCACCTCGGTGTTTAGTCATGCCAGCCACATGACCACGGAGACTGTCTGCGGACATACTCTGGTTCCCTTGGCTAGGAAACGGAGATGGAGACTGTCTGCGGACATACTCTGGTTCCCTTGGCTAGGAAACAGAGATGAGCGCCACCCCCTAGAGTCAGGCATGACTGGACTTAATGTCAAGGGGAAACCTTTACCTTTTTTATTCCACCTTTTTCCTTTCTTAAATAACGCAAAGCGACTTGCCTCATTCTCCTCTTCCTGCTCTCCATCTTATCCCGGCAACAACAGCCCTGTGAGGTAGGCTGGGCTGAGAGGCTGTGACTGGCCCAGAGTCACCCAGCTGGCTCCATGGCTGAGCGGGGACTGGGACCCAGATCTCCCGAGTCCCAGTCCTGCGCTCTTGACCGCTGCACCACACTGGCTCTCTCACTGCTTAATAATAAGGCCTGCCCTGTTAGGCATGTAAAGAATTGTCCTGTAAGGTATATTGCAGAAATGAACGGAAAATGATGGTATCTTTCATTCTTTCTACAATTAAGTGTAGACTAGGTGTGATTTGTTAAAAGTGTATTTTTTTGTATTAGAAAAGAACAAGGAGAAGAAAAGCAGCATACCAAATTGGTAAAATAAAAGAAATATATGGGATTCAGGGAAAGGGTGGTTCTTCAACTTTGAAAGTGAGCATAACTATTATACATTCCTATTATACATTCAACTTCTATCATGCCTAATTTTTTTTGCAGTTGGATCATTAAGCTGTGCCAAGGAAGACCGTTCCATTCTGAAGAAAGCTTTTCTGCTCTGTGTTTACAGGGATGGATAAATGCAAGATAAACACAGTTGCCAACATTTCTGGATGCGACACCGGTGCAGTGCCCATGGAATGCTACATGGTTTTGAACGGTTCTGCTCAGATTGTCATTACTGTGCTGTGTTGTGCCTTCGGGGGCCTTTGCATCTTGGAGAACGCCTTGGTGCTGTACCTCATATTTTCTTCCCCAAAGATCCGGAAGAAGCCTTCCTACCTCTTTATAAGCAGTCTAGCCTTGGCGGATATCCTAGCCAGTGTAATATTTGCCTGCAGCTTTGTTCAATTCCATGTTTTCAAGGTGATCGATTCCTCGAAGGAAGTTTTCTTGCTGAAGCTCGGAGGTGTCAATTTATCTTTCACGGCTTCTCTCAGCAGCCTGTTGCTGATGGCCGTTGACCGGCACATCTGTATCCTCAAGCCGTCCAGGTACAAGAGCTTGGTAACGAGCCAAAGGGCCCTGGTGGCTATGGCGGTTCTGTGGGTCACCATCACGTTCCTTGCCTTCCTGCCCCTTCTGGGATGGAACTGCTGCAGGCCCCGCTCCGTCTGCTCTGAGCTCTTTCCGTTTGTTGACAATGCCTACCTCTCGAGCTGGATTGTCCTGGTGGTGCTCCTTCTGGCACTGATAGTGTATGCTTACATGCACATCCTTTGGAAAGCCCGCAAGCACACCCTGTACATGGAAAAGTACCACATGCAAACCAGCCAGCAGAAGATGAAGGTGCGAATCGACATCATGCTGGCCAAGACCTTAGTGATCATCCTGGCGCTGCTGGTGATGTGCTGGTCACCGGCACTGGGCCTCATGGCCTATAGCCTCTTTGTGAAACTGGACGACTACACGAGGAAGGTGTTTGCCTTCTGCAGTACCCTGTGTCTGCTGAACTCTATGGTCAATCCAGTGATCTACGCTCTGCGGAGCAGAGAGTTGTACTCCTCTTTGAGGAGGGTCTGCCCCTGCCTCAGGCGGATCCCAGGAATGTCGGAGAGCATCTCAGAAGCAGAAAGTACCCAAAGGTCCTACCCAGTTGAAACCATTTGCGACAAATCAGTCAAGCACTCAGAGGCCCTTGTTGACTAAAAGTATGCATAGAAGTTTTCTCTTTGGAAAGACTCTAAGGCAAAAGGTGTACAAGATCCAGGGCTTTGGGGGTCACGCTGGGTCTGCTGGAATCAAGTGTGTGGCACAGTCTTCTCTCACTGCCAGACGTGACTGCCATGCCCAGATGCCCAGGAGTTCTGCTGGAAACACTAGTGTGTCCTTCCCAAACTCTGTTCTATACTGCCTGTAGCCGAAGCTCTCTGGGCAGTTCACATGTAAGTCACCCATACAGATTTCAGCCAGGCCTGACCCTGTTTAGCTTCCAAGGCACACCAAGGATGAGGCACACCAAGCTATTCGGATGTTTCATTTCTGGCTCTGGACTTGGGATGAACTGGCAGGTTTTGAACAAATACCTGATCCCATTGGAGGATTTGCATTGCAAAAACACCCTTGCCATGAAATTATGTCTTGGCATAAGCAGTAACAGTACAATCTGTGGACAGTATGTATATTTAAACAAAGGCTATGTGTTTGCCGTGTTTTTACAGGGAAGCAGAAAAAAAGGTCGAATGTGATACGCTAGGAACCAATCCTCACTGAAAGAGGGAGGGGCACTAAAAATAAATACTGGATGCAACCTTTGGCTCCCTGAGAATCTCAACTTTTTTTACTTTTTAAACATGTTTAAATAACCCAAATTTCTAGTCCTTATGATGACTGAAAAAATGCACTTGGAATTATGCAAGCAATTCTTACTGACATCTCAGAAACCAGAGAGATGTCTAAAAATACAATTTTGAGTGAGTGAACTCAGCTCGGTTCCCTCCCTAGTGCCTTCTGCACTATGCCAGGCCAGTAATTTTATGGCAGAGCACACCCAAGACAGTGTGGCTAGTAAAAAAACCCCACCCACAACTTCCCCAACAGGCAGGCCGGTCTGCATTACAGGTAGGGTCCCCCCTCCCCCTCCCCCCTCCCGGTCCTCTCACAGGTATCTCAGGGAATCCTGGGGGAAAGGACTCCTTCCTCCCTGCCAGAGGAAATCCAAGAGCCAGCAGGGAGAAGGAGAGCAGAAAACAGAGGTTTTTGCCACTGACTGACACGTTGGCTGAGCAATCTTGGCTGTCCACTCTGGTGGCAGGCTGAAAAGAAAGACTGGACTCGTGGTGGCAAAGCAGCGGGAGCTGAGATCTCTGTCGCACACTGCTGTGACTTGATGAAAGAGCTTGCTGCTGCAGCATATGCCACGGCAGAGCTTCCAATAGCCACCTCCCGGGCCACTTGGGCACTTTGGGGGCAGCTGTCAGCAGCACTGGTCCCGCAGCTGCTTGGCAAAGGTGGCCCTTCTTGCCAAAAGGTTCACTGGCAACACGGCTTGACTGACAATGGGATGTGTCATCCAGGTTCAGACAACACGACAGCCTGTCAGGGAAAGAGGAGCCCTGTTGGAAGCCGTGGCTTGTCAGGGTGCCTTATAAGCCTAAAGCCCTGGAAAAACCCACCCTAGATGCACACAACAAAACAACCTGCCCAGGCATGGTATTGTCTGTTAATGCCCATGCTTCTAAAAAGAACATCAGCTCTTGCTGCAGATTTCAGGGTGATCTGGGGCGAAGTTAGACAGGGGCCTTTTAATTCAGACTTAGCGGTATTTTTCTGTCTCTCTCTTTGTCATGTTTTCAAGGGAAGAGGGACAGATGACTGATGGTGCCTTCATAAAAATCGGTGTATTTACACATTAAGGAGGAACACCTAGGATGCCAATTCAGTTTTAGACCTTACTGCCAACGAGCCGGCAAAAGCAACGTGTCAAACTTTTATCTAGCCCTCCCCTCCATCTCCCCCAGTGGCTTGAGCTCGCTCCCAGGAGATGCTTGGGAGCTGAATCACACATTCTACTGGCATGCAACTAACTCTTCTCTCCCTTAAAAAAACACTCTAATGTGATCAGCAACAGCCATCATTGAGATCAGCACCATCATATGCCAGGAAGGAGGCAGTTGAATTTCCCCTTGTTTCCCGCACCCCCAAAATCACTTGTTTCCCATGGGGAAGGGCTGTTAAAAAAAGAGGAAATATCATGGTTGGAGCAATGCTTGAAATAAATGTTCAAAAGCAGTCTGATAGGTGCACAGAGAAGAGGTTTGGTGATAGAGCCAGAAGAGAGAATCCAGTGAGTTTTGGCAGGGCTGGCGGGCAGTGGGGGGGGGGGGGAGGCTGCTGTCAGGGGTTAGTATGGCTGGGCACCTACCAAGGTCCACAACCCTTACCTGCTTCAGGTCCACCTACCCAGGTCCTCCTTGCTGCTGCTGCTCACTGCTTGTCCTGCGCACCCTGGCGGGGATGAGAGGAGGAGATGCCATGGCTTGCATCTTCCGTCCTGCACACTTTTCATGGCACAGATCATGCCCATACAAAGAAGGCGGGTGATGGGACCAGCAGTCTAGACACAAGCAGGAGAGGGCCACTGGGGTCTCTTGCTCAAGCCCCCCTCCAGACTTTGGAGCCAACGCTGGTGGATCCCAATGAGATTAAATAAGTGCCATACAACCATTATGGAAACTAAAAGGAGTTTTTTGTTGCAATTCACAAGTGAGAGGAAAACACTCTTATCCTAGATATTTTACATATTTATGACTGGTCCAAGGTGTTTGTGCTGCTTGGAAGTAATTTTTTTTATCATCCCCACTTTCTCTCCCACCAAGGTACATGGAGACACTGCTTCTGTTTTTCATGTATTTGCTCCCTTTTACAACCATAAAACCATTGCTTTGGGCAACTGATAATCAGAAGGATTTGAAATGTATTCCTAAAAATGCAGGACTTACCAGAAAAGCTTGTGACCTGTTGTGTGGCAAGGTTGCCAAGTGGGTAGGAAAAGGGCACTGGACTGTTCTTGGGTCCTTACCAGCAATGTGATATGCAGGAATTGGCAGGTGAAATTTCTGTTGCTTTGAAAAGAAATTCTATTTATCACTTCCTAACTACACCAAAAGATCTAGCTATGTATGGTGGTCAGGTACAAAAGAAGGTGGGATGCCTGCAAATTGAATAGCTGTGTACTTATTAAAAAGAGAATTCCAGCAGGTATACCCTGTCATGCAAATAGTGATATGAGTTTTCTGGAAATTTTTCAATTATTTTTTTTTTCAGAAAAAAATCCTATGCAAATTAAGGAAATTTGCAAAGGGAAGATGTCAGGTTGCATCTGAGTGGGGCTTATTTTTCCTGCAACTCCGGAAAACCTGTTTAAAGAAAAAAAATGCAGCCATAACACTTCAGAACACCCAAACAATGTCAGATTTTGCTTCTTTGCAAGCTAAATTTGACTCTTTTGGGGACTCCGCAGCTTCCACTGGGCTCCCAAAAGCTCAAATGTAGTTGGCAAACAAGCTAAGTTGGACCTTTTTGGCAGATGAATTGGTAATTCCAGATGATATCTTTCCTTTAAAAAGAAACACTGAAATCATTTTTGTGGTACTTGGCAAAGGTCCATAGAGATAGAACAGGTTTAGCTTGTATTTTGTAAAGATGCCTAAAAGTATGGCCCTTTCACTCCAGGTATTTGACTGAAATATATGACGGAAAAAATCAAAGCACATTAGGGTGTACTCAGAGTGGCTTCATCCTCAGTGCTTGTAAGGGCCCAGACTTGGAGGTTTACCACAATCCACCAGCCGCTCTCCCCCTCCTATACCTCATGGTCTAGATTTTTGCTAGACGGCCATTTTTGGCTGTCTATCCAATGTGCTTCGGAGGTGGAGGGAAAGAGGCTGATGTTATTTTCCAACCCCAAAGAGGCAGCTGGCATAGTTCAACGTCCTATGGAAATACCTCAAGGAGAACACAGAGATCGGGCCTTCCTACTGTAAAAATATCTAGTTGATATTTAAAAAAAACAAACAAACTGGTCAGCTTGACAAGGGGCAAAAAGATTTGTTTGACAGGCCCCTGCTATTTCAGGCAACAGATTCCACTATTGACTGCTTCCCATTAAAAAACAGACAAAAACCTGTTTTCTTGCCCTTACTTAGCACACAAGAAAAAAACTGTTCGAGAATAAAAGAGGGTCTGCTGTACCCCAGCAAGTGCCCCTCAAGTGCAGGATCCTGTTCCCACAATGCTACCAGGTGCCTGGAGGCCCATGAGGCAGACAGCGCACATGGATGTCCTGCTCTCATCTTCCCAGGAACAGGAGCTGCATTCTCTCTCAGTCCCCTCCATATTGCACGAGTCTTTTTACTTGCTGGGAATTTTTCACATAGGGAACAATGGAAAAATGTGACCATTCACAACACATAACACAGATCCTGCCAGACAAACCTTGTGGAATTCTACGACAAGGTTTTGAGATGGCTGGATGGAGGGGATGCTGTGGATGTGGCATACCTGGATTTCAGCAAGGCCGTTGACAAAGTGCCCCATGATATCCTGGTGGAGAAACTGAGGGGTTTTGGGATACACCAAAGCACTGTCCGGTGGATTAGGGCATGGTTGACTGACCGAAAGCAGAGGGTAACCATTAAGTGGGGAATCGTCGGGATGGCGGCCAGTGACAAGCGGGGTCCCCCAGGGCTCTGTCCTGGGGCCAATCCTGTTCAATCTTTTCATCAACATCATGGAAGAAGGGGTGAACAGTCTGCTGATCAAATTCACAGACGACACTAAAACGAGCAGTGGCCACAACTGAGGAGCAGGCACTCCAGATCCAAAAGGATCTGGACAGACTGTGGAAGTGGGCAGGAGACAACAGGATGGCGTTCAATGTGGATAAGTGCAAGGTCTTGCACTTGGGGCATGGGAATGGGTGTCATAAGTACAGGTTAGGGGACAAGTGGCTGGAGAGCAGCACTTGTGAAAGGGACCTCAGGGTGCTGGTTGACTGCAGGCTAAACATGAGCCAGCAGTGTGATGCGGTGGTCAAGTGGGCGAACGCCACCCTTGGTTGCATAGCCAGAAGTGTGGCTTCTAGATCGAGAGAGGTATTACTACCACTCTACACGATTCTGGTGCGCCCACAACTGGAGTATTGTGCTCAGTTTTGGGCCCCTAGCGTCAGTGCAGCGTAGGGCCACAAGGTTGGTGGCCGGTTTGCAGGGGATGCCGTATGAGGCGAGACTGAGGGAACTGGGTCTCTTCAGCCTGGAGAAGAGGAGACTCAGAGGTGATATGTTGGTGACATACAGGTATGTGAGGGGGTGTCACACGGAGGTGGGTAGAGACCTGTTCTCCCCTGCAGAGGAAGGCAGGACGCGCTCCAACGGAGCAAAGCTCAGGGAACCAAGGTTTCGTTTGGATGCCAGGAAGCACTTCCTGACAGTCAGGACCCCGAGGGTGTGGAATGGGCTTCCACGAGAGGTCGTTGAGGCTCCATTGGTGCAGGTGTTCAAGGATAGGCTGGACATGCACATGGTGGGCATGTCATGAGCGGAGCTGACTGGTGTCGGAGGTCAGACTAGATGGCCCGGGAAACCCTTCTGACTCGCTCTGTTTCTATGTTTCTATATTCCGCAGTCATACGACCTCAGAAGTCAATCGCCTCCCTTGACCACATGCATGCATCAGGTCTTAATGAGAACTCCAGGCAACTGCTTGTCCATGAGCATTCCCCACAAATGCCCTTTTGCAAGCGAGTCCCCCCGAGCTGACAAATGTACAGATTTCAAACTGCACAATGACTCTTGCCAGGATGGCACATCCACAGCTTCACAAAGCGTGGTGTGAGCCACTGTGTGCCCCCTTCTTTCTTACTCAGGAGGCCACCTGAGGAAAAAGAGGAAGTGTGGAAATGCATCAGTATCTGAGACCGATTAACTTACTTTTGCACTGTTAGAGCCATAAATTATTATCTTTCCATCCCTCCAACTTGGAAATCAGGATTTGTATTTAAATAGAAATACAGTCTATCACACCACAGGGTAGAAGACTGTGGTGTGTTTGCCTGGTGTTGCTGCCGATGGGACCACTTCTTAGCATCCTTTATTTTAAAATATCAGTTTAAAGCTCAGTTATTTCAGATCCTGGACTTAAAAGGGCTCAGGTGTGGGAGGATTTAGGTAGCCTGCTTAGAGGTGAAGCACGCAAGTAGCTTTCATGCCCACCTCACTTTAAAACAGCTTCTACATTTCTGATACTTACAACTACAAGTCTTTTTGTGCCAGTCCAGATTGAAAATCTCTGAGCACGTGCAGTTTTGCATTTTTAACACAAATGAATCAAGACGCTACAGTGACTACAAGTTAATGGAATACAGTGCTTATGCAACTGCACTGGGAGTGGTAGCTGGAAGGATCCTGGCCCCCAGCTGGAGCAGCATCCCTGCAAACGGGCGCCCTGGCAGCCCTTTATCTAAAAGGCCAAGTATCCATCCTGCATCTTTCGTTTGGCTCATTTCACGACAGCGTCACAACCGCACCTGTTGCAAACCGTATCTCCACGTGCGTGCTCGCTCTTTCCCCCTGCCCCCAGACACTCGCATACCCAGGCCAGCGAGAACCTGCTTTACCTTTGCTCATTCCACAGCGGCCTCCCGTCGCACCTCCTCGCTCGCTCGCTCGCTCGCGCCGGCCCGCGCGCATCCCCGCCCGTCGAGGCACGTGACCCGGAGCAGTTGCCCGGCCAGTCGCGCGCCTCTTCTTTTTCCCTCTTGGTACTGTTTTGATGCTGCGCGCACGTGTGCGCGGAAGCGAGGCCGCCATTGGGCGAGGAAGCGGCCAATGGGCGCGAAGGTCGAGCGCGGCCCTGCGGGGGCGAGGGCGGCGATGGTGGGCCCGGCGCTGGGCCGCGCGCTCTGCCTGGCGCTGCTCCTGTGCGGGGCGCCGGCCGGCGGGACCTCGGCGCCCCCGCGGCGCTACACGCCCGACTGGGCCAGCCTGGACTCGCGGCCGCTGCCCTGCTGGTTCGACGCCGCCAAGGTCGGGGTGTTCGTGCACTGGGGGGTCTTCGCGGTGCCGGCCTGGGGCTCGGAGTGGTTCTGGTGGAACTGGCAGGGCGAGCGCCTGCCCGACTACGAGCAGTTCGTCCGGTCGCACTTCCCGCCCGGCACGTCCTACGCCGACTTCGCTGCCCGCTTCACCGCCAGGGACTTCCAGCCGGAGCAGTGGGCGCGCCTCTTCCAGGAGGCCGGCGCCAGGTCAGCCACACGCGGAGGGAGACCGGCCGCCAGCAGAGGGAGAGCGGGGGAAGCGGTGGCCGCGGCTGCTGGCCGTCGACCTTAGTGGGTGTTATCCCGGGCTAGCCCTCTATAAGAGCAGACCCGCTGGCACGCGTGAGGGTTCCGTTAGTCAACACAGTCTTGACTTCGAGTAGACTCATTGGAATGAAAGCAGCTTGAATTAATGTAGGGATATTGAAATGTCAAGGTAGAGTGTAAGGCTCTTTCAGAAGAAGCGGATTCTGCGTGGATGCATTGAAATGAATAAGATTTATTTAGAGTTAGCCACAATGACATCAGTCAGACTTTGGTTGCAACTGACTATAAAGTCCCTTTCATCTTAATGGGTGTATTTTATATAGCACTAACATGGGATACTATTTACTTACTTACTTACAATAAATAAATTTATACTACCCTTTACACAGCAGTGCAATCTAAAGGGATAGCCACTTGAGGCAAAACTGACAAAGAATAATGTCCAAACAGCAACCATTCTTGTGATGTCTTAAAAGAAAAAAGAAAAAAAAATTCATGGACTACAATGCCTTTCATTTTATGGGAGATATTTGGAAATAGGACATTCATAAGGAAAGAATTCAAATAACAATGATTACCTTAATAGTTGCCATTCATAACCATTTGCACAAGGCTCTGATGGGTTCTTTGTCTTTATTGCAAAAGATGATACAGTACTCCTCTGAAAAGAGTATTGTGGCACCATAAAAGTTTAATCCTTGCAGGCTTAGGCAGAAAGGCAGAAGCTAAAAGAGTCTTTTATCACAAAAAAGAGAAAGAAACTCTAAAAATACTATTTAAAACTTCTTAAAAACACAACAGAGCAGTAGAAAGGGTGCAGAAGATCAAAAGGGCTACGATAATAAAAAGGAAAGCCCCAAAAAGGATTTTGCCTGTTGCTGAAAGGATAGTGGTGTAGATACATAGGACACAGGGAAGCAACCTTGTACTGAGCCTTGGTCTGTCCAACTCTGATGGGCAGCAATGACTGTCCAGAGTTTCAGGTACGGCTCTTTCCTAGTCCTACCTGGAAATATTGGGGCTTGAACCTGTGACCTCCTGCATGCAAAGCAGGTTTTACCACCAAGCTACAGTCCTTCCCTGATGCACAACACGAAAATGGTTACCTAAAATTCTACTATTACACGCAGACAGCCGCAGTGAGAGAAAAGGAATGAATACAAACTAATAGCTCAGCTTTGGATTAGTTTAGCTTAAAATAAAAAAGTAGCCTTCCTTCTTTCCCTCCTTCCTTTCCTCTGTCTGTCTGTCTGTCTGTCTTTCACTGACATTTTATGGATGGATTTCACTTTAATCTGCTTTAACCCTGTTGTAGCTGCCATGTTCAGGCTTACTAATCCGGAATAAGGGTGTTATCTTGGCAGCACCCTGTAGAATTTTTTCTGCTGCTTTGTACAAACAAGACTGACTTTCATTCAGTTTTTTACCTGTGCTGCCTGTTAGATATCAGAATATTTTTGGATGAACTCCCTTATGAATTTGTGTTTTTAATACTTACAGATATGTTGTGTTTACCACAAAACATCATGAAGGCTTCACCAACTGGGGGTCCCCAGTGTCCTGGAATTGGAATTCGGTGGATACAGGACCCCATCGAGACTTGGTGGCTGAATTGGGGGATGCTCTCAGAAAAAGGTAGCTAAATGGTGGGGGTGGAGGCTATGGGGTGCACACAGCCAGACATGAGAGCCTTCTGATAACTTATGCACTGGTATAATTGAATTTTCCACTTTGTTTGTTCTCCAGGAATATATACTATGGACTGTACCATTCCCTCTTTGAATGGTTTAATCCACTGTATTTATTGGATAAAAAGAATTCTTTCAAGAGCCAGTTTTTTGTCTCTGAGAAGTCTCTACCAGAGCTCTATGAACTTGTCTTAAGGTAAGAACAAAAAATCTGCCAACAGCCTAAACTTCAGTCCCATGCATCTGACTCCCTGCTACACCTATTGAACAAATGGGTTTTCAGGTAAATGTGGTGCACATAGCTTCTAAGGTGACCTGCAGAGTTATATTGGCCTCCCTGGCCATGATCCAAAACTAAGACGTATACCTGATCACTTCCATAGCATAGCTATGAACATTTTAGTTAGAATGCAATCCGTCAGCTCAGACTACTTCAAAGTCTTGTTGTAAGGATCAAATGGAATAACTCGATGTGAGGATCAATAATATCTTTCTGACTTTTATCTTTCTCATTTCATTTTAAAATTCAAAAGAACCAGTTTGAGCCTTTAAAAAAAATCTCATTTGGAAGATCAGCAAATTAAAGTACATGTTTTATAAAAGGGAGAACAATGTTTGGAAATTAAATTTCTAGTAACGGACAAACCTGCTTTTCAGTAAATTTATCCATTCAGATTCCTTCTTTAACTTTCTTAGTGGGCAACTTGTGGCTGTTCAGATGTTTTTGCCTTCAGCCCCCGCCATCCCCCACCATTGGCTGTGCTGGCTCGGGTTTATGGCATTTGCAGGTCAAAATATCTGGAAGGCCACAAGTGCCCCCACTTGCCCTGCTATAATAGCTGAGTTGAGTCATAAGAGCTTTTGTTAGAAGCAGTCTGATAAAGCGAGTAGTCTAGAAACTTCCAACATGCAGCTAGCAGGAAGTTACTTCTATTTGATTCCACTTCACGTCTCTGAGGACTGGCTGTTCGCTTTCTGCACCAACCATGCCTTGGCTGCCCTGATAGCCAGTCCCTGTGCTTGCCAGAGCCAGAGGGAAAGGCTGGCGCTTGTTTCGGTGGGAGAGACGGAAGTGCTTCACTGCCTTTTTCCATACACATGCCAAAACAGTTTTGACTTCCTCTAGTTTTAATTTGATGCAGACCTTTTCCTTTTTGTTGCGCTGTGGTCTGCATGGCTCAGTGCAGTTGGGGAAAGGATGCCTGCCCTTTCCCAGACTCCAGGCTAGAGAATAAGATGGAGGGCAGGAGTGGCAAGTAGACAGATGGACCCCTGCTGCTATGCTGCACTGGGGTTTGGGATTTCCTCAGGCCTTGCTGGCAGGTTTTCAAGCCTGTTGTTGCAGGCACTCCGGCTAGAAAGCCTTTTAAAAAGGGGAAGTGGAAGTTTCCCAGAGCTGAGTTCTGCATACTGTTCTCTATGCTCTTGATGAACTTCAGCATTCTCACAGCCCTGTCAAAAGGATTACTTTGATTTCCAAAGTACTGCATGATCCTTTCAAGAAAAAATGTAGGTTTCCCATATGCAATCCCAGTATTTGGCCCACTGCATCACACTGACACAATATAGCCTTTTGTCCTCTTAAGAAAAATGTGGTGTGAATTATTTCTTTTGTTAACTTACTACAACAAAATGAGTGTGGGGGATACCAATCACTAATACCTCAGCTCAGAAGAAAGACCAGTAATTAGGACCAGTAATTGTACTACTAAATCTTTTGTTTTTTAATCTTCATCTAAGGTACAAGCCAGATATCATTTGGTCTGATGGAGGATGGGAGGCTCCTGATACTTACTGGAATTCAACCTCTTTCCTTGCCTGGCTTTACAACGACAGCCCAGTCAAAGTATATGAATTTGCTTCCAATGTTTTTGGCCAGTAGGAAGTTTTCTCTTATTTTCTTGCATTTGAAATGAAATAGTTCTGTAAAATTATTTGTAATGGCTGCAGTGGCACTTGCCTAAATTTTGCACCTTTTTGTGGCACTCAAATTGTTCCTGATGTTGCCTCAACTTGTGGAACCAGTGATGGAAGAATAAAACATGCAAAGGAGTGTAAAAAGCACAAAAATATCTGTGCTTGCTGTCTCTGCACTCAGTGCCTAAGACTGTTCTTGGGCCGAGTGTGCACTGAGGTAACACCAAAGGCCTTTTTGAAATACAGTGTGAATGGAAGGCCTGTAGTTCACTTGCATATTCTTATGCATAGCTCACTTCTCCAGACAGTAAGGCATCTAGCGGTAGTGTGAATTGCTCTGATTTCTTTGAATGAGAGTGCTAGAGACTTTGTGGGGTTGATTCTAGACCAAGTTAGTTGTGGTTAGATACCATTGAAATCAGTGTGAAAACTGGACATGGCTACGGTAGGGGCAAATAAAGTTTGGACCCAGCATGTGGTATAGCTGTAATGTCTGTTAATTAGAACAAAATAAGTAGAAGAGAACTGCTTCTCAGTTTTAGCTAAATCCAATGAAAACCCTGAATTTTTTCCCAGCCTCTCTCAAAAGTCATGTTGCAGGGCTAGTGCCAATGTTTTGTTTGGAGCATTTCAGGTCAAGTGGAGAACAGCCTCCCAAACCTCTTTTCAAGCCCAGAATTATTGCGAAGGCAGAAATTGCCCAAGTAAGATAAGGCAAAATAGCTTACCTTCCTTCTGGATTTCTGCTCCTAGGACACTGTGGTGGTGAATGATCGATGGGGCAGCAATTGTTCCTGCCACCATGGAGGCTACTATAACTGTCAGGATAAATACAAGCCTGGCGTTTTACCAACCCACAAGTGGGAGATGTGCAGCTCTATTGACAAGAATTCCTGGGGGTATCGAAGGAACATGCAAGTCCAGGAACTCTTGGATGAGGCCAGCATCATTCGGGTAAGCAATGAGGTGTAAACAAAGCCAGGGACTAGCAGATCAGCCAGAGCTTGCACGCAATTGCTGGGGCTTGGAGTGGGCTTCAGGTCCAGCCACAGCAGGCCACATTCTTTAGGAAACCATCTGGATGAACAAGGCAGTGCTGGTGATGTTGATATCGTCCCGCTCTCACATACAGCCTTCAGCTAGCAAACTGAATGTCTGAAAGATCTTCCATTCAGACTGTGGCCTTCTCCTCTGAATGGATACCTGAAAGAACAAAGCCATGATCATTCGCTCCATTGGAGGATCTTCTAGGACTGTTGCTGCCACCTTGCGCAGGAAATGTATAATATAAAATGTCTAAGTAATTGACAGAAGAGGCACCCATCCCACCTGCTGAGACTGACCCTTTCTCTGGCTTATACTTAAATCCCAACTGAAATTAAAACATTAGAACTATCAACAGAAGTATGTAGAGTATATGAGCTTTGGGAACAGGAAAACAAATATCTTAATTTCAAAACTAGACTGAACCTAAATCTTGGGACAAAATACCTATATAAAGAAGTAGTCAAGCAAAAGGACTAGGCTGTGATCTTACAGAATTTCCTTCACTGGAATAGGTCAAGGAAAGGGTGGACAGATGTCTGCGTAGGTTGTTTAAAGCAGCTAAGATGTTTTCATGTTCTCTGTCTGTCTTCACTGCAGGAACTTGTACAGACTGTGAGTTATGGAGGAAACTATCTACTCAACGTGGGGCCCACAAAAGAAGGCATAATCGTGCCAATCTTCCAAGAAAGGCTCTTGGCACTTGGGAAATGGCTGAGCATTAACGGGGAGGCCATTTATGAATCAAAACCATGGAGGGTACAAAAGGAAAACGGCACTGAGGGCACCTGGTATGGTAACACTTATCCAGATGGGTTGTTACTTCTCTGATATGAAGAAGGGGAAGATTGTCAATATTAATATTGTGACAACTCTGTGAATGAATGCCCACTTGTAAACGCAAGGCTGTAGCTGCCTGTGTAGAATTGTTCCATCTTCTGTGTGGTCTTCCTCTTCTGTCTTGTTTTCCCTTAGCCTTATTATCTTCTCCAGTGAGTGTTCCCTTTTCATGAGGTGTTCAAAGTACAGCAGCTTCAGATTCCTCATTTTTGATTCCAGGGAAAGTTCTGGCTTGATTTGATTTGGGTTAAGTGTTTGTGTGGTATTATTTACATATTTACACAGGACCAGTGGGAGGCATCACCATGAGTGGGCCTGCATTAAAGTATGCATTAGATTCTGAGCTGCTTTTCACATATATTTGGTCATAGTAAGAGTAGTGTCCCGGCCGCACAAGAGCTGCTTTAGATATGAGCACAGTTGTTCAAAAATAATTTTGTAGTATCTTAGACAAATTCAGCAAGTATAAAGGAACATCAGTTAACATCTCATTAAACTCTGATTGCCTCGACGTTATTTTCCTGGCCTGGTGGGAAGGTGGAATCTTTTCTCTGAAAAGCAGCATGTGCTACCACACTTTAAAGATCATTGAAGTATAAGGCAATTGTAGGCAGGATTGAATAATTTTCTTTCTAAAATTTTGGATACATTAACCTGGTGCAAAAGACATGCACTTGGAATTAAAGATTTCTGAGCCCAGGAATATGTTTTGAGTATCAGAACTCAACTGAACTGGGTCTGCAGGTTTTTCAAACAAATTTTACTCTTGGTTACCCCAAGCTTTTTTCATTTCAGCAGTATAATTTATTTGTTTGTATTAAGTCACTGGGAGATCTGAAATCACCCAGAGATGTACTAGTACATCTATCGCTATCATCTATCCACCTCTGGTGTAAGGGACTTGGTACTAGCAGAAGACTGATAATTGCTAATTAGCTGTAAAATATTTGATTGGGCACTAGAGCTATCTTTACTCACTCAGTATCCAAATCTCATGGAAGCATGCTGTCAAAATTAATCTTTTCTTATTCAGTTGGCCTGTATTTCGACTATTTTATTGATTGAGAAGGCTTGGACTAGCTTGTGACACCTGAAAGCACAACTAGCTGCCATTTATTTTACAAGGTGATTTAACTTTAAACCTTCTCTTGGTGCAGTTGAGAGCTTTATATGTTGCTTACTAAAAGGATTTGTAGTCTGCCTTTGCACTTGTGGACTTTAAGGGAACTTACAATGCTATGAGATTGTGATAAGTTAAATCTTCAGTTCAAGGACTGAATGAAAGAATCCTAATTCTGAAAGTGATTAAGGATTAGAGAACATTTTTCAAAATAAAAGGCTTGCAAAGGCAACATATGGAAAGTTTTGCACAGCCCCAGCACCATGTTGTTGACAGCAGCAATTGGAGAAAGAGGGACAGATTGTAATGCAATGTTTGGTTTTTCAGGGTGTATGTAAGGGTGAACTTTGAGGCTTTCATCACTCCTGGTTGAACAGATCCTGTGTGTGAGAAAAATCAAGAGTCCTTTGGCCTGGCCTTCAGCTGTGGCCAAACGTAGCACGTGAAGAGTTTGTGTTCCCTCAAAAGATGGATGCCTGGTCTCTGTTTCAGTGTTTTTATACTGCTGTCCACAAGTCAGTGTTTCTTCTTATATTCTCCCAGGTACACTTCAAAGGGAGCAATCATCTACGCTATTTTCTTGACCTGGCCAGAAGGCAGCATGCTGACACTTTCATCACCCATCCTCTCAGGAAGTGTGCAAGTAAGGAGAGTGAAACATAAGTCGTTTGGGCAATGATTTGTCTTAGACTTGATGACATTGAGAAATCCTGACAGTGCTAATTCTTTAAAATATTTTTAAACCTGATTAGTCCATTTTTCACAAAGAAATTAGTCTACAACAGTGTATTAAATTGCAGTAAAACCAGATTCTCAAACTGCATAAAATATTACTAAAAATACAGATTTCACTTTTAAAATTCCAACCACAACAGAAATAGCAGCTCAAAAACCTCCAACTGAAGACAGAAACAAAAGACAGCTTTAAACAGATGCCTAAAAGCCTAAAGCGACAGAGCTTAGCAAATCTCAATTTGGAGGGCATTCCCTAGGGGGGTATAATCAGCACAAAGGCCTAGATCTTGTTGCTATTCTTCTGGACCTTAGACAGCTAAGCAGTTTGGATCCAAGTCCCAGCTACTTAATGAAAATGTGTGAAGAGCGGGACATTTTTCTTTCTAAATATGCATGAGCTTGCATTGTAAGTTGCTCCTGGTAAGAAAACAGTCTGAGAATGTTTACATATAATGAAAATATTGTTTAGTTCCTCTTGCATCCTGTGGAAGTAATTTACTACGCTCATTAACTTCTGCTGCTCCTTTTTCTGATGTGGTTGAGTTATACAGTTGACTTGCGTCCTCTTCTTAGGAAGGAGGCAGGTGTAGTTTCATGCTTGTTTGTATTGAAAGCTGAGGTTATACTTTCGTAAGAGTTAGAAAAGTTTAAAAGTTTTTTCCTCCTGTGCTGTCAAGGGCCTTAAGTAGTAAGTCAGTTGGGTGATGTTTTTAATGTAATTGTTACATTTCTGCTGCATTGTGATATATTGCTTTGTTTCATTTTAATTGGTAAGCTACCTTGAATGCCATCTTTTGGTGGAAAGGTGGGCAACAAACAAACAAACAAAGTCTTCCTTTGTATTTCCTAATGGCAACAGTTTGGTAAAATAGATATTTTCATTATCATTTATTGTACTAGTTGCTATTACAGCTGCACCACAGGAATTCAGCAGGGCATTTATGACCTGAGAGAAACCTAATACTTCTCTGCTAGGTAAAGGGTGTTTCTAAAATGATCATGCTTCATCCTGGGCAAACTTCCTGCCCTAATTCAGATAGGTTTGAAGAGAGTGAGGATTTGATAGGACTGAGAGGCTTCCTGCAGGGGCATCTGAGAGTGCAAACTGCCACCAGTCAGCACACTGCTTACCAAAACTTGTGAATTCACAGCATACAAGTTGTCACCCCTTTGGTGGTTCCACACACCTTATGAGGCTGTCACAGGGTGACTACTCTCCCTTTAACCATCTTCAGGCACAATCCCATGCATATGCAGGCAGAATAGTGGCTGGTTGGAGTTTGCTGGAAGTTGTAGGCCTCATTTTTCTTACTTTTATCTGTATTCTATTTTATTGTTGTTGTGAACCGTCCTGAGACGTTTGTGATGGGACGGTATGCAAAAACTTTAAATAAATAAATAATTTCTCCCCAAACATGTATAGAATTGCATCCTTGGTATCTTAGAATGTGCAATAGATTTGAAGGGTTTGTTTCCTCTTCCTCTCAGGTGACTATGCTGGGGATCTCTGAACCTTTGAAGTGGCAGCCGTTACCAGACAAAGGACTGAAGATCACGCTGCCATTCACAACTCCTTCTGTTCTCCCTCTACAGCATGGCTGGACTCTCAAGCTAGATGGAGTAGAATGATGCCGAAGGCGGAGGGGAACTGAAAAATGTTTCTTGCATTTTCTTCCTTGCTCTTAAAAATGGAAGTGATGATGCTACTGTGATTAGTGACTTCAGTGGATTTGGGATGGGTGGGCTTAAGTGAGGGGATCTGCACTTAAATGAAATCTTTACATATTATCAATGCTCAGAGGTTGCATTTTATTAGGAAAGGACCAAAGAATGGATATTATGTAAACAAGATTTAACTTGCTTGATATACCTGTCCCAAATGTTAAACATCACTTACTTGGAGTGAGAACAGTCTCCAGTGAGTTCTCAAGGAAACTATCTTGAGCTCTTTTGAGTTTCATTGAGTGGGTCAGAGCTTGGGAACAGAGTAGGTGCTAGATTTAATTGATGGACAGCAGGTCCCTATGGCCATTTTTTTCCACCAGCCAGCTCAAGTTGCTTAGGCGTAGGAGCCGCTTGCCCCAAAGAGCATTCTTGTACAGGCTTTCAGTAATGAGAAGCAAAAACCTCTGTGGAGGCTTTCAGAATTGAAATAGAATGGGAGCAGCCTTGAAGGTGAGTTCACAAGCCAGCAGGAGCTGGTGGCAAAACAAGCACCGATTGGCCAAAGTGCTGGTTGCGAGCCATTAATAGACAGCTGTGAGGCAATAGGGAATCAAGTGCTAGGCTTTCTCAATTTTTGTGGTGGCTTGAGAACAAAAACAAATGCTCTTGGAAAGCAGTGATACTATGACACAAACGTCATGTTTTCAGGATTTTGACGTTATGTAAGTTTGCTTCTTGGACAAGGTGAATAAGTGCCCAGCCAAAACAGGATGGCTTTTGCTGAGAAAATCTAGGACTAGATCTATAATCAAGGACATGTCTGTTTAAAAAACCCTGTAAAAAAACCCGTTGCAGTGGTCCTATCTAAATAGCATCCCGAGCTGCTTCTCTTGCATTTGCCATACATTCAGATGAGGAATATTAGCTTGAAGGAGCTGTTTCAGTAACATTGTTGCCTATGGCACTACATTTCTTAAGCTATGGATTTCAAGCTGCCCTCTGTATACGTAGCTACATAGGCGTGACCATGTCGGATTAGAAACTTCCCCTCTGTTTCTTCTCCTGTCATCTGGATTTCTTTAGCTTGCTTCCTTTATGACATAAAGCATAAACAACCGAAGGACATTCAGTATCTGTTATACCATTCCATGAGGGATGCACATCTGCTCCAAGAGTATAGGGGCACATATTTCTTCTTGCCTTAAGAAAAATGAGTTCTGAGCACATCTCTTAAGGAAGGGTCTAGCAATTGGTCAGATGATCCAGCAAAAGAGACATCTTTGCCTAATTTTGGGTTGCCATTTTTCTTGAGCAAATACAGCATCAGTCAAAGCTAGGCCTGAATACAAGGAGTGAGAATCCTCCTTGACTCTATAATACTCTGTGAGGGGCCTCTAGCAGTGGATTATGCGGCCTGTGAAATGATGCCATCCACAGCATAGCCACTGGAATATGGAGAAGGGAGTTGAGCAATGCAGTGGACCAGCAAGGGCACAGAAGGGTTGTCTCGTAACTGTTGACCAGTTGCGACTGGTAATGTCCCCTTCTTGCTGTCTCATTCAAATGGCTCATTTTACCAATGGTGGCATTAAGTAGGTAAGGGATGAAAAATTCAGAGAATAGATTCCAGCTAAAGAAATAGATTTTGTGCAGCTTTGTGTTTAAATCTGATGTTGATTATTTTTTAAACAATTTTATTCAACCACCGAATTTGATTCTGCAATGTATCAATCTCTGTCTTTTGGGGGGTTTCATATCTGAGTTCAAACATCGATTTTTCAAAAAATAAACATTTGAATTAAAGTGAACACTTTGGATTGATCTGTGTATGAGCCATGGAAACAAATGACTGCTGGAAACAGAATGGGTAGGAATGGGGCAAGATCTTGGGTAGGCAGTAAGGGCAGATGACGGGCAGATGACGTGGACAACTAGCACCTAATAGATTTTTACGATAGTGCCACACTTTGTAAAGCAGCCTCTGGCCAGAATTAATGTGCTTTTAAATGAATATAATAATAGACTTGTACATACATACTGGAAATGCTCAAAACGCATTACGGCTATTATCTCAATGGTAAAAAGCCCTATAATCTAGGCCAATATGGTTATCCCCACCGTATATATAGAGTCTGAGAAGATAGGAAGCTTATCTAAGCCAACCTGAAAGCTTGTCACTGGGTGAGATTTGAATCTTGGGCGCTGCAGCTCATGAATCTGAGACAGAAGGAATATCTCCTGCAGAACAGACCCACTGAAAGGAAAGAGACAATGTAGACAGACATTGGATGTACCCTGATTTCTGGACAGGCAAAAGGGAACAATGAAGAAGTGATGGTGCCCTCGTTGGCCACCGCCTCTAGCAAAGCAGGTCTATATGTCTTCCTATCGTGTCTGAAATCTGTACGTTACACCTGGTAAAGTCTCTGTAACAGCTTTGTTGGGTTAAATTAGTCTGCTCTATAGAATTTGGAGTGTTTTAAGTATTACTACATGTTTACTTTCTTCCCTATTGTGAAGAAGTCAGTGAGCTTCATGGCTGAATGGTTACTAGAACCTGGATCTCCTGAGTCCCAGTCCATCACTAACAATTAAATGACACAATTTCTCACTAAATTGGTTTTTATCTACTTTTACCATCATTGGCATGCAGATGATACCACTCTAATGGCAGAACATGAAGAAGAACTAAAGAGTCTCTTGATGCGGGTGAAGGAGGAAAGCGCAAAAGTTGGCTTGAAACTCAACATTAAGAAAACTAAGACCATAGCATTTGGTCCTATCACTTCCTGACAAATGGATGGGGAAGAAATGGAGGTAGTGACAGATTTTATTTTCCTGGGCTCCAAGATCACCGCAGATGGTGACCGCAGCCAAGAAGATGCTTGCTCCTTGGGAGGAAAGCTATGGCAAATCTAGACAGCATACTAAAAAGTAGACATCACCCTGCCAACAAAAGTGCGTATAGTCAAGGCTATGGTTTTCCCAGTTGGCTGTGAAAGCTGGACCATAAGGACGGCTGAGCACCGAAGGATTGAGGCCTTTGAACTGTGGTGCTGGCGGAGACTCCTGCGAGTCCCTTGGACTGCAAGGCGATCCAACCAGTCAGTCCTAGAGGAGATCAACCCTGACTTCTTTAGAAGGCCAAATACTAAAGATGAAACTCAAATACTTTGGCTACCTAATGAGAAGGAAGGACTCCCTGGAGAAGAGCCTAATGATGGGAACAATAGATGGCAAAAGAAGAAGGGGACGGCAGAGAATGAGGTGGCTAGATGGAGTCACTGAAGCAGTGAGCTTAAGTGGACTCCGGAGGATGGTGAAGGACAGGAAGGCCTAGAGGAATTTTGTCCATGGGGTCGCAATGGGTCGGACACAACTGCACAACTAACAACAACCATCATTGGCATATTAGGGATTTTCTGCCACTGCAGATACCAAACAATCTTAAGGCATCTCTGTGCTGGCAGGGACCACCTGCAGCTCTCCTGTCTGTCCGCAGCTGCTACTTGACTGCTTTAACTTTTTTCATTGGCATCTGTTATCTTTGGGGAAACCACTTCCTACCCCTTTCATTTACTTTTGGCCAGTTTGAAGCTCATTTCTCAATGTACTCAAGGGGAAAGACCTGTGGGTTGCTTGTTCCAAAGAGAATTGCCAGCCAATGTGCGTCATTGGCTCAATGATTAATTGTGGTGCTGTGCAATGACGGTCAGCAAGGTGGGCAGCAGCAGAGGTGGAGCAAAATGGCCGCTGGAGAGATACCCACAACTGATGTCATTGTTCTTTTGGCTTGGAGACTCACACCGAGCCTTGGGCAAATTCAGCTATTCATTCTTTTGCCAAATCACTTTGGCCATGTACACTCCTTGCCTCATACTGAAAGCAGCAGCCATGATGCTGAAATACCTTTCACGTGCTAGACAGCATGGCTATTGTGAACCTTGGGAGGGAGAATAACATACCTCTTCGTTTCATCCCATAAATCCTTAGATGCAGAGAGTATCTCATGCAAAAAAAAAAAAAAAAAGGTTGACAGTTTTCAAGCCAAAACAAATACTTGTTCTACATCAGAGCTACACTCTCCTGTTGATTTAACAGTATAAATGTGCAGAGACACTGTTCCAAGTCCACCTTGCAAACCATCTGCAAGCCAGGCTGAAGCTCTGCCTAAAGCAGGATACATCTGTGTGCAAAATGGGCCCTTTACGAAGAGGAAGCCTGATAGGGCAGGTATGTTTTTATCATTTATATTTATTTATGACATTTCTATCCCACCTTTTTTTCCTTTCAAGAAACTCGAGGCGGCTTACAGAAGATCCTGCTAGTCCTGGATGGATCCATTAGCAGGAAATGAGGGCAATAACCTCCCCACCTTGTAAGCCTCCAGCAGCCAGTGCCTGCTCCAGGTTTTGGAGGGTCCTTGGGCAAGAGACACCCTTCCTCTTTCCCATCACTGCTCCTACTGGCAGACAGAGAACCAGTAAGCAAGTAGGCCACTGAATCTCCTCCTTCTCCTCCTCCTCCATCCCCATTGTCTGGCCCAAACTGAGAGTATGCAGGCTGTGAAGGGGAAGAGGAGGGGTAATTCGCCAGAGAATTCTTGGCAGTGCATCTCTCCAGAGATGCCACCACATCTGCCCTTCACACCCACCCTGCAGTGAAGCTCAGCCTTGCATCTGTAGCCCTCACAACTTGGAGGCATTGCAGCTGTTGGATTCAGAGGCAGCAAGCTACTGTTCCCGAAGCTTTACCTTGCTCAAAAACACCCACTCTCACGTTTGGGTTTTAGCTACTACAGATTGGAAGTTGTTAAATGTTGGTTTTCATGCAGGGCTTAATGCATGCTTCATTGCACTGTGGTGTTTAGACTGTTGGATTGGGGACCAGGGAGATCCAAGTGCAAGGCCCCACAGGGCTATAAAGCCCACTAGGTGATTTTGAATCAGTCACTCCCTCTCAGTTTGACCTACCTCACAGGGTTGCTCTTAGGATAAAATGGAGTTATACAAGCCACCTGGTGATCCTCACAAGAAGAAAAAAGGTGGAATATAAACGCAATGTTGGTCTGTTTTTTTAATAAAGGTTTTTGTGGAAGCTGACTTGAAGGAGCTTAAACGTAAAGAGGACATACAAAACTTAAAAATCATCCAGCTATGACTACTGCCACAACTGCAGGCTGGGGCCGACCGAAATTTCTCTGTCGTTTCTTGCTGCCCAGTCCGTGGCACCCCTCCTCCCCCTCCCTCTGCACGCACCAACCAGGCATCCCTCTCTGCCTCTCCCTCTCCGCCGCCTCCACACACCCGCTGGGGCGAGGCTCCCAGGCCGTATATTCACCAGGTGCAGCCGCAGCCCCCGGACGTCGCCACGCGCCCGAAGCCCCGCCCGCCGGGCCGCCTGCGCGGGAGGGTCACGTGGCGGGACACCGCCTCCCGGGGTCACGTGACTCGCCTGGTCGGGTCTGGGGCTCGGCGGAGGCCAAGGGCCAAGAGCGATGGGGGTGGCGAAGCGCGTTCTCCCGCGGCTGGTGGCCTCGTTGCGCCCGGTGAGTGGCCGCTGGGGGGGCGGCCCCGGATCGGGCTGGGCTCTGCCGCGGGCCGACCGAGGCGCCCGGGGGCCCTCAGCTGTAGGGCGGGAGGCTGGCGGGGAGTGGGCGATGCTCGCCCCCTAGTGTGTGGGGCCCGCATCCCGGGGTTGGCGGTTGAGCCGCTCCGAGCTCTCTGCTGTGGGGCAGTGGAGCCCTCACGCACTGCAGCCTTGCTATCGGACGACCCGCATCCAGTGACCCCCGCCCCTCAGTTATGGGGCCGCCTGTGCAAACTGCCAGTAAGCTCCCCTCTGTAACTCTTATGGGATGTTACTGTCACTGACCCTTCCTACGACTCGGTGTGTCCTGTGAGAAAGCCGCCCGGTTCTCCAACTCTGTTATGGGACAGTCTGTATCTACTGATGTTGCCAGTGCTCACTTCTCCAGCTGTGTTATGGGGCGACCTCCTCCCAAAACTCTGTTACGGGCAGCCTACATGTCAATATTTGACATATTTTGCTGGCATTGAGCTCCACCTGCCCTGCAACCTAGTTCTTTCACCTTATGCAGCTCCCAGCAATGATAGGACTTGCAGTCAGAAGAGCACCAGGCTGGGGAAGGCTGCTGTCAGATAGACTGAAACAGCCCTCTTGGGAGTGTGGCTTACGTAGCCATTGCCTAGAGGAGATGGTCTTGTGCCTCCAACTTTGGTCCTGTATCACCAGTGGAAATACTGGCACAAGGAGGAATCCCAGATGGACAGCTCCTTAAGCACAGGAAGGTGATACTACTAGATCAGGTTTTTTTTTTTCAATTTAACAATAATAATAATTGCAGGGGGAATTGAGGAGTGTCTTTGCACATCTATTTGCCTGCCAAGGATTCCTCAGTTTCCAGGAGATTTGGCTACTCTAAGGCACATGCTGGATTTATCAGTGGCAGTTGGTGGACTTTGGGGTTTTTGCCAGTTGCTCTGGGCATCTCTGAGTACGCCCACCTCTTCCTTGAGTGTGCGCCTTAAACTGAGAGGCAGTCAAGGTGGACTCCTGCTGAAGATGGACTTGGGGAACATTTGTTTGCCATGGTTTGTTCTTTCATTTGAGAAAATCCCAGTGAGCATCTGCGGGACTTTAGGTCTCCCCTGAACATAGTTTGAAAAGCCACTGCCCTGGGTCATAATAGACAAATTGGCATTAATAAGCATTGCTTATGTAGAACTTCCTTCCTGATATTTTGGATTATGACTCTCGGCATTCATGAGCATTGGTCACATGGGGCTGATGGGTATTGAAGTTCAAGATATTGGGGCATCAGATTGCTGCTCTAGAAGAAAGTCACAGCCTCACTTGCAGAAAACATATAAGAGAAGTTGAGCCAAAGAGCAGAGAGCTGAGACTTGGTTTGGAGCCCTGCTTCCTTGAAGCCTGCCAGATCAAGCCACTTGTCCGTCTAGCTACGTCTGTGTGTTGGGATCTGAACTTTTCAGTGCCCAGTAAAGTCCTGTAAAAAAGCTGTTAGCACAAGTTTCTTGGGTGCCAGGCTCCTTGTTTCATTCTTGAGATAAGTGGAAGCCTCTGATAGTCTAACTGGGAGAGTTGAGTGTTCTTACCTTTCCTCCATTTCTTTCCCTCCCCTTCCTTCCCCTCACCTCTTAGCTGACAGCTTTGTGCAATTTCTCACCACTTTTAAAAGGTGGAGGGACAGCTATAAAGTCTGTGGTATCGTGGTTAACCCTGCTTGGGCCTAGGTGTTCATAGGTGCCCAGGCAGTACAGAGCCTGAGTGATGTTCATTGCACCATGAAGCTCTGCTTTGCTTATTGGTAATCTGTGTCCATATTCTATCAGTAGATTTGTGTAATCATTACATGATATTACCTTTGCGATACATGCCTTTGGCTTTTCTGAGTGAGGTCCCTGAGCTCATCAGCCTGCCTGGCCTACCTTCATACGGCAGAGGTTAAACATGGGTCCCTTTGCACGCAAGGGCGCTGCTCTGCCACCTCTTCAGTTTAAACAGGAGTAGCATTTAGGGCCAGGCAGCACCATTCAAAGGAGTGATGCCTGGAGAGGAGGAGAGAGCACATCTGGTGTAGCAGCATAACAGTCTGGGACCGTTAGGTGGCTGCATCAACACCACATACTTCTTTAGACATAGAAATGAACTGGAAAAATATTTGAAAAACGCTTCAGTGCCAAGATTTTAGCAGGGTCTTGGTGTTGCTTGGTTATGACTACAGTGCACAAAATAATAGTTACATTTTTCTCCCTAACGCATTTGTCGCTCTTAGACATGTTGACTCACAAGGGAAAATGTAGTGCTGCGTTTGTTTACCCAGTTGTGTGTTTTCTCTCCCATTTCTACAGCTCAGCTCAGCAACAGCCAGTGCACTTCCCAAGCATGTGAAAATAGTGGAGGTCGGCCCAAGGGACGGCTTGCAGAATGAAAAGGTGAATGACTTCTGCTAGGCTTGTGCCAGAAACCTGCAGTTACTTCTTTTCACCACATGCAACAGGTCTTTCAGCACACACGTTGTTCTGACTTTCTTCCTAACCAGGATGTTGTCCCAGCTCAGAAGTTCCACACTCACCCTTCTATCCAGGATCTGTGTTCTGGCCCTGGAGGAAGCGACCTGGGGCCCTCCAGGTGTCTGGCACGACACCTTGAATCAGGCCCAGCCTGTGTGGCCAGTGCTGAGGAATGACAGTCCAGAATGCCTGAAGCCCACATGGTTGCCTGCCTCCGTTCCAAGCAGTTGATTACTTGAATTGTGTTGGTGCAGGGGTGGTGGATCCCCCTGGAGAGACCTCAGAGATTCAGGGCTGAGCAAACAGTCTCTTTTTCAGCTTCTCATTTGGTCATTTTGAGGCAGGGATTTCCATAAATTAAATCAAGCCACGAAATGGGTGCAGCATACGTTGCAGGTGATGTGAGGATGAAATGCCGTAATGGATTCCTCACTAAATACCAAATGCCGTTTCATAACATGCTCCAACGTTGTGATATGAAAACACATGGCGCTGAAGGACTTCTGCATTACGGGGAGGAACCACAAGAGCTGTTGCGGGTGCCTCTGGGCTGGCTTGTAATTCCGTGGCCGTTACAGATTTTGGAGTGGGTGTCTTCTCATGTTTGAAGGATGCAGGGCAGCCTTCCCTTAACTCCAGATGTGCTGGGGAGCAGCTGCCTCATTTCCAGCCACCACTGGCTAGGCTCATAGCGTTATGGGAGTTACAGTCCAACACATCTGTGGGGCGCTCGGTTCACAAAGGCTGATACAGGATAATGCTGATGGCTTTGTCGTCTGGGGATGTCTCACAAGGGGGATTTTAGTGGGTTGCGTACATCTCAAGATGATCTTGGCCCTGTGAAGACCTATGGCAAAGTCCAGCTGAGACCAGAAGCTCTTGCGCATTTTCAACAGCCTGTTTCCACAGCAGCCCACAAAATGACTCCAGAAAGCCCATTACTGGAGCATCAGCAGTGGAGCTCTGCCTTCCTTGTCTTCATAGCCCCCTTGACTTGTAACAATCAATTGATCTTTCTTCCATGAATATGTCTAATTCCCTTTTAAAGGCTTTGATTCAGTGGATCACCTGGCTAGGGGAAGCAACACAGGTTGTTTTTTTCGCAGCCTCTGTCTTGGATTAACCTGGGTCATGGGAGGGAGGGAGGGAGCGCACTTTGTGTAAGATTGACTTAAATGTTTGTGTAAGGCTGACTTAAATGCTTACCTGCTAAAAAGCCTGCTGAGCACTGGCAGCTTGCAAAACAGGAAATGTTTGCCACTGCTTGACTTTCAAAATCCACATGTGCTTATGTGTCTATTACTTAGAATTTTAGCCTGACTCAGCTCGGAGGTTCAGGGTTAATTACAACATACGCATAAAAGAAATACAATTTCATAATAATGCATCTAATCCCTCCCCCCCTTTTTAAAATAACAGTGTTTCACAATCCCACCACTTCTGCTGTCTTGTCTTGGATAAAAGATGCCATTTTCCATGTTACTTTGTCTTTTAAGTTAACGTACTCTAATTTCCCAAGTAGGAAACAATGGCTACTCTTTATTCCTTCCTATTTTTGTTTTACTTGAGAGAAGGGATTAATCAAATGTTTGAAAGATTAATAGTTGCTACAGAATTGTTGTTAACTGGTGGAAAAACATCTTTTTTTTTGTAGAACATCGTGCCAACCCAAGTGAAAATTGACTTGATAAACATGCTGTCAGAAACAGGCCTTTCAGTGATAGAAGCTACCAGTTTTGTGTCTCCTAAATGGGTTCCCCAGGTTGGTACTGATGCTTCTTTAACCCTCAAGCGGCCTTCCTCCCTTTGGTGCCCTCCTGACCACTGGGCTACCAGCTTCCAGACTCCCAGATAGTGCCTGCTAAAGAGTAATGCACTGAAAAATCATGATCTGCTTGTGCAATGTGTGAATGAGGCATTTCAGTTCTAAAAAGTGCCTGGTCTTCACTAATTTCAAAGCATCAGATCTCAAGGCCTGTCCTGTAAAACATTACAGAACAAGCTGGATCTTTTCTTAAAAGAGCCTGGTCAGTAATGGAATTACTGTAATTAGCTATCTGATTTGTCTTTTATCTAATTTTTATCTACTTATCTAATACTGTAGTATCTAATTACAGTAGTTAGATAGAAATCAAATAAATGAATGAAAGCAGAATAGGATTGATTTGCCTTGCACTTGGGATACTGTCTCGAGTCAGTTCTTAGCGTGCTTTTATGCACCCCTCTTTCCCTTTGCCATGGGTTCCTCACCTCACCTCATCTTCAAGGATTTGGAAGCTTACGGTGCCCTAGTTATCCATTACGTTTCTACCCAGCCCATCAGCCCAAAGGCTCCCTGGATGGTTTAGAAAGCAAAATCACAATGCAATTAATAAATACAACTATACAAAATACAATAATCCACCCTTTGCCACTACAGCTAAAACAATCATAGAGGCAAAGTAAAAAATACATTAAAAGATAAAAATCTAACTATAAAAAATATTGGGAGAAAAAACTCTGCCTCTGAAAGAAGTAAAGAATGGGTACCAGGTGCACCTCTTTGGGTAGCTGATTCCACAAATGGGGCATCACAGCTGAGAAGGCCGTTCCCCTAGTAACCACCCTCCTCGCTTCCTGAGAAGGACCTCTACTAATGATCTTAGGGTTCGGGTAGGCACACATGAAAGGAGGCATTCCTTCAGATAACCTTGCTTTTATTCTGAAAAATTAAAACCCTGTTTTTGTGTTCTTAATTTTGCTTCTTAGATGGCTGATCATGCCGAAGTCATGCAAGGCATCCGGAAGGCCCCTGGCATCAGCTACCCTGTTCTGACCCCCAACCTCAAAGGCTTCCAAGCAGCGGTAATGGAAGACTGCCATGCATAAACTCCAGAATTGTTTCCCTAGACATTCTGAGGTTGAAAAGGCACAACTGTGATTGTGATTATGAACCCTGTTGCAGTGTGGAGCTCTCTCATGCGGATGCTGCTTTTTTAAATCAGTGTGGGGAGCAGATCCATAGCTTTGCAGATGCCATTCTTTTCCCTCTCTGGAACTGAATGGAAAAGTGCGCACGTGCGAGAACTCCACACTGCACTGGTCGCATGCGCATGGAGCTCAGTGGTGACAAGGAGGGTGATGAGCACCCAGAAGTTTCTTAGTTCTTCTGACTTGTTCTGAGTCACGTGGAAGAAAAGCAAAGTAGAGGGATCAAAGTATAAAGCGTGCCATTTTGTACATGGGTTCTTGCCCTATTACCGTCTGTGTAGCAGCCACAGTCTCGGACCTGACTTGGTCAACAAAGCTTTTCAGGAGCTTTTGATGAATTTCATTGTATTGTAAGTGATGGGCAAAACTGAGCATTCTTCATCATCATCGTCTCATTTCTGTACCACGCAGTAGTGGAAGCTCTTTGGGCAGTTCACAGTGGTTCATAAAACAGTATAAACGAAATTCCATAAAATCATTCCAAAACACAAAAATTAAGACCAAAATTAAAAAGAGCTGAAACAACATACAGTGAGGATTAGCCGGTAAAACGCTTGGATGGCCAATCCCTTCAAGCCCGTGAGCATCCATGTATATCTCGAAACGCCTCAGCATGATGGGTTGTCTTAACCTGGCAGGCCGCAGTGGGAAAGCCACTGCTTAGATGGGGTGCCACCACTAAGAAAGCTCTCCCACTTGTTGCTGCCCTCCGAGGCTCCCTCCAAGTTAGCCCTCTGAGCACAGCATCCAAGTAGACTGTGGGTGGAAGAGGCTCTCCATCACACGTTCAGGCCCCGAGCTCTGTAAGTCTTTATCACCTTGAATTTTCTTGCAGGGGTAAAAGTTTGCGCAATGCACTAATGATGGGGAAACTCCCATTCTGTGGCCACTTTTATTCTTACATGTATGTGACTACACGGCTCAGCCTGTTCTAGAAATCTTTCAAGCATAATGCAAATCCACATGATGCTGCTTACCTGTGCAAACTCCGCTGGTCTCGTCCTGCCCCTAAAAGAATACTTGTAAAAAGACAGGCAACTTTCAGGAAGCTGTGTTAGTGTACTAGGGAAAAAATCCCTTAAAAGGACAGGAGGGTTGTACCTTTGTTTGGACTAACTACAATGCCACAAAGTAGCGAGCAAACTCTTGAGCACCCCAAAACTCGCGTCTGTCCCAAAGAACTCCTGGTTTTCTATTGTTGTTGAACAACCTCAACTTGTTTACTTGTACTGCATTCTTGGGGGATTTGCCACTTTAGGATTTTTGTTGGTTTGAACACGTGTTGCAGCCCCACTGGGTTTGCATGATCCTACTCGCCCCAGTCTCCCTCTTGGCAGCACCCAGTGCTTCAGTTCATTAACAGAGCCTTTCCCTTGCGTTGGCAGGTGGCCGCCGGAGCCAAGGAGGTGTCCATCTTTGGGGCTGCTTCAGAGCAGTTCACCAAGAAAAACATCAACTGCTCCATAGAGGAGAGTCTGGAGAGATTTAGTGATGTCCTGGGTGCAGCGAAAGAAGCCAGCATCCCAGTCCGAGGGTACGTCTTGAGACTGCATGCGGGGGGCAGACAGGTTAATCAGCAATAATGGGAAGGCAGAGGGAAGAGGAGAGCTGCCATATTGTGGAGGAAAGGGGACCCTAAACAGGAAAAGTGTTGGGAACGCTCTTTCCAAAAACAAAGCCAACATCTCTTTAGCTCAGCATTCCCCGGCCTGGTGTCCTCCACAAGTTTTGGACCATAAAATCCAAGGATTTCTGATCATTGGCCATGCTGGCTGGGGGTGCTGGGAGTTGCAGTCCAGCACATCAGGCTGGGGAAGCCTACTTTAGCTCCTTCCAGGTAGTGAAATGACAGGTGGAGCCCATGTGGCAGGAAGAGGCTGCCGGGCCAGTGATCTTTTTCCGACAGCAAGCAGCCGGGCGTTCTGAGAGGTGACAGGCAGGGAGTGGAAGCAGTGGTCACACACCTCCAGCCTCTTGTACTGCGAGTTACGCCATGGCTGAACACAGAGCATTTACAGGTCGGGCTGGATCCTCCTTCCTCCTGCCTGGATTTTATTGGATCCCTCTGAACACCTGAACACGAAGCTGCAGCTCTGGTGTGTGGGGGTGAATTTCACACGCGTTCATGAGAAGCTGCACCTTGGCGTGGCAGTCCTGCCGTGTCGATGGAAGTCTTTTGACTGAGGCAGGCGGGAGCCCAGGCGAGAGAGCGCGCTCGTGTGCGTGCCTTGCTTGTGCTCTTCCCACGGGCATCTGGCTAAGCACTGTGCAGACGGAGCACGGGGCTAACCAGGCCTCTGGTCTGATCTTTGCTCCTTGCAGCCCCTTTCCGAAGGCACGGGCGCCTGCTGCCATGGGCTAGCCTCAGTTGTCACCTGCGATGGGGAGAGGGCTGCATAGACATGGGCCGGAGCTGCCACGTTTGTGGGACACGGCCTCCGCGGTGAATCCCGAGAGGCAAACTTTTGCCTCGTTGGTGATTGCTCTGCTGCTTGTGTGGCTGGCGGAGGGAGGCTCCCACTCTGGCTTTGGGAAAGGGATTTAGAAGTGGCCTGGAGTGCCATCTTGGGGCCAAGGTCAGCACACAGATGGATAAAGAAAGAAAGAAGCAAGCAAACTCGGCTGAATGGGAAATAAGATCTGTTTCCTTTTCCTGCTTTCAGGTATGTCTCCTGTGTCCTTGGCTGTCCTTATGAAGGGAAGATCTCGCCTGCTAAAGTAGCAGAGGTGAGTATTGGTTGCAGACAGAAGGTGACGGCTAAAATTATTCCAGACCAGACTGTTAGAACCACTTGACACCCGTGCCTCCATCACATGCCTTTAATCATCTGGGAGACAAGGCGTTCTTCTTGCCCTGAAAATGGTGTCAAAATCATTCCATAACTGGGGACCACTACTGGGAAGGTTTAATAAAGGGGGTTCCCAATATTTTGCAGGGGCAGGAGAACCTGAAGGTGAATTTGCCCCCTCTGAGCATTCTGTTTTCTGCAACAGGTATCAAAGAAGATGTATGCAATGGGATGCTATGAGATTTCTCTGGGTGACACCATTGGAGTGGGGACTCCTGGCCACATGAAAGAGATGCTCTCTGCCGTCATGAGAGAGGTGCCCGTCGGGGCACTTGCTGTTCATTGCCATGATACTTACGGACAGGCTTTGGCAAACACTCTGGTTGCCCTTCAGGTATGTTTCCTGTCGGTCGTTGCGCTTGCCCCATTCAAGACTATAGCTTCCTAAAATGGGTAGCTCTGACAATTGAGCCAATCCACCCATCAAGTTCAGACAAGCCAGAGGGAATGAAGAATATTTTTCTGGTCAATCCCAGGAGCATTCAGACCTATATAAAGCAGAATCCACCCAAGAAGCTCTTCTGAAAAGTATCCTCTTGGCCATCGCTAATGTTGGGCCACCTTGCCTAAATCAGAGCATAAGTCATGGTAATTTGATGCGCAGGAAGAGCAGTTTTGTGGGAGAAGGGAGAGGCACAGCCTGATCCTGGCCCTGAAGGTCAGTTGGATGCAGAAAATATAATTTCCCTTGGCGGACTAGGCAGCAGTTTTGCAGCAGACCTTAGAAGGGTTTTGCTCCGCTTTGCAGATGGGCGTGAGCGTGGTCGATTCCTCGGTGGCTGGGCTCGGAGGCTGCCCTTATGCGCAAGGAGCAGCTGGGAATGTGGCAACGGAAGATATGGTGTATATGCTGGATGGCCTCGGTATCCACACAGTAAGTACGGTGGTGCCTTAACAGGAGCTGGGTACTTCCTATAAGGCTTCAGAAACTTGCGCTGTAATGCGTAAAAGCAAGTGGTAATACCCCCTTCTTTCTCCTCTCTCCTGTGAAGGGCGTGGAACTATCGAAACTCCTTGAAGCAGGCACATTCATCTGCCGGGTGCTGAACAGGAGGACGTGCTCAAAAGTGGCCCAAGCCTCCTGCAAGTTGTGAAGTGCATCAGTGCCTCCACGGGACTCGTGGGAACAAAAGCTGCATTGGCAAGCTGGAATCTGCCATGTTTCTGTTCCCTGTGGTTTATTTAAATATCCCCTGCAGTAGCATCAGGACTAGGTGACCAGATGTTGGGACAAGCACACTTCATTTTGAAGAGACATTAAAGGAACCAGAGGTGTTGCATTGGCATCCAGTGGATATCTTAAGCATCTCTGAAGATAGAGTTTTTCTGCTGATTTCAACTTGCCTTTCAGAAGCCCATTTATTGCTGGGAAAACATCCTGGACTCTGCAGTTACTTGGGGGGGTCTCTCTCCCTCTCTGTCCACCCTCCCCTCCCCTCCCAGTCCCCAGCATCTCACAAATGACTGTAGATGAGAGCCAGTGTGGTGTTATGGCTAGGAGTGCAGGACTGGGACTCGGGCAATCTGGGTTCCAGTCCCCGCTCAGCCGTGGCACCAACTGGGTGACTTTGGGCCAGTCACAGACTCTCAGCCCAACCTACCTCACAGGGTTGTTGTGGGGATTAGATGGAAAACAGGAAGAGGAGAATGAAGTAAGTTGCTTTGCGAAAAAGGTGGGATGTAAATCAAATAAATAGAGAATAGATTTGGCAACAAGGATACTGTTTTCTCTCTACACATAAACCTATCCAGAAGTCACTCAAGAAAGCAGTTATTTTCCTTTTCCATGGTTCCTTACTGGCAAAATGAACCAATTTAAACACACTGCTATCTAGTTCTTAAGAAAACATCCTCCAAGGGTATGATCTCCTGTATGTCTAGATAGAAAAAGTCCTACAATTCACAGCATTTCCCCAACCAGCCGGGGCAAATCTAAGAAAAATCTGCTCTCTCCCAGCCCTGCCACCAGCCACCTATATGCTGGGTTTGATTGTGGGATTCCTTGTTTAGCGCACAGAGAAATCAGGGAAACCATTTTGGTGTAGTGGTTGAATATGAGCTGGAATATCCAGTTCTCACTTTACCATGGAACTCCTCCGTCACCAGCTCCCAGCATAACCTCTCAGGTGGTTGTGAGAATAAAATGGGGAGGAGGAATGTCATGTATGCTGCCTTGTGATCCTTGGAGGAAAAGCGGGATACAGCTGTGAACCGTAAACAGCAAGCTGGGCTGGGTGAAGGAGTGCTTGCCTTATTTACTCAGCAGGGATGCCTGGGGCCAGGACCCCCTGCTAGAGTTTGGAGGGTGACCACCAATGCTAAGAAAACCCCTGGGCCTCCTGCCTTCCTGAAGGTGTGGCGGCTTGTAGATCATTTTCTATAATGATCCCAGTGTTGACACTGGGTCACAGTGGAACAGCAGCACATGGTGCCGGGGCCCACACAGCCTCCCCACTCCCAGCAGATGCAGCCCAGCTGGCTGTCTTCCCAGGGCCAACCAAATTAGCTAGCTGTCACAGCACTGATACAAATTTCTGACTTCCTTGTACTTGTAAACTTGCCGAGGTCTCACCTGGAAAAGTACCCCTCAGATTGTACAGAAATTCAAAATTTTTGTGTGCACGGATGTAGCACTAGCGTAACAGAAATTGTGCAGGGGAAACAGTATTCTTAGTTGCACGTGATGCTCTGCTAGCGTGAGACACTGGCCTTGCACCGAGACGGCCATTGCTGGCACCCAAATTTCTGTTTAGCCGCCCACCGTGAAAAAAAGTGTGTGGCCGATTTTCTCTGACTAACACTACGCAGAGGGTGGGGTTGATGGATGGATGGGGACAGGCCAAAATGTTTGCTCTGAAAGGTATAAAACATCTGAATTGTAAATGGCTGGAGCGGGTCCCTTATGAAGGAGGGGTGGGCTGCCCTGTATTGTTGGGTCCACACTTCAATAAAGAGCTTTGGTTTTTGAAAATCTTGCTGGTGGTCTGTTGTCTCCTCATGATTCATACAAATGAACCTTTAGGCCAGTTGGGGTTAGAGTCCCTGGCAGCACAATGATGTATATGGAATGGTCCTGGTGCACCCACCTCTCCCGAGGCCGTTACAGAATTTCAAGGGAAAGAACAGCAAGCAGCAGAACCTGAGAGGAAGGCCCTTGAATTGCTTAGCAGGCCAGAGAAGCAACCTAAGTACCAAAAGGTGAATATACGCACTACCCATCCATTACCCACCTGTGACAAAAGATGTGATAACTAGCATTTCTATAAGTCTTCAGTGTTTTCAAACAACACTCACGTTAGATTTTGTAAGCTTAATTGCATGCATTATTTTATTGTAAACTTCTATACCTTTAGAATTATCAGGACTATTATGAGGAGTACTATCCCCACCATGCAGAAAGGAGGGACTGAACTGAGAGAGGTGAATAAGCACCACAAGGCCACCCCACAAGAATGGGGGAAAGGGGAGGCTGAGGTCAGCAAATTCACAGATCAAAGCTGCTCAGGACACGACGATATTTTGCTAGGCGTCTGTAAAGGTTCTGCTAATCCGCACTCAATTTAGTGTACTGCAGGGGCAGGGGAAGTATCTTAAGGACCGGCACAAATGATTATGAGCTTGGCCAGCAATAGCTGAGGGATTCATTTTCCTCAGGGGCACAGGTAGCAGGGTATACCATCCTCCTCTCTCAGCCTCCATCTACCTGGACGCTATGGTCCCCATAGGAAGACCGGGCTTTGCTAGGTGAGAATGTATTGAAGAACCCCTGCAGTGGATCAGCTGGCAGAAACCAGGTGGCCCAGGCAAAGCCATCTTTGATGGAACGGGGAGCCAGTGCAGAGGGGCAGCAGGCTGGGGCAAGGCGGATGACCTGCTGGAGGCGCCCCTTTCCTGGCCACCTGCCACGTGTGTCCTGACCTACAGCCCACGCACGCCCTGTGGCCCCTTCAAGTTGTACGAGCCACGAACTGACCGTGTCCTTCACTGCTGCGCTCCAGGAACGCGCCAGTTCCGACCCTCCGGTTCACTTCGCAGTTTGCGCTGCTCCTTTAAAACAAAAGGACGCTAGCGCCATCCCTGCGCAAAGGGCCCCCAAAACAAGCCGTGGACGGTGGAAGCTGCGCAAGGCAGCGTCTCGTCTAGGAAGGCTTTCCATGGGAAAGGAAACCCGCGCGAGCTCCTTCATTTATTTCGTCCCTGGATCTATATGCCGCCCCATCGGCGCGTACCTGGGCTCTCCGCGCGGCTCGCTCTTCTCTTCAGCCCGCCTCCGGCACCAGAAAGCCCGAGCATCCCCGCCGCTCCTTCCCCAGGGCGCCCCGTGCCCCTTCCCGAGGCAATCCGCCGGAGACAGTCCTCTTTGCCTTCCAACCGCCGGCTGCCGCCTCGCTCGTCTCTCGCCTTCCTTCCACGTTACCATCAAGGGTCTCCCACCTGTTCTCGCCTTCCGACTGATCCGCGTCGCTTTGCAAGGGCGGCGCGCACGCCTCCTCCTTATCATCATTACCGGAAGCCCTTCCAAAGCTTGCTGGGATTTGTAGTCCCCCAAGGAGAAGGAAAGATGGGAGGAGCCGAGAATTGCAGCTCTTAAAATATATTGTGCTCTCCGCCCTAATCTTAATCGTCGAAACAGAAACTGAACATTTTTACATGGGAGCGTCCAGATCAAGCCTTCCAGAATTGCGAAGGATAAACTGAAAGGTCTAGGAACAGAGTGGAGTCCGGCACAAAAGAAAACAGTCTTGCATTTGCTGACCTGCCGTGTTTTTCTACTGCGCCATCCATCGCTTTTCGTGTAAGTATGCAAAGATGTGATAGCGGCCGCTGGGAAGGAGGCTCCCTGAGGGATGGAGCCCAGTACGGCCACCTAAGTAACTCATCTCCCATCAACTTATTTTCATTTGGTTATTAGATTTATATCCCGCTTTTTTCCAACAAACTCAAATAGCTTGCATAATTCCTGCTCCCCATCTTATCCCCATAACAAGAACCCTTTGAGGAAGGTTGGGCTGAGAGCCTGTGCCTGGCCCAAATTCACCCAGCTGGCTCCCTGGCCGAGCGGGGACGAAGACTGCGACTGCCTGAGTCCCAGCCCAACACCTTTAACCACTACACCACACTGCCTTTTGAAGTTGAAATGTTTCGCCCCAACATGCATTACTTTACATTTGCTTACACTGAAATACATTTGTCATTTTGAAGCCTATTCTCGCAGTTTGATCATTTTGGAGCTGATCATTTTGGAGCTCCTCACGGCCCCTTTTGCTCCACCCTAAATAGGTGGATGTCATTAGCAAGGCTGGGCACTTCACTGCACACCCCTAATTCCAGATGGTTTATGAATGCAGTAGACTCCCAACTATCCAGTCGAATGTGGCCAGAGTTCTATAAATGCTCACTTCCTACCCCACCCATACCATTAAAAACACCTTTTTTATATCAAAACCCGCTCTTATTCATATTTTCTGACTCTTAATACAGGCCAGTACTTTATAAATGTTTGTTATGTACTGTACTGTATGTTTTAAAAATTTATTACAGAAAAAGGAAGTCCAAGGATCAAAATATTGTACACATTTTAAGATAAATTCTATAATGTCTAACTTAATTGCAGGAAACATAAAATCATGTACACTGTACAATACGAATACATACACTTTTAAAATAAAACATTGACATAAAACGTAGGCTTAATTCTTACAAAAATTATTTAAACTTATTTTCCTGTCCATTGATAGTTATTTTTTACCCAGGCCGGATAGTCACGAGTCTGCTGAATGTTGAAAAGCATTGGTCTGAACTGCAGTGAGACCCCACAGTTTACACCCCTTCATTGGGAGAAATTGCCCTTTATTTGAACTCTCTTCCTGTTTTTTATTCTATTTTATTATTATAATTATATCCTGCTTTTTCTTACATTCAGCTCAAAGCAGCTTAAATCACTCTCCTCCTGCTGTTATCCATCTTATCTCCACAACAACAACCTTGTGAGGTAGGTTGATCTAAGCGTCTGTGTCCGGCCCAAAGTCACCCAGGTGGCTCCGTGGCTGAGTTGGGGACTTCAACCAGTTACTGACCCAAAGAGAACCTCCCCTTTTATTCCACAACTGCTCAGTTTGCTCAGGAGTCTTTGGTGAAGGACTTTGTCAAAAGCCTTTTGGAAGTCCAGGGAAATCACATTTGCTGGATCACCCTATGTTTATTGACACTCTCAATTCAAAAAATTGAGCCAGAACTTATCTTTGTGGAAGCCATGTTGATTCCTTTTCAGGGTGCTTGTACTCCTAGAAGATTTATTTTATTTTGGATTTTTTATTTTTGGATTTATATCCTGCCTTTTTCCTACAAAGGGCTCAAGGCAGCTTACATCTCCTCCTCCATCTTATCCCAACAACAACCCTGTGAGGTAGGCTGGGCTGAGAGTCTGTGACTGGCCCAAAGTCACCCAGTTAGCTCCATGGCTGAGCGGGGACTAGAACCCAGGTCGTCTGAGTCCCAGTCCCAGCCTCTTAACCACTACACCACACTGGCTCTCTTTTTAAATAATGCTTTCAACTAAATTATCTGCAACAGAAATTAAGAAAATTGGCCTGTAATTTCCCAGATCCCCCTTGATCCCTTTTTAAAACCTGGAGTTCCAGTGGCCATCCTCCTGTCCTCTGCAGCAGAGGCTAATCTTAGGGACATGCTGCGTATTGTGTAAGAAATTGGCAATTTCACATCTGAGTTCTTCAAGAATGGGAGGATAGATAGCATTTGAGCCCAGACATTCGTTAACTTTTAGTTTCTCAACAAGGATGAGAATGTCAGCATTTACCATCATTATGCTCCCGAGGAACTGATTTCCTTCCGAACACACATGTTCAGAAACAGGTATCTGTCCTGTATCCCCGATGTGAAAACAGATAAAAAGAATTAATATCTCCTTGTCCAGCTTTAGTGCTCCGTTAAGCCCATTAACAAAATAAATACTCACCCAGCGGTGGAACTGCCTTTCTAGTTGGTTTCCTGCTTCTGATACATTTAAAGAAAAATGTGTTGTTGGCCTTGAGGTGGTTAGCGAAACGCTCCTCAAAGTGCCCTCTGGTATTGCCTGTCGTTTGCTTGTATCCCCATTGATGCCGATCATCACAGCACTTCCTTGTTTTGAGGAACTGGCCCCGCTTTGTGATGGGAAGGGACACTGCTCTTCCATACAAAGGAGCTTCCCATCTAAACTGGTCGTGTCCTTGCAAAGATTTGCGTCTTCAGAGGGAAAACGGCCCAGCCAGAGCTGTCCTTGCAGTTGCAAAGGAAGACCATGGAACAGGGGTGTTCGCCTCATTCCGCTGCTGTGCCCGCTTCCTCCTCCTGTCTGGGCACACCATGCAAGCATCTTGCAAGGCGCTGAAGGCCCACTTTCCCCCTTCGCTGGTTGACCGGGATGCTGAGCGCAGCAGTCCTCTCGGGGGGTGGGGGGTCTGCAGCATTGACGTTCCTGTGAACCAGAGGCCAGACCTCCCTTTTTGCTCTTTTGCAGGTGTTATGGTCTTCTCTGTGCCTTAGACCGATATGCAGCCATGTCGCAACGTGCTGCTCCCTGCCCTTTCTCCAGTTTGGGCTACCAGACAATGCTTTGCTAGCAAAGCAACAAAGATGCCTGCCCTCCTTTCAGGTAAGCATTTGCCTTCCCTGACATCCTCCCCTGAAATTGCCCCCCCCCCCCCCTTTTCCAGACACCATTTTTCCAGCCTGCAGGCATCTGGGCTCTGCTGCGGTGAGGGACAAAGGGCCTGCCAGTCCCAGAGTGGAGAGACAGAGGAGGAGAAATCACGGCACTGCATTTGCAATCACATTTCTATCCTGCCATTTCTCCTCTTGCAAGGAAGCCAAGTCAGTTTGCATAATCTTTCTCCTCTTCTCCATTTTATCCTCACGACACCCCTGTGGGGTAGGTCAGGCTGAAAGTCAGTGAGTGGCCCAAAGGTCCCTGAGCGGGAACTCAAACCCAGATCTCCTTTTTTAAAAAAATATATTTTATTAACATTTTAAACTAACACTAAAAAACATCAAACATAGCAAACATTGGATTTACTGGGTCAACCTCCTACTACATATTTTTTAACATTCTAAAGTCAAATTTCAAATCAATTTATAATAGTTTGAAAAACATCTCTAATTTTACGCCAAGTCCCGTTTCTCCAGCCAATTATAGAAAGAGTCCCAAGTTCGATAGAAATCAGTATCCTCTTTCTTTTTTGCATTATATAGATACTAGCTTAGTTGCAGGAGAATATTAGGAAATGGGGTTTGATGCAAAGGATTCCTGGAAAAGTGGTATGTTAGCTTTATACCCAATCTCCCCTTTCAGAGATTCAGAAGAGACTGGGTAACATGGGAAAGGGAGCTGTGATTGGAACAGCAGTGGGAGTAGGTAAGTTTAACAGTATTTATTGAAAGTATTGCTAGGCGCTCTCAGCCCGGAAGGCCTCTGTGCCAGGACTGGCTCCAGACACTTTGCTATATCGGGTGAGGAGCAAGGTGATGTTCCTGGCATTGCACCTGCAGGAGCTGCCGATGAAATGGCGCTGCGGCGAGCCAGCCAGGTGCGGGGTTAGGGTTCGCTTCCGCACCAGCTGCATCTGCTGCCCGAGGCCAGAGACTCATTCTGTCTAATGGGAGGGCTGGCCTTGCAATCATTAAAAGCACACAGGCTGAAAAGATGTAAGGAGAAGAGAATGGGAGAGGGGAGATTACTTCGTTAAGTGTTGCAGGACTCCAGTCTGTGGGTAAGATTGCTGGATAATGAAAGCTAAGTGGTGCTACTTCTTCGAGTAAGGGAGGCCTTCATGAGGGAGAGGTCAGTGACCAGACCGATGGGATCACAGCCAGATCCAGTGTGTTGGCTCAGAGGCAGGGCTTGCGGAATTCTGCTGTGTAGATGGATTTACTCCTGAGCAAATACAAAGGAGTAGTCTGAGGCTTTCCCTAAAACATACAAATGGTAAATGCACACAGATGGTTATATGTAGCAGATGACAAGGCTTTGCAAGGAAGCAGCAACTTGAATCTCTGAAGCAGAAATCCATCTCTTGTGACTCGCACTCAGGAAAGCCCTTTCTCCACAGGGCGGAATGGGCGGGATTTGGCAATACCAGTAACCCACTTCCCTCCAGTCCCCAAAGTGGCATTTCAGTCTCTTTCAGCAGTTACTCTTGTTCCATATTTTTTAAGGTGCCATGAAGGTACAATCAACTGAATACATGCACTTTTCTGCACTGGAGCAATCAGAGGATAAGACTTCTACAATGGGGACTAGTTCATCCGTAAAATATGGGGGGCCATGGCAAGGTGGATGACTGAACAGGCATTTGATTTGCTTGGGTTGTGGAAGCAGCAAAAGCAGCAACTCCTGTTTACACATCCCCTTTTACAAGTATGTTACTTTTACTTTAGCCTCTAGACCACCGAAAATTGCTTTGTGGCCTGTTTACTGAAGCCTCAGGGGACATGCCAGCACTGTGCAGGCCTGTGCTGTGCACGGGGGGAACCGCAGCGCTGTCACTGGGCCCTGTATACCCTGGTCGTGCATCCGCCCCTTTGCCCGGCTCCACTTTTGCTTCCTCTTTAATGTGTGATGGTGGCACGCACCCACCTGAGAAAATTCAGGGGAAGTGACACGAGCTCTCACATTTCCCCCATCTTCTGTTGAATTCCTGCAAGCCACGGTCTGTGCGGTCCCGGTGTTGCTCGGAGCAGTAGGATTCACGAGCGGAGGAATCGCAGCCGCCTCGCTTGCGGCCAAATGGATGTCTGCTTCGGCTATCGCCAATGGTGGAGGAGTGGCAGCAGGAAGCTTGGTGGCCGGACTCCAGTCCGTGGGTAAGATTGCTGGATAATGAAAGCTAAACTCTTCCTGCTAGAAAACGGAACGAACTCTCAATCCCCTAACCAGTTCAGAGAGCGTTTTTCTCCAATTAACTGGCGCTGAGCACAAGCCTGATTATTTCCTTACATATTAGACATCTTTTTCTTTAAAAAAAGACAGTAGGTGTTAAAATATACAAAGAGTGAAACTAATTTAAAATAGCTAAAATAAAAATAACAGGGTTTGATAAGTCGGTTAAAGTTGCATGTCTATACATGTTTAAACTTAAGAAAGGCCTACAATTCTCAGCATGTCCTATCCCTTCTTAAGGTCCAAACATGCATAGGATGGTCCCCTAAATTAAGAAATCCCACTATATGCTGTTTAAGGCCTGGGGGTGGTGGAAGCTCTTTGCCCTGAAAAGATGAGAGCTGGCCTAGGTAGGCCTCACGGGAGAGCATTACACTCTCGGGGAGCCTCCACTGAGAAGACCCTGCCCTCGCTGGCATTCTTCGGAACTCTTTTGCACCAGGGGGCCAAATGCTGACCTTGAAATGCCCCAGCTGCTTTGCACAAAATGGAGCACTACATCATGCCCCCGTCCCAGATCAGGACCAGTGTCCATGTGCTTAGGTCTTTTTATGGGGTGATGAGAAGTGCATGTTTCCCCCCTCCCCAGTTCGTGCAGAAGACAACAGGGAGCCAGCAAGCCGTACGAGAGGAAGAGGGACTCCTGAATCTAGTGGTCCTCCTGTAATTATCTGAATTGCAGGCCCAAGCTGCTTTCTCAAGTGCCGCGCGAGGGAAATGAGGGTTCTGTGTCTTGAATACAACTCTTCCAAACAGCACAGTTGCCTTCAACTTTCCTGTTTCTGTTCCTGAAAAGGGAGGGGACAATGGGCGCGAGCCTCCTCTGTGCATTTGCATCCACGGACAGGAGGCCTGCAGGAAAGGGAGAGGCAGAGTGCCCTGCTGATGGCCTCTTGTTTGCAGGTGCAGCCGGACTGGCAGTGGGAACCAAAGTTGGCATAACAGCTACAGCCGCCAGCGCTGGGGCTGCTGTTGGTGCGTTCAAGAAGGATGGACCCACCAGCTCTTAAGATCTGCTGACGAGACTCTGTCTGGACGCCCAAGCAGGGCCTTTACTGCAGAGCCCCAATGCAATGGCACATGTGTCCAAGAAATGACAGAATAGCATTCTCCCTGCTGTATTTTTGATTTTGGTTTGGCTTTGAATTCCTTCCTGTATGTAAAATATGCGTCAAAACCGCCAATGTGCTGGCACGTGATTCATTGAGCTTTTTGACCCCCGGTGGGCCAACCATAGATAAATCCAAGAAAAGAAAAGTTTCAGAAGAAAACAGAACATTTAATGGTATGTGGGCAGACTCATTTGCTTTCACTGCTGGTGAGACTGGTTTACCAGTATGCTTAATATGTGGTGAGAAATTGGCGAAGAACAAAAAGTCAAACGTTGCAAGACATTTCCAGAATAAACACACAGCCTTTGCTGAAAAATATCCGGATGGAGATGAGAGAGAAAAAGCCATTTCAGAACTGATGCGGAAGGTTGATCTGAGCAAAAATCATAATTTAAGATCAGCTTTTCATAAATACGAGGAGGACTTAAATAGACATTGAGTATTTTATTTGAAAGTAACCTTCAACCCAGCGTCTTTTTTTTTTCAGAGTTCAAAATGTTTTTGTTGCATGCAGAAATAAAAAATTGTTTTCTCTTTAGCAGTTCATTGATTTCATAAATGCAACACACTATAGTTTTTTTATACATAGCATAAAGGTAAAAAACGATCTATGCAGTGTTATCTTCATTTTAGATGTCAAAAGGGTTTTGTGGCTCCCGGTTTTTCTTTTCTGCCGGAAATGGGTCCAAATGGCTCTTTGAGTGTTTAATGTTGCCAACCCCTGTCCTAGAGCAATCAGATTTCTAAGCATCTTTTCACATACTAAAAACTTTCAATAAACTTCTGATCATCTAAACAAATAAAATTCCACCAAGCACTGGGGAACAAAATCTGTGTTAGCCATGCAAAGCGCAGTGCTGTGGCTTGGAAAGGCAGGATGAATTTCAGGCTGCTCGGAACGCCCAGCTCTGGCAACTGCTACGAGAGCGGGTGGGAACAGCCTCGTCTGCCCTCTGCAGCTCTTTGGACTGACTCTCGGGACAGAAGCGTGTGGGACGTGGCACGAGCTGCAAAGTGACCCCAGCAAGCAAGGTGACGAGAGGCACACGCCTCCGGGCACCATCAGAATTGTCTGGCCCAACTCTGCTCCCTTCACTAGAGACCACAACTCTCCCGTACAGTTCGCAAGGGTGTCTTGCCCCCAGACTCCACTTGCATTTGCTTTGGAACTGACACTGAGCAAAACCTCGGCTCTCTTGCAACAAGAGAGCGCTTTTTTCCTGAGCCTGCATTTCTTCCACCTTTCCTCCTCATACTTCTCATAGTCTGGGGAGGGAGCCCAGGAAATCAGTCAGCTCCCCAGGCACTTGGAGCAGAGTGCTACCCATTCCCTGAGTTCCCACCTCATCCTAGACTTCACAAGCTTTTTCAGGCAGTGAAAAAAATCTTGCATACCTGGAAGGTAGGAAGCTATTTCTTGTCTAATGGCCCTCCAGCCGATTCCACTTCTTTTCTCTTGCTTCCCCAAGGGAAACATTCAAGATACTTACTTAAATACAGGCAGTCCCCGAGTTATGAACGTGCAAGTTATGAGCAACTTGTATTTACGAATAAACTGCCATAAATCCTGTTAATTTGCAGCCTCTGTTTTGATATAAACCATTCTGAGAGCTTTGTTAGCTGTGAACAGTGTACAAAAACACTAAAATAAATACATAAATTACTGCAGAACAGTGTCATTACCACAGACAATACCATTACCATAGGAACGGTAAGCAGGGAAAGAGGGCCTCCAAAGCTTCGCCATAGAGAATGGAGGAGGGGGAGGGCCCCCAAAGGATGGCTTCCTGCCCCACACCTCTGGAGAGGGAAAGTTCCCTGGCATTTCCTTGTTACAAAGATGGGGCACTAGTGAGCTTGGGTGGGGTGGTGGTGGTGAAATATTCGCAGTGTTTGCACTTTCACGGGTATCCTGTGATCCAACTTAAAAACAAATTTGACTTAAAGTCAAATTTCTATTTTCTCAGGAATGGAATTGATTGCTGACCTGGGGAGAGGACACAGAAAACTACAGGCACATACTAATGAAACAGCAAAGCAAAATAGGACCTCAGTTCCCAAGAATACACAGACCCTTCAACACAGAACCCTGGTAGAAAATGACAAAACCAAATGCTATTCTGTGTTACCTAAGCAATGGATCTCCAGCAACGCTGGTCAGGAAAGCACCTCAGGCTAATTCCTTTTCTCAGGGACATGGTCACACAAAAGCACCCACTTGGTTCCTTGATGCTTTTTTCTCCCTGCCCAGACAGAAGAGTGATAACTAAAGCGGATCCAAGGATGGCCTGCCATCTCTGAGGCATCTTAGCTGAGGCAACAAAGCACTAAATGTTAAAACTATAAAGCTTGGTCAGTTGGTCTTTGATTGGGGCTTACTATTTCCCTTGATGAGCCCCAGGCATCCATTATCCAACCTCCCAACCAAGACCTGATCAAGTGCAAATAAAAGGGAAGCTAGCAATTTTAGTGAATGCTTGAGTGCCTATTTCTGTACTATTTTTATAAAAACAATTAAAAGCACATATTTAATCAGAAATTAAGGAGAACCTGTTGAGTGGTTCAAAAGAAAAGGCTCCTTGGAATACCTAAGGTGACTTACAAAGGAATAAAACAAGAACCCTCAAATTTAAAACAGCATAGCATTAAAAGAATAAGATCTCACAGAAATTTCAGAGAATTAGAGATTAAAAGTTAGCAGTAATTTCAGATCTTACCAGATTTACCAAGCCTACTGCCTGGCATCAAGGTGAGAGCAAAGTAGGATCCAGATGAGACCACACCCTCCTCCAGGGTTGTCTGCCTCGCTTGCCACCTGCCTTCTGCTGCACGGAGTACCACTTATTCATTGTGAATTAATCAGCACAAAATAAAAGCCTGATATAATACAGTGGCTTAAATTGATGTACGTTTTGCTTTATTTTTAAGCCGCCCCGAGGCTTCGGCGAATGGGGCGGCATAGAAATTTTCTAAATAAATAAATAAGGAGCAAAAGCAAAGCAAGGGAATAAGGGAGGCCAGGGATTCCACATTTCTTACTGGAACATCATGGGGGGGTCACAGTCCAAAGTGAAAGTCCAGAGTAATAGACGATTTATGCCAGTTCACACACTTGGCCACTGGGGGGCAGTGTCTTCGTAAGCAGTTGATGCAAAACATCCATCCTGACAATTAATTAGGTGCTCGTTTTAATGGGATTTTCCAAAGAAGAGAGAGATGTCTATTGCTTTGTGAAGGTAACAGTGCTCTTCGTGCAATTGCTTCAGAGGACTGGCAGTTCTTCAATATCCCTTTCAATCCATTTCAGTCCATGGACTGACTGACCGACTGAAACTGCTCCAAGAGCTGCCTTGGGCATGGGAAGGCACGCGAGTTTTAAAGAATAATAAGCATAATTAGCCTCCCGGCAGCCCGGACGGAACATGCCTCAACACGCGTCGGGCCGCGCCAGGAAGAAAGCCAGCAGCGCTCGTCCGTCTGCGGGCGGACCCTTCGCTGCCCAGCCCGCCCTTGAAAGTCCTCTTGCAGCGGCGTTTGGGGGCGGCTTTAGCACTTTTCGGCCCTTCCGGCGTACCGTACCGAGGGGCGGGGCGAGAGTGACACGTTGCCATGGGGAGGCGGCTGCGTGTCGCCTCGCGACGGGCTGGGGCGGAGCCGGGCGAGAGGAGGGGAGGGGAGAGCGAGATTCCTTAAAGGAGCCGCGCTCGGGAAGGCGGCCCCATTGCCCGGGAGGCGCTTGCCCTGCTGCCGGCGAGCGTGCCAGGTGCGTGGGGCGGCGGCGCGCTCGCGCTCGCGCGTTCATGCAGGCGTGCACGGGGCGGCGGCGGGACGGGCGGGCGCGCCCGCTCTGGGGCCTCTCGGGGAGGGGGAGGCGGCGTCCTGCGGGGGGATGCCGGGGCCGGGCGATGCTGCTCCGGGCACGCCGCCCCCGCGGGCAGTGCGGAGGGGAAGGGGCGCTGCGTGGCCGCTCGCGGGCGCGTCTGTGCGGGGAGGCTCCCCCCTCGCATCGCCCGTGGTGCAGGAGGGCTGCCACGTCGTCTTACCGGCTCCGCTCCTGTGCCTTTAGCAGCAGGAGCGCACCTGGCCGTGGGCAGGTGGCTTTTTGGCCTGGCTGTCTCCCCGCTTTTCAGCCCATCGACTTCGTGCCCGAAACGCCCCACCACCCTGCTTTCCCGGTAAATTGCCCGTGGGGCGATTATTCCAGTGACTTTGGGGTGCGGTGGAGTTCCTCATTCTTCCTGTTATGACTCCCTTTGCCCTGAGCAGCTTGGGTTGTCAGGAGGTTCCCTGGCATCTGGTTTCTAGTACACATGCAAGCAAATGCATGGCAAGGAATATGAAGCTCGTGGCTGTAGCGCTTAATCTGCTGTTTCGCTGCTGGTGAGGTGCCCTTTGAATGGCTCCAGAAGAAAAGTGAGCCTCTGTGGCAACAAATCCATCCTCAAAGGCTTCTGTCATAATAAATGGGCTTTTTTCTCTCAGTGCCTGCTGTTACAAGGCATGATGAACGGAGGGCTCACATGTTGCAGGCAACCAGGTGTGTTTGAGGGGCATCCTTGTGCTTCTAGCGTGGGGCCCGCCATATTCGTCAGGCCTTCCCTGGCTGTAAGGGATGAGGCCGCTCAGCAATGGGGGTAGTGGGCAGAAGGATGCTGACCCTCATTCAGCCTGCGGGATGAATTCCATCATACAGGAGCTTGTAGGACCACATTCCTGTGGTGCGTGGGCCTGAAAGCGAAAGGGACTGGCGCAAATTGGCAGCCTATCAAACTGGTTTGCGCAACATGGCAATCCGCAATGGCCTCACTTACCCACAGCAAATGCATTCTACCGTTACATTGCACCAAGTACCCATGGATGCCATTTTCACATGGGACCAGACTTGCAGTTTGCCTTGCAAACTTCGCTGCCTGAGTTGCTTGAGGGTTGAGTGGCCTTCAGAGAGCTCATGGCTTGCTTTAAGGTTATTTCTGGGTTGGCTAACCCTCAAACAACCCCTGCTGCCTAGGTTTATATGGCGTGGCAAGCTGGGTGCCTGAGGGGCTCCATGGGAAAGGGGTTCCCAGGGGCCTTCGGCATAATGCTACAGCCACAGTGGGCTGTTGCAAAGTGCAGATAGGTCCTTTGTCACATTCTGTCTTTGTCTACGTCCATGGGGCAGCAACTTACAATACTGTGTGCAGTTCTGGTTGCAACACCTAGTGTAAGGAAAGGCAACTAAAACAGTCAAGGGAGAGTGGTGGATGCAAGAGCTGGAATTATTTAGCTTGGAAAAAGGGAGACTAGGGCAGACATGCCAGAGGTTATGCCTGGTCTGGAGAAGGTGGAGAGGGAGACGTTTTTCTCCCTCTGCCACAATACTAGAACCAGGGAAGATTCCATGAAGCTGACGGATGAGAAATTCAGGGCAGACAAAAAAAGTACCTGCAGATTGTGTGATTAGTTCACTTCCCTGAGATGTTGTGATGGCCGCCAGTTTGGATGGCTTTAAAGCGGGAGTGGAAAAATTAATGGCTGCCAGTCCTGATAGATCTTTGCTGCCTTCAGTATCAGAAGCAGTGCTCCTGTGCGCGGCAGCTGATGGGGAACATGGGTGCTGTTGCACTCGTATCCTGCCTGTGCATTTCCTGTGGGCAGCTGCTTGGCTGCTGTGCGAACAGAGTGCTGGACTTGATGGACCATCGGTCTGGACCACTGGCACCCTCCTTATGTGCTTAGAGCTGCTGCTGCCCTTAGCTCACCTTTAGGAGAGGCGGTCCAGCTTTGTACGATGTAGACAAAGGTACCTGACTAGTGGCAAAGAAGGAGGTTAGTGTTAAGGACCTCAGCCTGCCGTTTCATGTGCCTGCTTAACACATGTAAAAGGTGAGCATTCTATAGGGGAGCAATTAAAGGGCTGGTGTGGGTGGGTTGCTCTAAAACTTATAATCTCTACAGAGGGTTGGCATCCTCTCACCTTTGTCCTAGCTTGTCGCTATTCTCTTTGCCATAGAAGAGTCACCAAGTGCCACTGAATTAGAACCACATGTTGCCACCCTTTCAACTTCATTTTCCTGCACTATGATCTGCTTTTTAGTGTAAGCAAACATATAAGGTGTGATGCTGTGTGTGAAAGAGGCTGTTGGCTTAAAGTTTCACATGCTGGCAGGTGTATACACTATTAGCGATTCTCTACCTCTTAGGCCGTTGTGAAGAATATAGTGATATCTACACAATATTTTGTATGCTGACCAAGAGCTGTTCCATCTGGCTTGATGTTCACCAAGATAAAGGCTAATTTTATCTCACAGAGGTACTTTTTACCCATTATACCAGGTACCATTCTCTGTCACTCCATGAATTTAACAGCAGCTTTGGAGAGGGAATTTTTGTTCAGGAGGCTGGCATGAGAAAAAAGGGTTACATATTCGCAGTCTGCAGTGCCAAGAGACTTCTAATGAATGCAAATGAAAAATAGTTCTACTTCACCTCTTAATTTGCTCCTCCTTGTTAAAAAGAAGTGAAGCCTTCTTTTTCTTCTGTTCTGTATTATGATCAGGGCCCAGAATCAAATAGCCTTTTAAAGAATACAGAAAAGTACCCATACATCCCAGCCCAAATGATTAAAAATGACATTTGGCCAATAAACGCAGGCTTTGGCGGAGGTGTCCCTCTCCTCTCAGTCTTGCTTTGTGCAGGGGGAGCCAAGCTGAATTTAATGTATTATATTTTAATTTATGTTGTGAGCCGCCCCGAGGCTTCGGCGAATGGGGCGGCATAGAAATGTTTTAAATAAATAAAATAAATAAATAAAATTGGACCTGTATGCTTAATGTAAGAAAGGGGAGCAAATGTAACATTAGGAAAGTGTAAGAGAGACTCATCCTAATGATGGTGCAACTGGTTGCATCCGTTTTGTCTTCCTTGTTCAGTGGAGGCTGTTGAGGGAACCGAAAAAAGCTGGTACAAAGGAGCGTGTCTGGGACACTGTGTGGATCTGTCCACCCTGCTCACCCTTTGCTTTCCAGCCAGTTAATTTGCCTCAGATGAGTTGCTGGAGGCAATTTGTCTGCTTCCCCTTTCTCTGATGTGATGGCTGCTGTGGATAAAAGTGACTCCTTGGATCACCCTGCCAGTCTTCCCACCCGTTGTACTGCCCTCAGTCCCACCAGCTGCACTGGGGGCACCAGCCACCACTGGTTGCATCCTATCTGAAGAAATCTTCAGGTTAAAACCAGAATGTGTTGAGCTGCTGCTCATTTGCAGGGCCAGAATCTACAGGCATGGCAACTAAAAGGAAAATAACTGAATGGGCTTTTCGCTTGCATTTTCACCTCGTCATGCTGCCTCCTAGATTTTTCTGGCTTCCGTGATGGTCTGACTGAACCAAGGTTTCTTCTCACTGCTCAGGCTGTTGTTGCTTGTTTCCAGTTTAATTAAAAATTAACTAATTAAAAATTAGCCAGGCACCTCCCTAAGGTGGCTTACAACAATAAACTGCAAATCTTCTCACATTGCCAAGTTAACGCAACCAGTCCTCTTGCATTGACCCCCAAACATAAACAGTGTGCTAGCATTACATTCAGATTCCACAAGAATAGGATACTGTGTGTGAGTGTGTGCACACTCGTGTGTGCAAGCTGTGCCGGCAGGGCTAGAACAGCTGGGCGTGGCACTGCCATCTTGGCCCTGCTGATGTGGCTGGCGGCCAGCCTACGAACCTGCCAGCTTCCTGCATCCATCTGCTTGATTAGGTTGCTACCTAGAAAAACCTCACACTTGAATAAATTGGCTGTTGTGTTGATGGAAGTTTAGAGACACCTAAAGCTTAAATTGATTGCAGTGGTCTATCCTGCTTTGAGGTGCCCCCCACCCCACATCCTCCTATGTTTTATCTCTGATCCGAGATTGCACAACTCTTGACGTCTTTGCATCCTGCTCGGTGCAACACGTTTCCTTGCTGCCACGTCACCAGCTACAGGCGCAGTCCTTGACTGCTCTTTGACACACCTGTGAAGCCAGAAAGCGGCTTGGGTCGTTGCTGCACTTACTTCATTTCTCCTAGAGAACTAGCAGTGCAGACATTGGGTTGCTAATGTTGTTACTGGCCCTGTGCCTTTTTCCTTACAAGCAGCCCAACCAACAGACATTTAGCAGGGGAAGCTTTTCCTGGGTACAGAGACGGAGTGATGGGGAAAGTTTTGCCTGCTCAATGTTTCTTTGTTGGGCTGAACTTGAACACACAGGAGCAGTAAACTGAGAGGCATGCACAGCCAAATTTACACACGGGAAGGATGTGCCAGGAGGAGTGGAAATCATTTTGCCTGCCCAGGCATACAAGCTTGACTGCTAATCCCTGAGAAACAGAGGGCGTGGATGATAAAGCAAGCAACCATGAATTGGAATCATATTGTGTACGTAGTGCTGCGCTCAGGCCAGGTGTTCTTGGGAGGATGTGCAGGTGAGGGCACGCCACCATGCCTGAGACCAGGACTGGCCAGAAGTGGCAAGGGAGACGTTCTGGAGCCTTTGACAGTGATCAGAGCGCCTGTTTTGATGGATGTCAAATTTCAGTTTTAGCCTCTTTAAAAAAACATCCGAATGCTACACTGGATCTAGACGCCACATGGCCCACTTGCTTTCAGTGTGCAGGAAGGCCAGCATTATGCTACTGTTCTTCCTCTTAGTCAAGCACCTGATACTATTTGCTCTTGTGGGTGGGGTTGTGGATGTCTTTTTTAAAAACCCATGTTCAGAAAGTGTGGCTGTTTCCTGGTTGCCAGGATGTTAATTATCTGAGTGGACAGTGTGCACATTTTCCCTTGGCCACTTTCTTTCTAGCTCTTTGCCTCACCCTGAGTTGCTCCTAAAAAAGAGAAAAAGTACCCCTACAGGGGCATCTCAATGGCCAGCAGGTAGTCGGAAGGCTGGGTTGCTGCCCCAAGGGGCTCACAATCTGCAATTCGACAGGGGAGAGCGGACTGGGTGCAAGGAGGGCTTGAGGCCTGTGCGGGGAGACTTGCAGATATGCAACCTTAGATGCGAGAGTATCAGGGCCCAGGGTTCTGTCCAAGACCTCACAAAAAGACGACGTTGAGCTGGGATTTAAAGAGAAGTGGCATCTTGCAGGTATTCAGCAAGGTAGTCCTTAGTAGCAAAGCAGGGAGTCTGGATTTCTTGAGGCAGCTGGAGAGCAGAAACAATCTATAGGCATTTATTACAATATAAGGAAAGGCCATGGGAGGCTTTGAAAGAGGGGAGCTCGCACTGGATCCAAGAGTAGTCACGTAATCGGTGGGCCCCCATTTTACAGATAGGATAAGCTGAGGCTCAAGGATGGCAATTGGTTAAGGCTGCGCAAGCACATAGCCAAGGTTGGATTTGAATTCCTCTCCGCTATAATATTTCTTCTCGTGGTGAAAGCTTTTCCCTATGTATAGAGATGTTCTTTCCGCTGGTGTGCAGAATGAGCCGTCTGTCCTTGTGGCACCGCCCTCCCCTCCCGTCCCCGCTGCCGCCCTGAGGGCTTCTGTTCCAAGCAGAGACTTACCCCTGCCAGCTCAAGACTGGGGTGCGTCTGTTCTCAAAAAAGTGTCCATTTGGGATGAACTCCCACCCCCACCCCCCCCATGCACTGCCTGGGCCCATCCCTTCCTGTTCTGGCCCTCCCCAGGGAGTGGGAGGACAGAAACGGCTTTCACTGCATGCATGCGGGGAGGTTGGAGTGTGCTGCCCCTTTAGCGGAACGGAAAGACAGATGTGTGTGAATTGCCAACTGTCTTGCTGAACTGGCAGCCTGATCTCCCATTCCTGGGCACAAACAGGGCAGATCTCAGTAGACTGTCTCCTGGCCAGAGTTCTTCCCACTCTAGGGCAGGTCCCAACCACCTCCACCCACATTAACTCCGTTGACCAGAAGGTAGCAAATCTAAGTTCTGGAATACATGTGTGCACGTGTGTTCAAATGTCTGAGCATTTGAATGAAGGCTTGTTTTCAGAGGGTAGGCACCTGGGGGGAAAGTGAGCGGAGTGGAAAAAGCGTGGTGTGGTCAATCGGCCGCCTGGCCACTTTCTGGTCCTTTCTTGCCATGGAACAATATTGGAAGTAGCAAAGGTGGTAGAAGCGCTTGGACGCGGGCTCTGCTTGCGAGTCTGGCCGCGATGGTGCAGGGAGGAGGACTCTGTGCCCCCCCACCCCGCAACACCCACAGACATTAACCCAGCTGGACTCTGCTGCAGAAAGTGGGAGACAGAAAAACTTTTCTTCTAATGAGGATTCTGCCAATCATATGCCAAAAAGCAAAAAAACAACAGCCTGCACATAGCTTTTCTGTATCAGTTTTAGAGTTACCTAATATATGTGTTTAATGTTGTTAAAGTACCAACTATAGGTCAGTGCAGCCAGAATGCTGGGACCAGGCTCACTGCTTAACTCAGCAAGGAAGGGAAATATTGGCTGCCCGCCTCTTCTTGGCTCCCCCCCAGAACCTCTGTAAAGGCCAATTCAGCCTGTCCCAACCTGGAGCTCTTGGGATGTGTGAGACCACAATGCCCACCACCCCCCACAATAGGGGGAGAACACCAGGTTGGAAGAAGAGGCTGTTGGAAGGGTCCTTGGAGGCCATCTAATCGCGCTTCTCCCTCCCTCTATGAGGAGGCAACTGCAGCATTTCTGAGACCGAGGACCTCCTTCCTGCCGCAGCTCAAGGCTGCCTGTGGAACAGCTCTGGACTAGACAAGAGTCCTGCAGAACTTCAGATCTTTTGTAGCATTTTAGTTGGACCTAATGAAGGCATTGCCCAGCGCTTGTCAATCCCTCACCCACGTCACCAGCTCTTGGAATTTTTACTCATGGACCACTGCTCTCTGTGCTTTTGGCTTTGGTTTTTCACAATGGGGTGGGGGTGGGGGTTCTCTAGGGATTTAACCACAATCCCCACACCTTGCTTCTGGTCCTGCCTCCTGAATCAACCCAACCGAGGCCACCATCTTCCGCACAATGGCCCTTCAGACCCTTGACCGATGGTTTTCCAAGGTGACCCCTCATAAAAGCTGGAGCATTCAGGGAGCGGGCAGCCCCCTCTGCTCTCAGCATTGAGATGTTTTAGCCTACAGTTCCCCTCAGCCTAAAGCTGGCAAGGACTGATGGGTGCTGTAAGCCAAAAGAATGGAAGGGCCACATATTGCCCATCTTGGGAGTGGTCCTTTCGGCCACATGCTCTGCATAACCTGGACCAGCTTCTTGGTCCCCTCCCCTCTGCACACCAGTGCCAGGTTTGAAGGAAGCCTTTAAAGGCAGACTGTTGCTCAGATGCCTGTTCTTCTGTGCTGTCTTGTCTTACAAATGAGCTTGTTCTTTGCATATCCAGTGCTAAGATGGGCATCCCTGCTATGATGTGAGAACTCTGAAAATTAATATACTGGGTTATGTTGTGTTTCCCAGCATGGTGTGAGCATGTACTGGGCCAAAGGTAATCTCGGTTCTATGCAACATTCAGTACAAAGTTGATTCATCCGACAGGTTCTGCATCTCACTCATGTGGCTTCTCTGTCCCTGTTCAGGTGGGAAACGATGTCAGAGAAGATCCTCGTGACGGGGGGAGCCGGCTACATCGGCAGCCACTGTGTGCTGGAGCTGGTGGAGGCAGGCTATGCCCCCGTGGTCATCGACAACTTCCACAATGCCATCCGGGGTAAGAAGAGTGCCAAGGCTCTGCCCAGCAAGAATGCGTTTAGAAAGATCTCTTATTCCAGATCCAGGGAGCAGCTGTAGCTTGCGGGGGAGCTCAGGTGCCACATGCAGACTGCAGTCAGTGGCAGGTCATAAGAGGTGGGGCTGATTGGACTCCTGCATGGGGTGCTCTGGATCAGTCCTCGACCTGAGGGGCAGCAGCACGTTGGCTTCGCAGCCTGTCAACTCGGTGTCCAGAGCAAGGTTTCTCTCCCCAGGAGGTGGTACGGTGCCCGAGAGCATCCAGCGGGTGGAGGAGATTGTGGGCAAGGAGGTCCCTTTCCAGGAACTGGATGTTCTCGATGAGGCAGGCCTGCAGGAGCTCTTCAGAAAGGTGAGGGCCCAATCTTACAGGGTGCGTTCCGTTCTCTGTCATGCCAGTTGGGATGGGCGTGGGTGCCCTGCCCTGCCACAGGCTCAGCCCTGCCGCAGGCTCAGCCCTCTGAGGCGCTCCCCAGTCCTGCAGGACTGCTCCAGGTGCTCCTGGACCTCCCATGCCAGCTGCCCTGGGCTCTGCGGTAGGGAGCGCATTGGGCCGAGAAGGGGGAGGGTTCAGGCACCCACACACCCTCCCCGCAAGGCTTCTGTCCTCAGGGAGGGCTTAGATAGCCTGCTGGTGCACGTCAGCGTCTCTGTGTGTCGGTGGCATGCCCCTTCTGCTGGTTTTGCTGTCCTTTGGGCTGGGCCAGTCTTGTTCCAGAGCCAAAGGTGGGGCAGCCCTTGGGCATCTGTCCCAGCTGGAAGCCACGTAGTCCCAATAGCGGTTCCACCAAGTCAGCATCTGGCTCCTCTCCAAGCAGCAAGGGCTTTGTGCGCTGGGGCCACCTGGTGCTGCTGCACGTTTGCATCGCCATCCCGGCAGGATGTTGTCTGAATGGAGGGCAGGAATGGTCCTTCCCCTGAAACCTGCTGTGGAACCCAGCATGTTTTGTGCCGATTTGTCCTCAAGAATGAGCTTGGTTTGAGGGGAGAAGGTGGTCAGCTGGGAGCTGACATTCACCTGGGGTTTGGGGTTAAGGGGAGCTACTCTGATTCTTTTGTTTGTCTTAAATAGTGACGTAAAAATAATTTATTGTACTATTTATTTGGATTGAGTTATTAATACTTTTGTCTGGTAATTGAGGTGGTAAGTATGAGGAATTGATGAATGAATGAAAGCCCCTGTATACGGCTTTCTACTGACTGTGGCACAGTGCTAATTGTATTGCATTGTGTGACTGTGTTTTTATATTGTAAACTGTTCAAAAAGCCCTTGAGCTGTGGTGTATAGAACTGGTAAAGT